GGAGGTGTAGCCAACAACTTCTTTCACCGTGGCTGCTGATTGACGAAGACGACGAGACAAGAGACAAAAACTTGCGGAAGCTCAATACCAACCCTAACAAAGGATCGAGTTTTGCTCTGATACCATGAAAAATTTGATGACGCGGAAGATGAAACGAACACACGAACACAAGAGTTTTACGTGGTATCCTCGATCGATTGATTGATCGAGACTAATCCACGGTGAGCTCGGAAGAGCTCACGGCTTACGATTTTATTATAAGACTACATCTTGACGGCTTGCTAACGACAATCTCCGTAGCTAAGCTTATATAGAGAGACTTAGGGTTAAAACCCTAATGACAACCAGGTTTCCTTCTTTGACAAGGACAAGGAAACAAGGGACTTGGAGGACAAGGAATTAATTACTTTTGACTAAATAATTAATACCCTCAACAATCCTCAATCCTCATCCCCTTAGGATTAACCAAAGTCAAACCATCCTCAACATCTGCTCCAGTCAACGACTTTAATAGCTAGTAGTTTTTTTTATACGCTGATCCACAGTCGACACTTTGAGTGACGTTGTAGACAGATTAAATTCTGGAGTAGCTGGTTCGAGAGAGACTACCCATATTTAAGGGATAAGGGGGTTATCGGGAAGCGGACCAAGGCCTACCCGTCGAGAATGGTTAACGCCAAGTCTCTTCACCTGAGATCGCACGATCCCATCATGGATCAAACCGGGGATCACCCGAATCACACAAGGAGCGCTTTACCGTTAGGGTATAGCCTCTTTTGCTTAGCTAGTAGTTTATATTTTGGGTGGATTAAATGACGAATTAGACGAATTTCGAAACCACTAGACTTTTTATCTATTCCAACAACAAATGTTATCTTGTTCGCGATTATCTCGATCCGTCATTGTTGAGGATTCCATCAAGAAAGTCGGGGATAGCAACCCTTAACTTAACAGAACACATAAAATGTTAGCAACATCAAATTATGGGGTTGGAACTGGGGTGATTAAGAACTGGGGTTAAGGCAGTCCAGTCCATAAACAAACATGCATTAGGTAAATGACATTATAGTAGCACCAAAAAGGATTAGACTTTCGATTATTTTAACCATTAGATTGGCAGAACGAGTACGTTAATTGAGGAGCAGTATTAAGAAATTCCCAAGTGGACTGACCCGCCCTTTTTCATGTCTGTCGTTCTGTGATTAGATGTTAATTAAGTATTAGTGCCGTAGTGAATTGCAATTAGCAGGCAGGTGCGGCTGACTGTGTAAGTTGATTACTTGGCTAACTTAATAGATGCAAGCGGGAAATATAAGACAATTAAAGTAATAGCCACGAAGACTATTTGTATTAAGAGTTTACGAATGTTAAACTAACCCTACTCAATCCAAAGGCAAGTGTTTGTACCATCTAGCTCAGGACACGAACAATGATATTTGTTGTGTGGGTCGACTCGTCATTCGTTCGTCTGATCTCGTCGGGAGGAAAGACACCTGTGAAAAAGACCGGGGATGCCCCTCGGATTGAGCTCCAACGATCAAGTCAGTGTATGTTTGAGGAGAGAGTTGAGAGAATAGATAGAGAGATAAAGTGTAGAGAGATAGTAGAAAGTGGAAAGTGAGGACCGAGAAGAAGTCCCCTCCTTTGGAGGGCTTCAATCCCTTATATACCTGTAGCGCGTATCGCGCATCGCCGATTGTGCGCCCTACTACTTAGTCTGTGAACGGAGTATTTAGTAACACCCCCAACAACAAGTAAGTAATTAACCAGCTTGTTAATTGCAAAGACTATCTTATACTTCGACTCCTTGACAATTGGAACAAAGACCCGACTTATCTGAGCGAATAAGGATTTGGTTTAGTAGTACTGCCATTGATCTTCAACTTTGAGATCTACCTATTCAAAATCCTTAAATAGCACATAACAATAAGATCAATCCTATTAGCCCGAGGTCGAGCAGATGTAGGCAAATAAGAATTGATTATGACTTCATTTGACATCTCGTCGGAAATAGCTATGGTGCTTACAACACCATCTGTGAGACATGTGCTCACATAGTGTGTAGTCATAAGACAACATCCGTCCAACGAGCGCGAGACGTTCAACATACATTCCGATGGTTATGCGCTCTTGAGCAGATTAACCAGGTTGATGATCTTGAAACTTGAATCCCACATTTTGCAACCAATGAAGCAAGGCTGTAAAACCGGTTTAAGTCATTCAGTTGGTAAAGCAAGTGGTTAGAGGTGTAATGGTCTGATTAGGGTCCGCCCTGTTTGAATTGTTTATACATTTTTAAATGTATATACAAATAATATAATAATTTAAAATTTTAATAACTGAATATATATCTATTAAAATGTCACCTGACTCACCTCCCACATAAGAAAGTCTATCTAAGGCCATGTCCAATGCATAACCCCAAATTTGAGGGCCTTCATCCCCAAATTTGGAGATTGATCCTCATTTTCCCTTCTTTTGCTCCAATGCTTCAATCTCCATATTTGGAGATTTTCATTTTTCTAGTTTTTTTCGTTGAATCAGTTTCCTTTTACTATTTAAGTAAATCGAATTGCAATTTGCAATTCGCAAACCAATACAACGAAAGGGCTGCCATTGTGGCCACCCTGCGGAGAGAACAAAGGAAGAAAAATATGAATAACAGACTACCTGCTCCTACATGTATATTATGCAACTACAAAAAACTATAAAATATGCAACAACTGGAGATCCCTTCTCATTAAGCCCTGCAGCACTATCACATCCCGCTCTGGCTCATGATGAATTCCCCTGGCCTCGCAGAACAATTTGGCAAGCAGAACTCAGCGATTCTTCCCAACTTGATCTACATACCTGCTCAGTGCTGAGGAAACCAGCCACTACCTGCTTAACAAAATCACAAGAAAAGAACAGATAGTCTCTTGTTTCACTGACACTATGTCAAAGCACACAACAGTCTTCAGCAAGCTTCCCCCATCGCAGGAGCTTACTCTTTGTCGTAATAGCATCCAAAATGACAACCCATGCAATAAAACTAAACCTGGGAACACTAAAATGTCCCCACACCAACTTAAACCTCCGACTTTGCTATGCCGGGGACGCAGGGAATTCCAAACTAGCTTGACAGAATTTGTGCATTGATTGCCCATTCCACACAACACAGTCCCCTTGCCTGGAAAGTAGAGGTTGCACCATGTATCTTTTCTTTAGAATTCGTCTCCAAGCCCAAGCACTGTTAGCATTCTCCTTCATTGCCCATACATCTCTAGTTTTGCAACGGTAAGCAAGCATCCAGGTCACCCAAAGCGCTCCTGACTGCATCATTAAAAGCCAAAGCATACGAATAGAACAAGCTGTATTCCAGGAGTGTAACTCACGCAAACCAAGCCCACCTTCAGATTTAGGTCGAGCCAACCGATCCCAAGCCACCTTAGCCCTGCCAGTATCATTACCATGCCAAAGCAAATCCATACAAAGTTTCTGCACAAGTTTAAGAATTTTCTTTGGTAAGACAAAAACCTGCAACCAATACTGAACGAGACCCGTTATCACAGAGGAAACCAACTGAAGCCTTCCCGCGTAAGATAACTTCTTGGCCCGCCAGGATCTGATTCTCTTTGTAATTGCCAGTAGTAATACTTCACATTCACTATCAATGAGCTTACCTGAGATAAGAGGTAACCCAAGATACCTCACCGGGAGAGAACCCTCAGTAAATCCAGAAAGAGCAACCGCATTCTGCTTACACAAGTCCGAATTTTTTTTGGCAAAAAATTATGCCCCTAATTTGGGTTTACACAAAACACTTGAAAATGATTGATCTAATTAAATCCCTAACTAATCCCCTAATTAAACCCCCAATTAACCCCTAAATCTTACAAGGAAAAAAAAAAGTCACGTAGCGAACTTTGGTGAGTCTATATTTGGGGATCCCCCATTTCCATCCCCAAATTTGGGGTTCCCTTTGCAGGATCCTCCGGTGCAGTACAAACCTCCCCATTGGACCATCTCATCCTTCATTTTTGCAGATTCCCACATAAATGGGGTGCCCATTGGACTCAGCCTAAACCCCATAAACCATCCATCATCCCCTTCCCTCTCCCTCTCTTGTTCTCCCTCCTTAGGAATAAGATCGGAGGATTTCTGAAAGCCATTTTAACGTCCGAATTTAGTTAGACAAGGTCCAAACCGAGAGATCGATACAGAATTTAACAACCTTGCATTTAAGACGGTGGATGAAAAAGTTGAAAAAGAAAGAAAGATGACTTAGTGCTGTTAGTGGGAACGTTTTCTTTCCAATTTTTTTTTTTTATAATTAGGAAAAGGACTGGATTTGCATCGTCTTTTTTTCCCTTTAGAAAAATGAAATGGATCTTTGAGATGAGATTGCGAGAGAAAAAAAACAAAAATGAAAAAGGAAAATGATGGGTGATGGTTCCAAGATCCCATCACCTCCATCCCCTGCTGCCCACCAAACCACCAAAAACTTCCACCCTCGCCATTAACAAAGAAGAATAAAGAATTAGATAAAACCGACAGAAAGGAATCCTTCCTTCCTTTCGCTACTCCGTCGTGCAACAAGGAGCCCAGATTTACCTCCACACTATATATCCTCCACCGCCTTCCTCTCTCCCCATCCCCAGATCTCCTCCGCCGCCGCCTTCTTCTTCCTCATGAAATTCCCATTACTCACCCACCGCTCCCTTCTTCTCCCCTGCTCTCCCTTTTCCCCTCTCAATCTCCCATTGTAGCACCTACCCACCTCCGCTTATTTTCGTCGGTGGGCGGGCGGGTGGGCGGATTTGTGTGTACATGGAAGAACGGAAGAATAACCCATCTCACTCGTAGCAAATTCGCGATTGATTGATTGATCCCTCTGCCCTCTGGATGAGAAAGCCGAAGATGGATCTGAGATGGGTATTGCCGCAATTTGACGAAGACAGCTAGCAATACCCCCCCTTTAACACTCCACATTGACGACGGGTTGAGCTATAGCGGCAATGAAAAGGTCAGTTCGTCCCGTCTTTAGCATTCTCATATTCGTTCTCTTCGCCGTCACTCTCAGCTTCCGGATCCTGCTCCGCCGGACCTTGTTCGCCTCGATTGAGCTTCCGCACAATGTAATCATGCCCCACCCTGAAATCGCCCCTGTCTTCAATTCCACTCTGTTGAAATACGCCGCCATAGACATAGGCGAGGCCAAGGCCAAGCAGGAGATCGAGCAGTTGCTGGAGGGGAATTTCGCCAGCAGGGGAAGGTACAGGACTTTCGCTACTTGGAGAAGGTTCAACAACCATGACCCTAAAGCGACTTCTTCTCGAGGGATCCCGGTGATGCTCAGATCCCCTGAATTCTACCGCTACTGGCTCGACTTCCGGCGGCTTCTCCATCTCTGGGCGAGGAACAGAAGGTATTATCCTGATATAATGAACGAGCTCGTCGAGCTCGTGAAGAAGCCAATCGAGAAGCAGAAAGGGACGAGCTCGAATTCGAATTCGCGACGTTATGCTTCTTGTGCCGTGGTGGGCAACAGTGGGATCTTGCTGCAGAAGGAGTACGGGAAGTTGATCGATAGCAATGAGATAGTGATTCGATTGAACAACGCCAGGACGGCCAAGTTCGAGAAGAATGTAGGGGCGAAAACCGATCTGTCTTTTGTAAATAGCAACATTGTGCATCTATGTGCTAGGAGGCAGGGTTGCTTCTGCCATCCATATGGCCCTGAGGTGCCCATTGCTATGTACATTTGCCAGCCAGCTCATTTCCTGGACTACACGCTGTGCAATTCTTCACATAAGTCGCCGTTGATCGTCACTGATCCGAGATTCGACCTGTTGTGTACGAGGATCGTGAAGTATTACTCGTTGAGGAGGTTCGCTGCGGAGACTGGGAAGTCGTTGGATGAATGGGGATCTGCTCATGATGGGTCTATGTTCCATTACTCTTCTGGATTGCAGGCTGTAATGTTGGCTGCAGGGATCTGCGACAGAGTTCATGTGTTCGGGTTTGGGAAGTCGAGCTCTGCGAAGCATCATTACCATACGAACCAGAAGGCTGAGCTTAAGTTACATGATTATGGAGCGGAGTATGATCTGTATCATGATTTGGTGCACAATCCAAAGGCGATACCTTTCATTTCCGACAAGTTCAAGTTTCCTCCTGTAACGATTCATTATTAGACAACGGTTTGTTCTTGTATTTTGTTGGCAGACTTCCACGTAAACGTTACACGAGAAGAAAAGTTCGTTTCTTTTTTGTGTGTTTGACCCTGTTCAACAAAAATGGCGATTAGGGGTCCATACGAAATGTGTAAAAACTTGATGGGTTAATGCAAAGTGTGAAGCTTTCATTCATTTCCGCAACTCTCATTGCATTTACAGCCATTCCTGTTCAGAACTGGGGTAACTGTTGCTAATGGTGCAAAAGCTTTTCATTTGGGATTCGTTTCTTATTTTGCAGAAACCTTTGCAATTTACAACCAAAAGCAAAGAGCAGCAGCTGATACATATATACATATATGTGCAGTCATATGTTCTTCCCAAGTTTCTAACAGCGAGAAGTACAGAACCATATACAAAATTTTGGAAGAAACCTACTACTTCCAGGCATTACATGCTCCACCAAAAGTTTCCTAACATCTAAAATCTTCTTGCTAGTCTCCCGAGCAAAGAAGATTTCCCGCCAAAAGAGTGAACAGAGGCTGCCCAGAAGGTTCTCCAACGGCTACGCCGCACTTTATGCAGGTTCTACATCTTCAAGCTCCGCATTCTGCTCCTCGTACTTGACTGCCACCAAAAACCTTATGCTCGTCTGCGAAGTCACCAAACCAAGGTCAGTTTTCAACATCTAGCATTTGTGATCATGGATCTAGAAGGAAAGGTTAGTATCGGTCACTTGTCTATATACCATTTTGGGATCATAGACAGCATATTCATTATATTCTAGAACGCTGTCTTTATGCTCTGAAGGCACTAGCTTGCCACAAGGAACTTTGATCCCGTCCTTCCATGTGAAATGCTCAGCTTCATCGGTTTTCTTCCTGCCTAGACCTTTAACTCCAACTTTCTTCTCTTCCAGGCTCTTGGTATCCTGGGGTGGGGTCTTCACCTCGAGGATCTGATTGCCAAGAGAAGCTACTGCCAGAACTAAGAAACCTTCCGGCCTATCCACAGCTGTATATCCATATTTAGCTGCTTCTGCTGCTGCATCAGAGCAAACTATTCCTCTTCCAAACTGGAACCAAGAAGAATGAAGCGCACTGTAAGAATTGAACTAGCGAAGAAGGTAAAAATTTGATTGAAGCATAATGCCTACCATGTAGCCTGGAGCAGGAAGTGAACAAGCTGCAGGCAAGAATCCTTTCTGCAGATGCCTCAGCAGGTTCGAACTCCTGGATCCTGAAACGCAGCGAACCATGGTGTGAGGAAGCAGTTGTTCACTTGCTGCAAATATAGTGCTCAGAGAACTTACCACACCACAGCAGAACTTTGTTAGGTAAGTTCTTCATGTCCTCTAAGGACGGGCTCACACTTGACTCCACAGCAAAAATGTCCTCAACCCTGACACCGTATTCCTGCACCAATAAAGTGAATCACTTCATTCTATTCGAAGATTGGTCCCTGTCATCAATTATCCGAACTATATCTGAAAGGACAGCAGCTGACTCACGATGTCTGCAACTTTGACAGGCTCATAGGTTGTTTCAAGGTACTTCACAATCATCTTGTAGTCATCAGACTCCTTGTCGAGAGCAGAAATGGAGCAACCTAACTTCTTGTATCTATCCGAGAGCGGGTCATCCAGGGTTGCACCAGACATATCTCCAATGAGGCGCGATGCGACATTGATGTCTCTCACCGTCTCATAGCCAGCTGCAGCCTACAGAACGTGAAAAATTAACACTGATTAGTTTTTTCCTGATACTAATCCCACCAGAAGATTGCCAAGTTAAATGTCAGAAAGTTCAGAATGCTGACAATATCTGCCAATTGTTTGTAGTCTTTGAAGATGAAAGGCCTGGTAGAAGGCATGAGAGTGAACCACCGCTGGCTATAGTCAGACCAAACAGCCTCCTCTTTCCGACCCGACCCTTTGGCTGATTTCACAGCTTCCACAAATTGAAGTAGAGCCTCCTCACCTGCAAACATGACTCATTTTCGTTAGACTGGAAACACAAGTCCGCCAAAAGAGCACACCAGAAGGTTGCCTATTACCTCTCTTCAGATGAATATCTGACAGCATTCCCATTGGTAAGTCAGGGGCATCCATATCCATCTCCATTAACGCATACCTAATCCATAAAAAAGACTTCCTCCAGATCCAGAACAGGATAACTGTACAAACCCATGGAAGGAGAAATAGAGGATTGGATGGATACCTGTAGATCTCCTGGCTGCACAAGACCTTCATGAAATTGGCAACCTTCGGTTCAAGACTTGTATGTAGAGACGCGGACCCGAGCTGCCTCAACCCTAGTCCTCCATGCCTCACATCAACTCCATCATCCTGTCCAAAAGCAACCCATTAAGGATCTGAAACAACATACAGCTCATCAACTGATTACAGCCCAACCTCAAAATTTATACCATATCAACTGGGAAGAAGCTGAGTCTCTTCTTCTCGAATTTCTTCTCCCTCTCCCACGGCTCGAACTCATTTCCAGTAATCTCCTCGAACATGCTAACGAACTCGGCTATAGCACCATCCACGCTGTCCCACTCCTCCAGCCTCTCTTCTGCATTCGGGTCGTCACCAACTTTGCCTCTCTTGTAGTACATATGCAGCTTAGTGTCTGGAACAGTGATCAGCTGCATAATACAGAACCTGAGAACAAAGTATCAAAACAGTCGTCTGTCAAAGTTCCCTAGGTGAAGAAAAGAAGGCAGAGTTGTTATAATTCTTACTCATTCATCTCACGGCCGAGATCGCAAAGGAAGAAAGCACAGTTGTACAAGATCCCATCTTTCTCAAGAATGGCTCCCCCTTGGTCCTGCAGCTTCGTGTCCTTGTGCACACCCCTCTTCCCGTACAGCTTCAGCTGATAAAAGAACAACATTCGAAACTCAAATCAGAATCTGCTCATCATTCGTTGGTCATCTACGTGAGCTCGTAGAAAGGTATGCAATACCTCGGCGGTCAGGGACTCGAGAGCTTGATCGGTGGGATCCTGTTTGTCCCAAGGAATCCCTTTGCCATCCACGGCTATATCGGACATGATATCGTATGCTGCCAACGGCTGAAGCTCTTGCTTCTCAATGGAGTCCACCAACCACTCTTCCCTCACTACTCTGATTCCGTTCTCACTTTACAAACAATAATGTAAAGATTTAGTCCAGAGGTTTACCGAGCTACATGTTCGCTACATTTTCCGTTGGAACGATGACTGAAGAATGAATCAAGAACTCACATTGCCTCTGAGTGCTTGGATGAGCCTCCACGCTCTCGCTCCGCGGATGTGCTAATGAGGCAATTAACTCCCAAAACCGAGTTTGAAACTTTCCCGCCATTCTGCTCAATCTGTTTCCTCCATTCTTGCTGCAAAAGGAAGGCAAAAGGGCGGCAAAAGGGTAAAAATCTCTGTTCTAACGGCTATCTTTAAGAACGGAGTTCAGAAATTTCGAATTCGAGAAGTACATGGGTCCTGGAAAGACGGCCTGATAGCGCAATAACCATTCCTGCCAGCGGCTTCAGAGGCACCGCTACATCCCTTTGAGGCCGGCTGCTTGGTTCCTGATACTTATTCAGCATCTGAAAACATATTTTCATTTTTATCAATTAAATTCCTCCATCCCCCAAAAGTTTAGAAAAGGGTTAGTATCATCATATTACATCAACAATGGAGGAATTGAGAGCAGAGTCGGGTAATTTAGTCGAATCCCGTCTTCTGGGAGGGTTCTTGGACTTGAAAGTACAACTAGACCACTCGCTGTAGAAACCTTTACACGCATATATTCTGCCGTTGAACTCCAAATTCGCGCTGCACAACGGACACCTCTCGAGCGGCCCGAAGAACAGCAGGTCCTGACTGCAAAAAGATCTCAACTTTATGAGTCAAGAAAGTTGCATAAAGGACAGACCTTTTTACCAAGTAGTTGAATTTTTTCAGTTTATACCATTTGGTGATGACGACGCCTTCCGAGCCCGAAGGGTCCTGATCGTTCGATTCGAGGATTTCCCTCATCTGCGCGATCGAAAGATGTTCTCTAACGGCTTTCGAGAACTCATCAAACTCCTTGCCGAAATCCCCTCCCGACGAGGATTTCCCGTTGTTCGCCCCATCGTCGGAGTGGTGATCGGTTTCGTTCTTGGGCTTCTTGGTCGGGGAATGGCCTTCCTGTGCAGCTTTCTGCTTCCTGGTCATGATCTTGGTGTCCTGGTCCGACGGCTGGTGGTGGTGGTGGTGTGACCTTGTGTCGTGGACCTTCATGATTCAAATTAGACTTACCTTTGTTTTTCTTACTACTTTCTTCTGTAAAATTTCTCGGCAAACAAACACAACGAGGGAGGGATTGAAACGGTGAGGAAGCGAGGAAGTGAAATTGTGGCGATAAATAGACAGAGAGACACGTAAGAGTGTGTGTGTGTGTGTGAGTAAGCAAAAAAAGCAGAGATGAGGTGTGTAGACGAGAATGCGACAAGTGGACGGGAAGCTATGTGGGTTGACGCCACGTGTCCAACCAGTTCCAAACTTGCCTCCTCCGTCGCCAAGTGGTGACACGATCGAAACTGAAGTGTGCTTATGAAATGTCCCATTCTCTCTCTCATGTTGTTGATGGCCTCAACCTCAAGGTAGAGAAGGAATTAGGTTTAGGATTTCTTGCTACTTGGATCATGTTTAACTACAAAACCTATATGGGTTATCTTGTATGTTTGATGTATAGTTGGTACTGTGTTATCCTAATTTAATGTTAGCGATTCGACTATGATGCTAACGTGTTTTGGGATCGAGACGTTTTTGTACGATTCACAATTGTTGAATTGCACATTTTATGTTTTATGTCTATCTAACGATCGTGGATCATGAAACATGCAGTCCAACGACTATCAATGTGTAAGGAGTTAGGACAGTAGACTCGTTCCAAGCTTCAAGACACGTAGGGCTGACTATTTGGTCCCGGACTGTTTGGTTTTACTCGAAACCGGACCGTATAACCCGGACCGTATAACCCGGACCGGGACCGGACTGGGACCGGATAGGAAACTATCCAATCTCATGTTCGGGCTTAGATTTGAGGTAAAAAACCAGGATAAAGATCGGATAAGCACTACAAAAAAAATGGCCTATGGCAAGGGTTATTTTCACTTATACCAAGGGTTTTAACCCTTGCTACACAATTTAGCAAGGGTTTGTCAACCCTTGTATCAACCCTTGCCAAAGCCACCCCTGCTACGTGTAGCAAGGGTTTTGAGCAACCCTAGGTGCAAGTCCCATGCAAGGGTTATAGCAAAGGTTTGAACCGCTGGTACATGTAGCAAGGGTTAAAACCCCTTGCTAAAACTCAGTAAATTTTACCAGAGATATGTTAATAGCATGGGTTAGAACCCTTGGATAAATACGTGGCAAACACTAGCAAGGGAAAAAACCCTTGCTACGGGTCTTACATAATTCGTGATTAAAGCAAAACCAACATTCGCAACCAACTATACTGTCATTAAATAATGGTTGCTAAAGAGAAACGAGGACGAGAACTGGAAGCTAAGCTTGGTTGCAAATGCTTTGGTCACTATAGACAACCCTGAACCAAATGCCAAATTTTTTAATAATAACCAAATTCATTCCATGCACTTTACCCGTCAATACTTCAGCATTCATACCATAAACATAATATAATTCATGATCCAAAATAATAATATTACATGGATAAACGCTAATTAACAAAAATATTCAAACATAATCCAAAGAAGCATGGTATGTTTATAAAAGCTGCATGAGTAGATCATGATCCAATCCTTTATAGAAAACATTCACAATGACATCGTATCGCGAAGCTCGAGAACCCAAAGACGGAGCAAGAGCACTAGTTGCACCCTGTTCATAAGAGAAAATAATTAGTAAGAGTAACATTAACACCGAGTGTGAACTGACAATGAGCAAATAACAATACATCAATCTAGCAAGGCCCACATAATTAGCTTTGAAGGAGATGATAAGAGTTCAGAGCTACTTATAGAATAGTTCACTGCTAGAGAGGCAAGGCTCCTAGAGCCTCACATTATGCATTCTCCCTTTTCATCTGTAAACAAATTCAATATTGCACATTTTAATTCTTTTAGCTAAGTGTCTACTTCAGCTCTGACAATGAGAAATAAAAGAGTAAACAAATTTGAAAATGAACAACTTAATATATAATTCATAGGATTAGGAAGATGCTCATATTTGTCTCCGTTGTCACCCTCACATACCTAGCTACCATCACCATTCATTGAGAGCAAACCAGATAAGTTCCTAACAGAAAACAAGGCTGCCTTTTGAACTTACTTGTTGCTATTACTCTGTTCATACTAGTGCTCTTGTATGCTGAATCCATGGTAAAGCCATCGACTGCATCAGAAGCACATAAACTCAATCATGATGAGCTGGAAAGCCTATCAAACAAAAGGGTTCAAATATGGCAAACCTTGACAAATACGTAGATATGTACACAACCATATTTACCTTATTTGCTACCAGTTTGACATACTTATCATGCATTAATCATGCATCGAACAAAACCTCAGAGCACCCAAACCTTGCCAATAATGAACAAGTAGAAGTCATTTAAAATAGGTTTCTTTGCAAAAGCCATTTCAAAACATTTACATTATGATGAAAGTTCACACAACACCTACCATGGAGAGAACTTCAGTGTTAGAACTTAGAACCAACTTCACTTGTGAGTAGACACCTTGCATACTCCTTGCTCTACCATCTCGATTATAGTCAGATTTCTAGTCATAATTATTCTGCAAAAAACGATGAAAGCACTATATATGAAGAATAATGTTCCAAGGTAGCTCCTTGTACTAACATTCTCAAAAGCAACAATATCCTCCCCCCTCTCTCTAGCTAGCTAGTTGTATGTACCTGTTTGAGGTCAGCCTCCACCCTCTGAAATTGATCGCCACTCTATCATATGCACTGCAGCAAACAACAAACAAAATCCCATGTTGATGCTTTCATCTACCCTCTGAAATTTATCAAGGGGAACATTATGTTTTTGTAATGTTCAGTTGCTGTTTGCAGAATGTGCAGACCAATGCATATCAGCAACTGCACAAACCAGTACAATCTTAAGCATAATATGAAAAGATTTGTGCAAAGATTGATAATGCGAAAAGGGAAAATACCATGGGAACTTGATAGTTCTTATTACATGCTTCCCATGGCCGAGGCTCCAATACGTAAGTGCCATCATACTGAAAACAAATATATTGATAGTTATTTCATGCCCAGAAATACCAACCAGAAGATACAAGATCAAAGATCACCATTTTTCAAGTACTATTAAATAAATTGCTTCAATAACATGTATAAATAAAGGCAGCTCAGTAGCAGGAACAACATGACACACATCTAGCAGTACTATGAACCAAAATCTAGACAGATCGATATGAATACTCAACTTAAAACGAAGAGCTATGTTGATAATAGCATCGCCTACAAGCTCCCAATTAGGACCCATATCATGTACAAAGATGAAAAGTGCCTGTAATAGAGAAATCATATATTGCCAAATTAAGAAGCTATCCTACTCAGTACCAAAAGTTACAAAGAGCAAGATCAAAGAGGTTGCATGATACCTGATCCTCAAATAGGGACCATGGACGTCCAAAGCAAGGCTGGTCAGCAGATATCTGTTGAGAAGAGCATTTGTCTAACTCATCTAAACGTTTAAATGCCCGGGAGACAAACTGATAAGTTATAGACGAACAGTAATCATGAACCCATACCTTCAACAACTTGGGTTTCCTTCCCCTGTCCCTGCTATTGATCAGTCTCATAAACTTCTGGAATTCAAATGACAAATGCAGATGTAGAGGTGGAATCCATGCCTTCAGGGGTTGATCTTCCTGAAGATCGAACACTTGAACCAGCCTGTTAAAATGGAAACAAGCTTAATCAAAGTAAAGTTTCAACAAAATGGTGCAGAACTAGCCACCAAAGGGATCAACCTCTATTTGAGTGAAAGAGAATAGACAGAGATAGTAAATGGTGATTGGAAGGAAACCTTTCATAGTCATATCCAAGTGAAAGGGAGGATAAAACATAAATGTAATGATGCAGAACTAGCCACCAAAGGGATAAATTTCAATTCATCAAAGCACACCGAGACAGCTCGTATGGATCGGGGAAAACCCCTTCCATCCACAACACAAACACAATCAACAACCAATCAAATGAATATCACCCGCTAGTACATCATACTCCTCTCTGTTTCCCTTACTTTTTAAGAAGAAGAAAATCAACTGCGTTAGCACGAAGCTACTGTGCAGACTAAACAGAAAAGGCAAAGGGCTAACTATTGTACATGCTCCACAGCTTCCACTAGCATCATCAACTGCACAGATATACAATACTGAATTCGCCAAAAGCAGTATACCGAAACACAATCAATCACCGACTTATGCTAGCATGATCAAGTGAATAGAGATTGATCCCTTAGCTAGGGTGAGTTCGTGGTGAAAACTGACTAATCCACTAAACCACAATATATCAATACTTCTACATCGAATGGTGAGAGCTACCATCTAAAACCAAACAAAAAACAACCAGTCCTTTACATAAAGGAGTCAAACTCCATGCATCCAGACAACCTTAGCAACCTAAAACTCAGGGACATTGCATGCGAACCTTCTCAAAACCAAATTAACAACAAGAACAAATAAGATAGAGTCGGTGCAAAACAAAAATGAAACCTAAAACCTATCTATATCCAGAACGAGAAAGGGATCGAAGAGAGATATAACCTTGTAGCCTGAGATAGGGATCGAAGAGAGAGATCAGGGAATCGCGCTGCTTGGAATGGATGAGAGATCGCAGATATCGGGCGCCGCTCGGAGTGAACGAGAGATCTGCCATCGCCCGGAGAGAACGAGAGATTGGGCACGGCACGGAGTGAACGAGAGATCGGGCGCCGCTGGAGAGACCAAGAGATTGGGCGCTGATCGGAGTTAACGAGATCGGAGAACCGCTGCTCGGAGTGAACGAGAGACTGAAGAATCGCTTGGGGGTGAGGGAGAGAACGGAGAACTCGTATTTTTTTTTTGAATTCGTTTAGTGATTTACTCGAAGGAGTGATGTGGCGGGGGTGGGCGGATCTCAGTGACAATACTGAGCTTGAAATAGAGAAGCGGAGTGATTGGAATAAGTTTCCCAGTTTGGTTATTAAAACAGAGTTGGGCGGTAGCAAGGGTTTCTAAACCCTCGGTGTAAACCGCCGTTAGAATATGTTCCGAAAATTTTAGTAGGGGTTTGTTAAACCCTTGCTACATAACCCTTGGTATAGGGGCTTTTTTTTGTAGTGAAGAGACCCCAACATCTAAAATCAAGATCAAATTGGGACCGGACCGGGTCAAGACCGGACCGGGTCAAGACCGGACTATATCCAATCCAATCTTTGGTCCTTATATTCCCGAAAAGACGGAACTGAGACCGGATCAATTTGGTCCAATTTAACCGAACCGAACTGTATAGCCACCCTACAAGGCAGGATGGGTTTCTGCTGCAAAGATTAGAGTGTGACGAAGGTGAATACAGCCAACTCCCAAGTCCCAATTCCCTGACAACAGGAAAACCCACCGTTTGTCTGATTGTCTCCGGGTCCATGGATCTCCATTTTGTTTCGGTCCAAAACCGCTCATAACCTTCAATTGTTTCGGTGGTGCAGATCCATAGGAAACGGTCTTAACGAGGCCCAACCCAAAAGATGGCGAACGGGCCGGAAAAGAACAGCAGACCACCGAATTCCTGATTTGGGCCACGTTAGATGGTTGCGAGAGATTGTCTTTGGAGGATTTTCTTGTCATGGCTTGCATGGGTTTTTCTTCTCCGACTCCTCCAATCCCTTTTTTTTGGTAGAAACAGGACGCTAAGGGCGCCCTAACCTTTATTGAGCACGAACAAAGCGGGGGGTTTCGCCCCCCACACGATCAAACATCAGCCAGTACAGAAGTTTAGTGTCAGGCCTATCCAAGAAATGCACCCCGATCGATTGAGAGTGACCCATAGAAGCTAAATGATCCGCGGCGAAATTTGCTTCGCGGAAAACATGATCAATCCTAACGGTCCAGTCGCGGTTGAGTCTCTGTCTGATCGCTGCCACCTGAGTGAAGTGGATGTGTCTCGGCGTCGCCTTGTCAATCAGGTTCTTTGCAGTGGACGAGTCGGTCTGAAGAATCACCTTCCTGGCTCCCTGTTCCCAGGCGAGATCCAACCCATACACAATCCCAGCCAGCTCTGCACGAGTGATCGAACCCCCTCCAAGGTTCGCAGTGAATGCTTTGAGAAACCGGCCATCACTCCCCCGCATGATGCCGCCGCAGCTCGTGCTCTCAGGAGAGAAGGTGACTGAGCCATCTGTATTGACACAGACCCAGTCCTACGCCGGTGGTTGCCAGCCGATTTGGCGCTGCTCTCGGAGTCCCCCTCCTCCGAAAATGGATCTCTCCTTGTCGAGTGCTTGAATAGTCTGGTCTCGGAGCTGTTTTGTGTGAAACTGGATCTGTGTATGAGTCTTCAGCTCCCCTTGGAACACGTAACCATTCCGGTTCTTCCACAGAAGCCAACATGTCCCTGCAAAAAGAGTACTGTCGACGATATTGCTCTTATCAGAAATGTAGTACAGAGACCACCTGTGTAAATCCGGCTCGAAAAAGCGGGAATCGGGCTCCTCTCCTAGCAGCTCCGCCCATGTCGCGCGGGAGTAGGGACAATCCCTGAGGACATGCAGCGTCGTTTCCGGGCCTTCTCCACATATTTTGCAGCTGGTGTTGGTCGTCAGATGCCTCCTCCCTCTCTCCGCATTCGTCAGCAGTCGGTCGTAGTTCAGCAGCCACAGGAACGCCCGGATTCTCTGCAATGCCGGCGTCCTCCACACCGACCGCCAGATTGGCTGGCCGGAAGCTGGGCTCGCCGTGGTGTCCGTCAGATCATACGCCGATCGCAAGGTGAACTCGCCATTTGGGGTAAAGCGCCATACCCTCACGTCGTCTTCCACCTCCGTCGGGATAGGATGGAGCAAAACCTGCGAAACAAGTTGCTGGGGTAAGTAGTATTGAAGAAACTCCATGTTCCACTTACCATTGAGCACAAAGTCGGCGACAGGCATGTCGAGCAGCGTCGGAGGTAGGTTCTGCGCGTGGTCTTTGAGGGTGGTGGTGTCGTCCAACCACCTATCGCTCCAGAACTTGGCCGAGAGGCCATTCCTCACATTCCACGCCGTCGCCTCCTCCGTTAGGTGAGCTACCCGCAGCACACCCCGCCAGAGGTTCGAGAGCCGCCCCGTGGTGAGGAATCTCCTGCCATTTGTTGTGTTCCTCGAGTACTTCGAGAGGATGACCCTCGCCCACAGCTCGCCAGGTTTAGTGAGCAACCTCCAGGCTATTTTCAGCATGTAGGCTTCGTTGGTTCGGGTAGAATCCCTCAGCCCCAGACCCCCTTCATCTTTCGGTCGGCACAACGTTTCCCAGTCGACGAGGTGAACCTTACGGCCCTGGTCGGAGCTCCCCCAGATAAAAGCTCTTATCATCCTGTCAATATACTCCCTCACGCTAGCGGGGAGGAAAGTTGTCTGCATTGTATAGGCAGGAAGAGAAGCCAACACTGACTGGGCAAGAGTGATCCGTCCTGCTAGAGATAGCGTGGACGCTTTCCAACCTGCCAGACGGGTGTCTATCCTGTCAATCAGTTGCTGGAAGGTGGCCTTCGAGACCCGATCGTGAATGACCGGGACACCCAAATATCTCCCCAAGTTCTGGGTGACCTGGATCTGAAGCTCATCACTTAAGCTAATCCGACACTCCGTGGTTGTGTTGGCTGAGAAAAACACTCGAGACTTGGGTCTGCTGACCTGCTGTCCTGAGGAAACACCGAACTGCTCGAAGCAGTCATTGATCACCTCCAATCCCTTTGATTGCTGAATGTTATATATGTCAACCTCAAAAATAGATGAATGAACTATTATTGTTTTTTTTAGATGCACATACATGCAGTTAGCGTATGTAATATGTATAGTAGTAGACGGTATGTTTTGTTAGCGAACGTTGTTATATGATGCACGATTGAACCTCTCACAATAACTATTGGGACCAATTGGTTCTTGGCATGGTATCATAGTCTTATGTGATCAAGAGGTTTTGTGTTCGAAACACATGTATTCTCCGTGTTCAGGACACGTGCAAACGAAAGACCTTATAAAGTGACTGAATTTCGTACGTAAATATGTTTATCCCTAAAAATCTCATAGATATGGCTTTAAGGTGATGAACCCAACCAACACCCCAATTTTCAATCCTTCCCGACAAACGAGAGTGGCGGTCCCTTATCTTGAAGAAAAATCAAACGATGACCCTTAATAAGTAATACAAAACAACTTTTCACAACAAAGCAATATTTTTTTCCCCTCTTCCAACTTTTTGTGTTTTCACTAGAGAGGTCGGTCATCAATTCAAAACCCTACCTCAATCAGAAAACCCCTTTCTCTCAACTCCACACATATATTACATTCACTAGACAGAAAATTCCACTTGGAAGGGAAAATGGTCATGTTAGTATTCTGTTATATGTGTACACAGACACACTATATTGCCGACGAATCCAAATCACAAGCTTTTCAATTTTGATCTTTGTCAAGAGCACTACGGATTTTATTGCGGCTATATATAGTTTCATCGTATGATTCGTAGAGAAATAACAAGCGATTATAATGCTCGTCTAATTGGTAAAATTGTAACGCAAGTGATTAAGATATATGACTCGTCAAAATGAGGTTCTAAGTTCCGATACATACATCGCATAGTTTTCCTTTATAATTTTTGGTGTGGATCGAATTTTCCTTTTAAAGAGAAGGACTGAAGACATTCTTTTAGTATGATTGCCACCAAAAAACATTAGTCCTCTAACTTATTGTACCAAACACTTACTCCATATATGTTGATATTTATTGATAGAAACTCTCTATTGCACATGCCCTTACAAGTTGGGAAATATATGTACACACAATGAAAATGCCTCCATTTTTTGCTTAAATTTATGCGCTAATTACCCTACACTTTTCAACTAATCATGTTTTATGGAGAAGAATTGTCAGTTGTTGGGAATGGTGGCCTCCAAGTTAGACTATTAAGTACATAGTTAGTCAATTAACGAGCTTTATCAGTTACACATCCATAGAGCGGCCATTGGTTCACTTCCTTTGTTCTTCATTCGCATTAGGTGAAAATGTTTGTTATTAGCTAGCTACTAACCCCATACAAGTTAACCCAACTAATCGGTATATCACACGAACGAGAGTTTCGTTTCAACGTTGAAATCCTAAATTTGAATTTCAGGATGACAGAAGAACGATACTTATTTATATACATAGAAGACGGATAATGCTATTTCATGATTAGGAGAACATCGATACAAGATCAACAATGTGAAACCTTTAAACTAACATTTTGATTAGGGAACTAGGAATTGTGAGTTTAGCAATGAAGCAGACAAATTTTCCCCATCTTGGGAACAATATGATAACCTTACACAAACATTATCCTTGATTATACCCTAATTAGGAAGAAAATTCATCTGCTTCACTACTTCAACTCAATCCAACATAGCCTAAAAAACACAAACACACAAAACCAGAAATTAATTCATCACTCTTGTCACATCCAAACCAACAAAACTAAAGATACCCTTATTTCTTTCCTTTCATCACATCAGAGGCCAACTCGTCCTCCGGCGAGTGCTCCGGAGCAAACCAATCTCACTTCCATCCCAGAGAATGTTTGCTACTAAGCACAAGCTTTCCAGACCAGACACTCTGACCACATACACGTCAGATAAAAAGAAATTCTCGGCTCAAACTCGAGTCGAGAATTCGCTTTTATCTTACATTACAAGGCAGGATAAAATAAAACTCTCCAGACTCTCGAACTTGCACTACACAAACTAAAAATGTCTCAAAGCAGATGATTGACGATCATAATAAACCAGTTAACTTCTCTCTCACACATGATCGCCGATCAGCTAGCTCGCTGCAAAGCTAAGCAAACTCCTCCTCCTCGTCCTCGTCATCATCATCATCAGTACCAGCACTCGTGACGCACTCCCTGCTGCAGTCGTCCTCCGCGAACCCTTCGAGCGAAGGGCTCGCGCGGGGCGAGTGACCGCCCCCGAACGACCTGATGTGGTCCTTGAGCGACCTCTTGTGCTTGAAATCGGACCCGCAGGTGCAGTACCATAACTTCCCGCAGTTCTTCTCGTGTGTCCTCCAGTCTCCCTTGACGGCAAAGGTCTTGCCGCACTTCCTGCAGCCGAAGGCCTTGGCGCCGTGCTTCCTCTTGTAGTGTGTCTGCAGGGTTCTGAAGTCCTTCAATGGCTTGGCTCGTGGGTGGTTGATGTTGTTCTTGCAGCCATGGGCGCAGCAGTAGCACGGCATCCTCAGCATTGCGGCCGGTTGGGTTCCTTTGAGTGAGTCGGGTCCCTTCCTGAACTCGGACCCATGGCCCCACATGTGCATCTGAAAATAGTCAACGGATCACAGGGCTTTTTAGAAAGATGGATTTTGTTGAGATTTGATTCCAAGGGGGTTTTGATTAAGCGCTAAGATTTGGTGTTTTTGTTTGACTATATTTACATGCTTACAAATTTTTGTCCTAGAAAAGAAAAGAGAAGGGGAGGGAGAGGGAGAGTCCTCCTTTTTGATAATCTAAGTGCATGAATTTTCTCCAATCCTTTTGTTTTATGCGTGTCAGTAGGGCTGTTAATGAGCCGAGCTATTCGTGAGCGACTCGGTCTCGAACTCAATAAAAGCTCTTTGATTAGAAAAAAGCTCGGCTCATTAATAAACGAGCCGAGCTTGAGCTCTACCTTGTTCGGCTCATGAAGCTCGTGAACTAGCTCGATTAGGTGGCTCGTTTAATACAACTCGTGAACTGTCTCGTTTTGGGCTTATGAGATGTCCCAACATTGTGACTGGAGAGCTAACTCGACTGCAGCTTATGAGAAAATCAATCTATATTTTATGAGTTGGTTTGTTAATGATGCATATAATTATTAAATTGTATATATAACCTCATATGGTGTTTAATACATTGAGTATATGTAAGCAAATACGTCTCATATATGACATAACATTCGGTAATCACTTGTATCACATATGACATATAAATATTAGGGTATTTATATTATAAATTATCTTAAAGTTGAGCTCGAGCTGAACTTTCGATCTTAACGATGTGTCAAGATTTAATAAATGAGTTGGTTCGTGTTCGACTCGACTTGTTAATAAACGAGTCGGGTTCGAGCTCGGCTCGTTTATAAACGAGCCGAACATGAACAGGCAAAGCTCGACTCAGCTAGGCTTATTAACAGCCCTAGGCGTGGGTATCAGTATTTTTTGGATTTAAAGTCTGACATCACAATCACTGATAAAATCAAAGTGGATTTCGTTCCTCGCGCAAGAAACAAAAGTGCAAACTGGGTGGCTGGTGAAGCTTGTAAAGGAACTCTCCCAAATGAATGGATCTATGTTCTGAATTTGATTTTCCCTTTGTTGTGATAGGCTTTGCTTGTAACACAATCTTTTCTGAATAAAATCCCTCTCTTCGTAAAAAAAAAAATCCCTCGATTAAGCCAGTATCAATTGTCAAGAATCAATTGGGCTGTTTCAATAACTTTGAGTTGTTCAGAGAAGTTTCGGAATATATCTTACACTATATACTCTCCACATGCCATCTGAAACGAAATTCTGAGTTGTTTATTTCCAAAACGAAAGATCCTACCTTTTTTTTTCTTCGACTCTGTATCTAGATCTTTAGAGGGTGTCCCAAGAGAACAGCTAGGATTTTGAATCGCAGTTTTCCCTGTGACAGATCATCTCACCTTTTTAATCTGCCTGTTCTCCGCGAGGGTTTACACTTTAGAAGGAATAGTACCAATGCTATTACTCCACCAATTGCAATTCCCGAGGTTGAAGAGAGACTAGGCTTTCAGCCTTCTCTTCTCTGATAGTTCATTCCACCTATGCTAAGAAAAGAGCCTGGAATTGATTCTTCCTGGGTCGATGCCCGAGCGGTTAATGGGGACGGACCCCAGCCTCTTCAAGAAAGCAAAGCTTGGTAGGCGCTGCCTACTCACTCCCCATAGGTGCCCCTTCTTCCAATGGTACTATAATTCCTATTCCTATGATATTATCACCGACTATGATTATCTAACAGTTCAAGTACAGTTGATATAGTTACTCGTAGGTTTGAAATTTGCATAAACCCATAATATCTTGATTTTAAAACAACGGTTTCATATTGTTAAATGTAGGGATTATTCCTAAACAATACCTTTTGATCATCGCGGACTTTGATATCATGTAAAAAAAATTGGTTTCAAAAATACAATGTTGTATAAGATTTATACTGAAATGTCTCTCAATAATTCGACTTATTAAAATCAATTAGTTCTTGACATTATCAAGTGATCACCAAGCTTGGATATTCTTCATTTTTGTCATTAATTAACCCCTAAAGAGGAGTAGGTTTACTTTATTTATATTATCATACCTCTTTAGTTCTTTGAAAAATCTCACTTATGAATTTAAGTAGTAGGAGCTTTATGGAGTCATGATTAAAGAATGAGTATCCAAGGTGTTGTGTTTGCTCAATATCCATTCTTTTGACATTGGCTACATCCTTTTGCAATATTTATATGTATGAGACACTAATCATTCTCAAAAACAATTCTGCCCTTTTTATAATGTGTGCAAGTGTGTGGCACAGTTTTTCTTTTTTTTACTTACCCCAACTAATTAATCCCCACCTCTACTAGCTTCCCACTAAGTTATAGGAGTAATCATGAGAGTTGAAAGCATTTGATGATCATTAGTGCTAAGATGAATAAGACGACCATGGAAAAATGATCTCAAAGGTGGGCTACATATCTATGGTAGGGGTAATCCCACGTTGAGCAAATTTGTGAGACTTTGAGAGGGTTATTTGGATTTGGGGAGTTTCAAAAGTGATAATTATCTCATGTATTCTCTTATTCTATGCTTATCAAATTAAATCAAGGTGCTATAAGCAAATGAATCAAAAATTCACTTCCTCTAAAAATGATTCATCAGTAGTTTGGAAAGCATTCAAATCTTTAAAAATAAATCGAATTGAGTTCTGAAATCATGCACGAAGATAGTATACTATTAAATTTCTTTTGATATTATACTTTGTCTTCTACGCATTGAGTTTTTTTATGAGAGAATGAGAGTTTAAAGAAGGTGAAAGAAATAAGAAAAATAAGATTCATACATGATTATGCTAATTTAGTACAACTTTGAGGTGATTATGTTGTGTAATTAACCGTTGAATTCATTTGGGAATTTTATTAGTTTGTTTGGAATCACAATGATTAATTCTAGTTCTTTGGTACTCAAAATTTAGAACTAAAAACAAAAAATTTATATGGCCAACACAAATGAATTTATTTCGGAATAATTTTTTAAATTATTTGAATATAATTCAGTTGTTTTAAATCGAACCTTATTAATAAACAAGATAGAAATAACAAGAACTAATCGATGCGAACGGTAAGAATTGAACGATTTGAAGTGTATCTCATACCAAGTTGCATGTGTGGCAGTGCTGAATCATTTGACTATATAAAATTCCATCTATAGAAAAGAAATGTTGGTTTCTTTTCATCCATTAGTGTGTGTCTTCATCTGATTATGTTTGATAATCATTTCAAAAAAGTTGACACATTACTGTTCTTTTCCTATCTTGCTGGTTTTTGGCTCAATGAACTTATTACTAATTTCATGTCCCTACAAAAAAAGCCAAGAGCACAGTACTACCCTTTCTTGAACCCATTTTGAACCATTAGAAATATTTCTCTTTTGCTCAAAAGAACAATGTGACTAATCAAAATTTTCCTAAGGACACACCATATACATCAGCTAAGTACACTGTCCCACAGAGAAGATTGAGAAAATGAAAAAAAAAAAAAAAGAACCAAACAAACAAATCATAAAGGTGGAAAGGAGGAGTAGTGCTCAAGGACCCTATATCAGCTCCCATCACTCAAAGAAAAAAAGGAAACCACACAAAAACCAAACACATGTATCCATCATACAAGTAGTTGCAGATTGTGCATTATGTACAATATGCTTCTTAGTGAAGGGAACATAGAGAAAGAAATTGACTAGTCATGCACTAACCATTGACAACCCATTATTGTAAAATGCCAAATTCCTAAAATCACGTATTCGAATCTGTCACCCATTACTAATAACTTGGATGATTGATAAGAACGTTGCAAAACACCACCTCTACGATCAAAATTTAATCCGATCCGAATTCTATTTCGATTCATGGATGACAAACTGCCACACTTCAGACGAGCTAGCTAGAGAGAGAGAGAGAGAGAGAGACTGACCTGCATATTGTTGTACCTATTGAAGGTCTTGCTACAAATGGAGCAAGCAAACTGCATAGGGCCAACAAGTATCTGTGCTGGAGTTGGGATCCAGAACCTGCTCTCCTTGTTGAATGAAGAACCTTTAGTAATAGCAACAGCACCACCACCACCACAGCCAAGGGAGCTCCAGTAGTTCTTGATGATCTTGGTTTCCTTCAACTCAAACACCTTGCTGGTCATCATGTTCTCATCAACAACAACATCATCCCTAGAAACAACACTATGCAAACCAATGTGGAGAGCAACCTTGACCTTCTTCTCAGCCTCTTGCTTAACTTCAACAACAGTAGTGTTATTATTAGTAGTAGTAGTAGTACTAGTACAACTACTACTCATGTAGTTGCTACTAATTCCCTCATGAACTAACTCCATGGCTTCTCCTTCTTCTTCCTCCTCCAGCTTCAAGTTGGAATAATCTTGGTGGTTGCTCATGAGCTTGCTAAGGAGAGGCAAGCATTTGGTGGATGGTTCTTCCTCCTCCTCCTCCACTTGTGGGTAGAAGACATGATGATGATGAGTTGGGACAGGAAGTGAAAGATGAACTTGTTGTTGGGTAGAAGGTGAAGATGATGAAGGTGGTTTGAGCCATTCAATGAAAGTTGGAGGATAGAGATTAGTGCTTAGCCCCATATCCCTAATGTGTCTTTTTGTTCTTTCTGTTTGTGGGATTGGTGAGGTTGAATGGGAGAGGAGGAGGAGGAGTTTGGTGGCAAGTGGGATGGATTCCCTCTTCCTGGTGAAGAGATGGGAGGATTGGGAGAGAGGGGGGTTTTCCAGTGTTTATATTGAGAGTTCTGTGTGTATAATGGTTGGATTTTGGGGGAAAAGATGGGAAAGGGGTTTTTGGTTGGCTTTGTATGTTGAGAAAGTCTTCGTTTCCATGGCTTTTTGGCATTTGGTTTTCATATTTTCCCTTTCATTTTCAACCTTTGGGTATTTGTTCAGTTGGAGAGAGGGAGAGGGGGGATGGGATTAGTGCATGTGGTGGGGTAAAAGAAAACGACTTCACATAAAATGAACAGAATCCAATAATAGTAGAATTACTATTCGTACATTTTACTTTAGCCTGGTTCGATTAAGAGGATTCGGGTGTTCTCTTTTTTACATGACTTGATCTATAAACAACGAGGTATGAAATGTCACTCTGTTCAGGATAGGTTTTGTGTTTCGATTATATATTTCTCATTTGTAGTAGTCTTTAGTTTTTTTACGCTGAAATGAATTTTTTCGTGATAACTAATGATTTTGTGGTTGTATATATTAGGAATGGCAATGGGGCAGGTACGGAGCGGGTTTCTTGGTACCCAGACCCGCCCCTTAGCAGGTCGGGTCCTGGTCGGTTAATTTATCACCGAGTTGCGGGTTGAGGCGGGTCGACCTAATGGGTATGCAATTTATATGAAAAAATTAGAAAAATTAGTTATTTTTATTATAAGACCAAGAAAACAAACAATATTATGATAAATGTAGTTAAATTATTAGAGAAATTGAGAATTTCACTAATTTACAACTTTATTATAGCTAAAATATGATGTAATAAAAGAAAAATTCAAAGTAATTTGACTAAGATTACATGTAATTAGGCAAGAACGGGTCGAGAATGGGGCGGGTCAAGGCAGGTCGGATCGATGAGAGTACACATGCCCGCCCCGCCCGCCTACGTGGCGGGTCGGACCCGCTCCAAAACGGACCAAATATGTCATGTAAAACGGGTCAGATCGAAATTGCCATAGTATATATATATGGAGAAACTCACAAGCATGCATAGAGAAGTTGTAGAAAGGCGCTAGAATGACACCGAAATTATTACTCGCATATGTGAGGGCAATATAAATTAATATCGAATAACACATATTGTTCTCTCGTTCATGAAAGAGTCATATATGATGTTTTTAGTGAATTCATCTATAAAATATTGTGATCGACGTTCTCATCGACTTAAAAAAGGATGTTGAAGAATTTCATGATATTTGGATTTATTGGAGTAGCCTTGCTCATGAGATGGTTGGTTTTTATTTACTACATACATGCATCAATAGTGTCGGAACTAAAGGCCGAAATTGTGGAACTTGGAAGAGATTTTGACTCTGTTATTAAAGGGTTTTTTTCCCCTTGTGCCATATATTTCAAGTCAAGCATATAGAGTTGATTCAACCTGGCCATCATTAGCTAATGAATTTGACTGAGTTTTTCTCTTCGTCGTCGCTTTTATACTGCCGTTTCCTTTGTGTATTGGAAAATTAGCATGTCGTATTTGTTGCTCTTGTCGACACTAGAGAAGATAAAGAATGAACGCAACTTTCAGGGATTGTCTTTTATATCACTCCATGATCTTGATGCCCGCATTTGACGGGAGAAATCATCAGTTTAAGCCCACACCTGTGTAGAGTAGATCGTTCAACACCTGCGGCACAAACTCATTTTTGACCTATTGGTCGCAATTTCGTTCCTTCGCCCTTGCCCTTATAAACTAGCCCATCAAACGGAATTGAAAGGCCTTCTCCTTTAACTGGGAGTGGGAGCTGTTGGATTAGCTTTCCCCTATTAGAGAATGACGCTGCTTACTTTGCTTTCACGCGCTGGCTTGCTTATACGTGCTAGTTGGTACCTACGCTTCGTATTCTATCCCACGGAAGACTCGCTACGGGCTTCGCTCTTTCCGTCACTCATCTCCCCTCGCCCTAGATTTGAATAAGGGCTTCTTTGATCGTCGAGTGTTTTTTCTCTCCTCTTCTTTCTTGCACTCACTCTCGCTCCTTCCGTTCATGCATCACACCCGTGATGCACTCACTCTACCTCTGCGCTTTTCCTACCCTGGGTTAAGTTCTTTATCCCGAAACAACGGGTTCTTTATACCGAAACTATTGGTTCTTTATACCGAAACAACGAGACCCCTGCCCCTCTACTTTCGCTGTGGTGGCATCAAAATAGGGAACTTCCTTTATCCGGCAATTCCGGAACTGGCTTCTGTTTTGGATGGCGTTTCTCTATGGAATCTTGTTCTTACAGCCTTCCTAAAGAGCTATGCGACGTCACAGATCAAGCTTTCCGAGTTGTTTATTTCCAAAACGAAAGATCCTACCTTTTTTTTCTTCGACTCTGTATCTAGATCTTTAGAGGGTGGTAGCCCTATATCTTTAGCTTCCACTTTCCCATCAGATGCTTTTCTAGCTTCTCGGAAGGGGTCTGGATCCTGTTGCCAAAGCTCATAATTCCGGGTTTCGTGTATCAATGCTTCTAGATTAGTGTTAAGGGTGGTCGAAGATCAGGCTTGACTGACCGACTTCATTGACGGTGCATTTCGTTCTGGGCTAAAGATCAATGACGAAAGCATAGTCCAAGGTACATGTGTTAAGCATATCGCTTAATATACCAATCACTTTCTTTCGGGAACATGAGAATGGTATGCCCAGTTAACTAAGGGACATAACAACGATTGGGACCTGAAGTGGTAGAACGAAGAAGGTCAACCAAGTGTACTAATGTGGGCATTTATTTCTTCTGAAAGCCTTTCTTAGCTCCCTCTATCGAACCATCTAAAATCACATAGCCCTAACGAGCTAGCCTAGTAGCAGGAGTTTCACAGCCTGATTAATGCGCCTTAAAAGCGCACTTTTATGGCCCTTCGTCGAGATTTTTTTTTAGAGTTTCTTTCTCAGGATGTGCCCTCATTACGAGCTTGTACACATGGTTCTAGAGCTACTCGTAGGGCGAAGGTTTATTATGAGCCCGAAAAGCGGGCGAAGGCTACTTTAGCCAAAAACGGATTTCACTCATCTTAGCCGGAATGTGCCCCTAGTATACTCTACTTGTTCGCCTGTGTCGGTTTGGGGTACGGTCAGTTCACCGGGAGGATCGCCCTTTCTTTTTTCACTCTCGAATTATCATAGAGAAAGAGTTGATGTTGATGGTCGAATTGTAAACAGATTGACGGTAGGTTCGAATCCACATGCGTCTTTTTTTTTAGGTATGCCGCTCCGCGAGCAAGGAGCGAGAGAAGGAAGTGGCCCTACTTTCCAACCCTTTATCACGCCCCACGCCCAAGAGCTTCCGACAAACCACAACCTATTCACTTCTGCCGAAATGAGAAGATACATATACATTAATATGGTAAAGAGCCTGTCGACGTCTCCTGTTTAGAGTCGTAATGTCTCAAAGAGTTCGGAAGAGCCTTCCTGGTAGGGACCCATTACTTAATTCCTTTTACCAAAATGTACTAGCAATATTGTAGAGTTTAGGGTAGAGTTTGCGAAATCGTACGATATCGATATGAAAAATAATTTAGCGGGGTCTCTAAGTCGGTAGGCAGTTTTGGTGGCGTGAAACAGTTGAGTCATTGTTAAACCATGAGTTCAGTACATAATATCCTAACACTTACTTTTCCGGTACAACCTCAGATACGATTTAAACATCTTTGGTTTCGGGTCAAGTGAATAGACATGTCCCTGCATCTCATATATATTATGTTGTTCTCGACTACTGCTTGGATCGATTTAATAACAAGGATAAGGTCGAGAAACTTTTTCACACTCCGTCTTTATCGTTTTCTCTAACATATTAGAGAAATAAAACGACATCCTTCGAAATTTTAAACAAGCTGATGAAATTCGATAGTACGACATAGTTTTATGTCAGGATAACTAAAATTGCTAGGAAGAACATATTAGAAAAATCACAAGATATGCTCTCTCTTTTTTTGTGTGTGAAAAATCACAAACATTTGTCATACTTCATACCATGTCCATTAATTAAAAGAGAAATTAAAATGTTAAGGACTTTGGGGTAAATAATTACTTAAACATACAAGATGAATGAAGGAATTATTGGGTCAACGGGTCAAGTCAAATCTTGTATTTCAAGGCTTAATTGAATATTATTTGTTTATGTGCAATATTCCCCCGGGTAAATGGGTTATAGAGTGATTCATGGAGGCGTAATGCTGACATAAGCAAACATTCTGCATGATAGTGAGAGATCAAGAAGTTCCTTGGTTGGTTCATCGGTTGCTTTCTTTTTGGTTGCTTTGATCCAATGGATTGATAACGATATTTCTCAATTAATTATTCCCTAAATCCAAACGTGTCAGCTGCTTATTATAAGAACTTTGTTATTTTGGGACCTCCCAAATTGTTCATTCTTGTACTATGATGATCTGCTGCCCGATCCTGGTTCATGGCCAGGTTTGAGTTTTCATGGTTCGATCATCCGAACATAAGAGATATGACGATCGAATCTATGACAATCGAATCTCGATGGAAGAGATTGTTGAATTGAAGAACAAGGATGTTACTAGTGATAAGAGAAAGACTATCACCCGTTCAGTCTAGTTGCAGTCCCTCCTTCTGTTGATATCGAAGCTCTCGGGCTAGTTGAACACCCTCAATGGTGTCAATTATATATTATATAGATACCAATTTGTAAATAGCCTGCAAATTTATAGTTAGGTTTGGACTAGTAAACCATATACATAACGCTGTAAAGTTAAGTAGAAACTGTGGCACCAAAATACCTAAAATTTGGGAGAGATCCTTTGTAGACTAGTTAGTGCCATCCTTACTATATATATATAGCACGTTTTAAAATCATTTTTTATTCTTTATTTTAAGCTCTTGATTATCTTACACGGTCTCAAAGTGTGCAACTGCAAGATCTTGTTCATTGTGTTTCATGGGTTTCATCCAAGTGGATGTGGTCATGTTTTCCGTCATCGTAGCTGCCTTCACAGGTTTGATTCGATTTCTAGAGTTTTTCATGTTATCACTCTGAATTTTTGCGTGACCGACGAGACCACTTCTATCTCAAACTCCATCCCTAACGACTATACCTAGCAAAATGAAATAACCATTCGAGTCAACTATAACACATTCTTGCCCTGTGTTGTGAGCCCTCCCCTAATTTCAAATATCGCCATGTCTTTTTTTTTTCTTCTTCTTTTTTGGTTGAGCCATCACACATGTTAATTTTGGTGGCACGGTCAAGCAAGTAGAAAATTGAACAGTTCAATATAATACGAAAATCTCTCAATCTCCATCTCATGACCGAGCTACAAACAAGGGTGCTTTCCACAGTTGACTTTGACTTGAAGGTCTTTCAGTACACAAATGGCAGTTATGGCGTCGGGATGGTCCAACCGCTTTGCTTCTCTAGTGGACATGTAACCAACCAACTCACTCCTGGTTTAGTCCAATATCACGTTTCAACCTCGAGAATTTTTGCACTTGGGAAATTTTAACTTAATCGTCATTAAAGCTACTTCTTGACCTGGTTAACCCTTTGGAAGGGTTCAATTAACGGGGTTGGTCAAAACCTAATGATTAATGTGGTTACATATTTTCTTCCCCAACTTCTGAAATTTTGGCAGTTGGGTGGATCATCAACTTGACTGCTGCCTGTCATTACCTAAATATAATAATAGCTAAACCATACAAACTTACAGACTCGTGATTTTATAATAGTAACAAAAGGAATAATTGCTAATCGCCTAGAAGAGTGTCATTAGTCTCCTAATTACGACACCGTGTAATATATAAACACGAGGAGTGAACAAGTCAAATCCATCGAAGTGGAGTATTGAATCAGCATGACCCAAATATATGTTGGTATCTCCTAATTTTACCTAATTAACTTGAAATAATGGGCTCGTGGAACACTGGACCTGGAGTGCCTTAGTTGAAGAGGCCTCAATCCTACTAGCGACAATGTTGGGCTCACTTACGGCCCATAAAAAACTAGCTGGTTCGGCCCACAAACATTTGGTGGATAATATGATCCTGCATAAATTGAGGTGATAGAAGATCAGAATGACACGTGGATGGCCGGTTTTCCACCTGAATCTTTGGCGCTTTGCGGAATCCCCATTATTTCAACAGAGCGGCTCGCCGTTGAATATTCCCGTTAACTGGATTTCCGGAAAATGGACGGTTGAGGAGTTCCTCTCGCTCTCGCTTGCGGCTAGCTCCCTTCCCTTCCGTCGCTCCACAGTGTTTTCGAGCTCGATGGCGGCAATCACCACCTTCGCGGCCGTCCGTGCCACGTCGATATGGATGACGTCGTCGCCGCGGCGGGAGAGGTCGCCGCAATTCCCCGCATTCTCTCCTGCGCCGCGGAAGTCGCTGTTCTCTGGCCTTCTTCTCGTTCCGGCGCCGGTTTCGAGGACGGTGACTACTCTCGCCGTCGAACGATCTGATGCGGTTCGTATTTCTGCTTCTCTGCTCGTTCATTTTTCCTTATAATTTAATCCAGTGGTTCTTTATCTTGCAGGGGAATTACGATGGAAGCCGTACTGAGCAGCAGGCTTCCATTTTTGAACGGATTTCGAGTTTTTCAGAACGGCTTCTCAATTTTGCGGCATCGAATTTTCTTCCTCTAGGTAAAAAATTTTCGTCGAGGTATATCTGATTTCGGCTCAAATTGTTACGAATTCCTGGCTGCTTGCTAGTTTGCTTGTGTTTCAAATTCGTCTGCTGCATTGCTATTTTGATGTCATTGACCTTCAAGAAAAATCTTGCTGTAGCTCTGATCACTGCGGTAGCATGTGGAATGGTGAATCCAGCTCCTGGTTGCTATGCTCACAAGTATTCTTTGTCTAAGTTTGCTACCTTCGGCATTTTCTTCATTGCAGGTAGTGTGTTTGAATACTGAATTTAGAGGCCACTTCCTATGTTTATATGCTGCTGCTCTAGTCTGGTTTTCGGTCTAAGTTCTCCTCCATTTTGATAGGGATGAAGTTGAAAGGGGAAGAGATTGCAGCTGTGGCTGAAGCTTGGCCTGTTGGATTATTCGGGCTAGTATGACCTCTTTTGCTTGTTATGTGTCTTCTGTCTTTGGAGGAAATGGTTCATTGATTAGTTATCTTCCCATTGACTGTAGACGTGATTAAGCAGTTTATGGTCTCTTGCTGTCCATCATGGCATGGAGTGTGGTATTTTTTTTTTAGCTAATGATGATGTAGTGTGGTATTAATCGCTCCATTTCAGGCTTCTATACTGCTGCTCGGTCCTCTCGTGTCGACGCTAATTTTACAAATGCAGCTTGCACCCCAAGAGTTTGCGACAGGCATGGCTGTCAATTGAACTTAATTATGCTCTGATAATTCAAAATTGCTTGGGTTTGGCATTTATTCTGGAATATTTTGGAACAGGACTGGCATTGTTTAGCTGTATGCCAACTACATTGTCAAGCGGCGTAGCACTAACACAGGTACATGTCCTCTTCCTCTTCTTCTCCACACATATGTATGTTTCTGTACCTTCAAGGCTAGCAATGGCATGTGCACCACTAATGAGGGTTTCGATTGCAGCTTGTTGGTGGGAATTCTGCTCTTGCTCTTACAATGACAGTAATTTCAAACCTACTGGGCATCATTACTGTAAGCTCCTACTTATATAAAAAAATCACTCCCGTAACCTCTTTCCCCCCTTTCCAGTTGGAACTTTCATGGTTATATGGAGTAATGAGCTTGGAAATACACTGAACTTGATTACTGGAATTTACTATTGTTCTTAAAGTACATTAACAAGAATAAACCTTATGTCGTTAGTCAGCATAAGTTGAGAGTTAGCTTTCTTTGCTGAAGCACGTTTGTTTTCGGATTAGACTAAGGCATGCCTCATGGCTGAACTCTTCTTCATTTCATTCTTTTGCTTTGTACTTGTATATATCTCAAAGGATTTCATGCATTCTTGTGACATTTCAGGTGCCATTTTGGATATCGAAGCTTCTAGCTGCTGGTTTTGGTGTATCCATACCAGTGAGGCAGCTCTTTTGGAATCTTACTCTAATGCTTCTGGTTCCTCTACTCTTTGGGAAGGTCCTTCCATTTCCTTATTTTCGGCCACTAAAGGCCTTATTGTTGCAAGGCAGCAATACTGCTGACTTAAAAGGATAAATATGTATGTCTTTGTTATATATTCCGGCCAAATGTCAAGAATGCATGCTCCTTTCATCATTGTTACTCTCATCCTTGTTTCTTTCTCAGGTTGTGGGAATTTCACATGATTTTTGGTTCACAGGTGGCCCGAAATAGCATCAAAGGTAATGGCTGTCACATTTCCTGTCTACTTGTGGCCACGTATAAGCTAATTTTCAAATCTCAACTGCACTAGTACTGTGCAAACTCAAGTTTCCAATTTCCTCGCTAAACCCAAAGAGTATAAGGAACTAGACATCCACATGAGGACTTGATCTAGTCTCTTAAGCTTTATATTCCTAGTTTCTGTTTATTGGAAGTAGTGGAAAACCTATAGATACAATACCAAACTGTTGGGACCATAAATTATCTTATAGGTTTGGGAACTTACTATTATCTTATAGGTTTGGGAACTTACGTCGATCAAAACCGGAAGATTTTCACTACAACCAGTATTATTCTCCTAAGCCTAGTAAGTATTTTACATATTTATTATTCCCTTATGGAATTAGTGCTTCACATTCCAATTATTTATTTTGGCAGTGATGATCCACTGCCATTGACATTGCTCTTGTCCATCTCATGCTGCATTTCTGAATGTTTCTTTTCAATGTTGTTTTAGACCCCGTGGATGCAAGTAAGTAAAGCAAGACATTTGCTCCTAGCGGTTAAAGTGCAAGTATTCATTAAAGCAATTGCAATGGGCATGTGAGTTCCTTATCTAATTTTCATGTTTTATACATCTTACTAGCTTACTCATCTAGTTTGCATCAACAGTGAATATATCTAGAGATTTTCAAGTAGTAGATGATCTAGGGAATTCTGGATAATCATTGATTGCAAGTTTCTGGGAAATAAGATGGAAAGAGCTTTTCGGGATGCAGTAACTTGAATTGTTGACTGCTGCTATATAAGAGCCTTTATTTCCCATTTACGGCTGTATGGATCCTGTTAGAAACACGTTTTCCTTAAGAAAATGGGTTTCTACCATAATTATCATTATTGTATTATTAGGTTTTATTAAATATGGTTAGTAGTCTTTTAGTAGAATTAGGTTTAGTATTAGGTTTTCTTATCTTTCGTTATAAATATGTACTTTGCGTTTTATTCAGAATGAAGGAAAGATCAATTATTCAGAACAGTATCTCAAACCCTAATCTCTCTCAATTTCGTCATCTATCCCTAGGCCGACGGCCATTCTTCTCCTCGATCCCCAATTTCCTCTTCTCAATCCCTAATTCCTAATTCTGTTCTTCCCCAAATTCCCAATCTCAATCCCTAATCCCCAAATATCAAACCCGTAGAAACTTTGTTTCCTACATCTGGTATCAGAGCCCGGTTTCGAGAATTGAGTTCACCACAACTCTCAACCGGGGACGATTTCTACAACTGGTTCGACGATGAGCTCTTCAAAGCTCTCGAACCTGTCGTGGGCAGAATTGCGGGACAGAGCCCGTCGCATCGGCCGCCGTTGGCTGCCCGAAGAGCCGGCGGTCGAGCTGTCTGGCGCCAGGCGAGATAAGGATGTGGAGACGACGGGGTCAACTCCTGGTCGTCGGATCGAAGACTCGTCGCAGGAGATAGGGGCGAGGCGGGAGCTGCCGATTGAGAAGGCAGCTGCAGCAACGGCCATCTTCCCGGCGACATCACCATCGGCAGTTGAAGAAGGAGAGGTGGCCGTCGAGAGCCGTGGCCAGCAGCAGCAGCAGTTCCAGAAAGGGGCAGCAAGACACCCTGTATCCCGATCGCCTGACCTCACGTTCACCACCACTGAGCAACCAAGTAATGCTGCAAACATCGCCAAAGACAACTTTTGGGCGGTGAAGGTCGAGGCTCCTGAGTCGCAACACCCAGCTACAATTGGGTCTTTGCGTGCGATCCCTGCAAAACAGAGAGCCTCGGGTTATGGGAGGCCCTCGACATGGAAGTTCAGGAAGAAGAAAAGAGGAACCGGAGATGGCTGGGCTTCTGAGAAGCAGAAGAAGCATGAGGAACCACCGTCGAAGCCTGCTGGCAATGAGGGATCCACCACGATCAGAGTTCCGCAACCACAGGGAGACTCGCGATTGGCGGCAGCTTCCGTGACGTGGTCAACCGGCGATGATGCGTCGAAGAAGAAGAACCGCTGGCTTGAGTCGCCGAAATCCAAAACGCGGGGAACACCGCGACCTTTAGCAGCGACCTTCGAGGCGCCGACAGTGACGAGATGGGAATCAGACTCGCCGCGAGAAGAGAAGGAAGCAGAGGGCGAACCGGTTGCCCTGTCGGAGTCAAGAATCGCGACGAGCTCAGGCATGGTGAACGCGGAGAAGAAGTCAAAGCTGAGGAAGGAAGAACGTCGGCAGTCTCGTCGCCAGGAGTTTTGCACGGCGGTTCTGGGCGCCCAAGGGACGACGAGTCCATTGTCGACGATGGCGAATCGCAAAAGAGGGAAGAGGACTGGCGGGTCGGAATTGCATCCCAGCCGCTTGACGAGTCCATCGACGGAGAACGAGGCAAAGAGGAAGAAGGGCGGCGGTGATTTCTCTGCCTCCTGCTGGCTTTCCACCGATGAGGAGGAAGAGCCGATAGCGATGATCACCGGGACGAGCTTGCTTCTTAGTCGTCGGCTGGGTGGTTCGCCGCCGGAAGAAGAGTCGCTGCCGGAGGGAGAAACTGAGCAGACGGCGACCAAAGAGGAGGGCGGCGTCTTCCTCTCGCTCGCTAACCCTAGGTCACGGGAACTGGATCCGCGCAACATGGCAGCTGGGCTCTCGATGGGCCGATCTAATCTGCAAGGGAGGTTGTCATTGGGCCACGGAAGAGAGAAGGGCCTTAGAAGACCGGGTCAACAGTTGGTGTTGGCGGACCAGCAAAGTGGGCCGAGTCGAGTGGACATTAGCCACGAGCTGGACTTGGTGAAGAAAATGGTTGGGCTCGGATTAAACAAGGCAGAGCAGCTAAGCGGGCTTCTGAGGAGCCAACTGATTAAGTGTTTCTTGTATGGTTTTGGGCCGACATTTGAAGAAGTTAAGCCCAATTTGGGCTGGGTTTTGAGGAAAGCAGAATTGGATGAAGTTCTTAAGTTGGCAGATGGGCTTATAAGGGAGCCAAGCCCACACGAGATTGAGAAGAAGATGAGGAGCACCATGAGGCCTAACATTGGTTTGGGCTCTATCTCTTCCTTCCAATCAATTGTGGGTCAGGTCCAAGATAGAGGAGGAGATTGGATTATTTTCACATCCAAGTCAATGGAGGAGTTTATGGAGCATGAAGAAGAACATTTCTCCAATTCTTCTTTCGTGGATTTTGCGAACGAAGGGGAAGAGTTGTTTGGCTATGGAGACCGTGTGGTTCGAGAAAAGTGGAGGAGAGTCGGGGTCACTGGAATGGGCTTCGTCCGAGTAGTGGAGCACGATTGGAAGAAAAGAAAACGTAATAAATGGAGGAGCCACGACGTGGATTGCACAGGAAGAAGTGGGTCGAATTGATCAACCTTGAGGGCAAGGTTGGTCTCAAGGGGGAGGGGATGTTAGAAACACGTTTTCCTTAAGAAAATGGGTTTCTACCATAATTATCATTATTGTATTATTAGGTTTTATTAAATATGGTTAGTAGTCTTTTAGTAGAATTAGGTTTAGTATTAGGTTTTCTTATCTTTCGTTATAAATATGTACTTTGCGTTTTATTCAGAATGAAGGAAAGATCAATTATTCAGAACAGTATCTCAAACCCTAATCTCTCTCAATTTCGTCATCTATCCCTAGGCCGACGGCCATTCTTCTCCTCGATCCCCAATTTCCTCTTCTCAATCCCTAATTCCTAATTCTGTTCTTCCCCAAATTCCCAATCTCAATCCCTAATCCCCAAATATCAAACCCGTAGAAACTTTGTTTCCTACAGATCCCTCCGTTTAAAAGGAGAGCAAGGATGAGGTTGTGAAATGTTTATTTTCTTGGTCAGACTTCTGCATCTTGCATTGCTGGGGCTCAACCTCATTGCAATAAGAGCCTTATCAGCGGGATTAGGTGCTACGGAGTCAGTCTTCGCCGAAAAGAAGAACTCACGTACTCTTTTGTTGGTTTGCAGTCAGGTGAATTTACTATTATGTTTATATATTTATCCTACTGAATCGCTATATAACACTGGTCTTTCATGCAAATACATTCGAATTCTTGTAAGGGCAACTGCTTGAACATCTTGAGCTAATGATACTTATACCAATTAAGTCCAAAGGATAATCAAAGTGGACAATGATTGGACATAGAAAGCCAGGGAGCTTAAGGCCACAAAGGGCTCTGCCCCATGTTGTTTTTTCTGTGGACACCCCAGAGTTCCAACCATAATTTGTGGAGTCCTTTCTCAGAGTTTTTTTTGGTACTAGTCTCAAGTTCACATTAGAAAAAAGCTAGTATCGATGCTTGAATTGAGATGTAGGCTGAAAACAATGTCAGGTGAGAGAACCAAGCCCATGCCTCAGAAGGCTTCTTTGAGAGTTCAAGGAAAGAGGGTGAAAGATAATGACTTCCTGTAGACAAAACGATCCACATGGACAATGGATTTGCATGTACAAGAACAGAGTAATTCTGATTGTGTCTTACCTGAAAATGATAGTCCAGTTTCTAGGATCGTTTTCTCCTTAACATCATGTTTGTTTCTAATTGTTAAGTCTTATTGTCAACGTGAACCTACTGGCCTCTGCAGAAAGCTCTGCTGATTGTGGTAACTGTAGTAGAGCAGCTGAACGGTGCCCTTGGTCAGTCAGGGCTGCTGGTTCTTCCTTGTATAGCAGCACACATCAATCAGGTTTCCCCTAATTTGCAATTTTATTCTCGTTCTTTCTTTAATCTAGTTTCCTACCTCTTTTTGCTTTATCTTTTTTTTTTTTGGTCTTCCCTTTTCTTAGGTTGTCATTGACTCAATTCTGGTGAACTTTTGGATTCGGAAGGATCAGTCACCAGATGGAACCAAGGAAGTCTGAACAATAGCAGAGTACATCGAAGCTTTGCCACTTCCTAATCTCGTTCGGTCTAGAAATGGTGCTCGTGTTATCGAAGTAAACACGTTCTAGGATTAGTAAATTCTGTTATACCATTGCTTCTGGTGTTCTAGTGTTGATTTTTTTCCTGCTGTTTAGTGATCAATGGGGACTGGAAGAGTGCCTCTTAACGGAACGAGAGTGTCGTGTAGGCGTTTGGGGAGCTCGAACCCGCCTTCTATGAGTGTCTCTGTTCTGTTGTCTCAGATACCTCCTCAGACTACCCCCTCACTCTCTTCCGTAATTGGAAAAGCTACAAGGTATAATCTGACCTCTTACCATGAAGTTCTATGTTGCGTCTAGACGCAGAATCAAGAACTTGTCTGAAAGAGACACGTTCTCCAATTATTAAGAGCCGACAATGATAAAAATACATAGTTGATACTCGGAACTGATAGTGGAGGCTTTTGGCAATCATTGGAGTAGTGGTTTTCTTGTTTGGACAGCAAGATGTAGTTTAGAATCAGATACACTGAAATCCGTCCTAGCACGGGATTTTGTAAAAGGAAAAGTATGCATAGATGAACTGATGATCTGCATCATTGGTGAAATTCCACTAGAGGTGATATCTTTCACGGGGATTGAAACCGTCGGAAAAGACTGGTGATCGCTTTCTCGAAGGTTTAGTGAATTCCCCCCTGCAACAAGAAGAGCCTTGCCTCCGACCCAATTGTCGAATGTCGATCATCTAAAAACAGGATGCAACCTCGCGCCATGATGAACCGATGAAGGATCCATCACACAGCGGAAGAAAGAAACAGTGCTTAATGATTGGTCTGAAGGAATATGCCAGGGATCATGATAGTACGTACCACGCCATTCGACGGAATTGAACGTCATATTCACGTTCCGTTCTCTTTGTTACAGGCTAGTCGATTCGTGGCAGAGGAATCGACTGCAAATTTCAACTTTCCTAATGCATCTCAGCATCTCTTCCTTTTTTTTCCTCGAGTTGGAAACGGGTAAGCACAGAAATATGAAAATGGGAGATATGGGAGATAAAGTATGTTTTAAGGAATCTGAGCATCCTATTGATTTCACTTTCTAGTGCTTTCAATGTAGTTATTGCCCATCTTCCACCTCTGAGAGTGCAATCCGTCGGGCTGCTGAATCATTCTGCAGAAATGTCAAAAGCATTAGCTAGTGGAGATGCGACGAATTTAGGGTTCCATCAATGTCGTAATTTTGCTTGTTTAGGTGCACAGATGCACGTTTTAGACCCATCTCAATCCATTATTCGCGCGAGAAGGAAATGAAAATGCGCTCTTTGCAAGTGAACTGAAGTGACATTTCCCTAACATAATAAAGTAAGTAGCTATTAATTAACGTAAAGGTTTCTTTTCGTACATTGCTTTTGATCTCCACTTTTTGCGGACGATGATTGCATGCACGGGAAGAAAAGAGGACCATGTTATATGGGGATGAGCACATTATAATTAACGACGGGACATCTCTAAATTGGGTGAGCATATTAAAGAAAGCTATTCAAGCCATTGGATTTTCTCTTGAGTCAAACAAAACACTAAATGGAACTTTCTCGATCGGGTTTAGATATCCACGATTATTCATGAATGATAATTTTTCTTCATAACATCAATCAAATGCGAATAATTATAAGAATACTGACATTTCATATATAAGTGAAAAGTACAACAATAAATCACTAGAACGAAAAAAATTAGTTAAATAACCAGAATTCATAAAAATATTATATGTATAATAAATGTCAAAATATGTTGAAAAACAATGACCATTTCTAAAAGGAAAAGTATGTACATAATCGGGCGGGTTCGGATTGAATAGTAAAAATACCATGTTCACTTATTACTTGCAAGTTGCAACACTTAAATTATGTATATAATCGGACGGGTTTGGATTGAATAGTAAAAATACCATGTTCACTTATTACTTGCAACACTTGAATTCAGAGTTTTACCTATATCAACTATTCACAGTTGGAGCTTTATCCTAGGCAACTAGATGAGATCCGGATGGATAATTTAACCCTTCGATCCTCACAAGTCACAAGTGAGCAACTTGTCGAAAGGAGAACAGAGCAATATATATGTCCTTGGGGGGCCTCTCTCCTTGGATTTTAAGATTCTTTCATTTCAAAAGTCTCTCTCTCCCATTCCTTCACTCTCTCTCAACCCAAGGAAAGTCATGTTTTAGGGTCTGACTTTGCATAGGCCAGCCGGCCAGAGAGTAGAGTGTAGCCCTGGCAAAGGCAATGGAGGTACCTACTAAATGTTGGGACTTTTGGGACGAGGGTACGCGTACGGTAACTCAAAATTAGGTGATTAGAATTGTAATAGAGTCGTGAACTATGTTCATTTTTCGAAAAGAATATTTTCACTTTCCATAAAAGTATTGGGTTAGAAGAAATTTCTTCCGAGGATACAACTATCACTACTTTAGGTTATAGGCTCAAGAACACTAAAGCATACTCAGAAGTTTTTGGAATAAAGTAGAAGAATATGTCTGATGGTGTATGGCATCATCCACCCCATACGGCCACACATATATTTATAGGGGTCGAATCCATGCATTGTTTCATGAAAGGTTGCATTTATCCATATAAAATGTTGCATTTATCCATATAAAATGTTGCATTTATCCATATAAAAAAGGTTGCATTTATCCATATGAAAGGTTGTCCTTATCCATATGAAGGGTTGTCTTTATCCATACGAAAGGTTGCCCTTATCTATATGAAAGGTTTGTCTCTATCCATAAGGTTATCCTTGTTCATAAGGTCATCTTTATCCATAAAATAATGCAACCGTCACTAGGCCAAAGAGATGTGTCCCTTCATGAAATCAGAATATTGGTTTGGTCGATCTAATCCCAAATCGGCTGGTCGGTCCAACCAAAAACCTGTTGAACTTGGTTCGTCCCGTCCAACTAAATATTCAACACTGAATAGTTCAATATCAATTGAGCGATTGAGGAAATGCCAATCAGTATCATGTTTGTCAAACGAACCATAGCCAATTACATAATATATTCTGCATCTAAAAAATATTAATGCATGAAGCTTTTATTCTAAACATTTGCATTTCAACCGCCAGTCCATCCTTAATATATCGTATCGTTAGATTATGTGTGACATTCAACGAACTATAATCCAGTACTAAATGCTCCCTCTCGACTAGGGGTGGCTATACGGTCCGGTCCGGTTAAATTGACCCAAATTGATCCGGTCCAGTCCGGTCTTTTTGAAAATATAAGGACCAAAGATTGGATTGGATACAGTCCGGTCTTGACCCGGTCCTGTCCCAATTCGGTCTTGATTTTATATTGAGCTTGTGGGGATTTGAGTGGGCCTAAGGCCTGAAATGGTGAGGAGTTGGTTAAGTTTTGTACTAAGTGCAAAAGTTTGTGACTGTTTATGCAAATTACCCTTAAGTTTTGGGTGCTGAGCTCTCTTATCCGGTCTTTATCCAGTTTTTTATCCGGTCCCAAACGATTTTTTTACCTCAAATCTAAGCCCAAAGATTGGATTGGATTGTTTACTATTCGGTCCCGGTCCGGATTATACGATCCGGTTTCGGATAAAACCAAAAAACCCGAACCAAATAGCCAGCCCTACTCTTGACCCGTACATGTAAACGCCAATTAATTATGTGTGGGGGAAGAAAACCAAACCCAATAGAAACATGAAGAAGAAAGTACCGTACTTTCAGATTGAGACACAACAGTACTACAAATACAATAGCCCAAAAGAACGTACACCACAAATACATTAATGATCATTTCAATCCAGCCTGTGCTGTGAAATGACTACCTACTTGCAGCAGCAGCACTAGTACACAGAATGCAGACTACTGATGCATATATGCATTCCCCCCAGACTTACATCGTCATTAGCCCAACTTGATCTCCATCCTTATCTTCTAAACCAAACTTACTTCCCGACCAGCTTTGGCCAGCCATTATTATTATCATCAGTAGTACGAAAAGTAGGTACAATAATTATTATTGTTGACTTGTTGTAGTCAAGCTAGGCGCAGAACATATATGTGGCCATAAAATAAGACTAGCTAGCGCCTCCTGGCAGCAGTTTCCCTCTGGGCATTGAAGTAAAGGGCAGCCACTGGGAGGCCGAGTTGGTTGTCCACTGCAAACTTCCTGCTATCAAAGTTGTCCCTTAATATTGTTGTTGACGATGCTGAAGAAGGAGGATTCAGAAGCAGTCTTCTCTTCTGCTTGAACAGCAGGAACACGTACCTGTGGATCCCTATGGTCGGCCTCGGCATCTCGTAGCTCACCACTTCCCTTCCTACAGTCACATGATCAATATAGTGTACAGTTGGAACTAAATTCCATGGAGTGGGGGAGAAATAATAATTTTGGGTACTGATTCTTATTACCAAATGTTGCATCTGTGGTGCCTGGGATATCAGTCACCACCCTGTTTTGGAGAAAGGTACGTGCCACAGATTAGATTTCCGGTAAGAAAACCGACGGACTAAAACGCTAAATAAGAGTTCGGTCTGGTGGTACTATTACTCCGTTTTTTCCCCCCAATATGAAAGTCTCCTGTTCAAATTCTTTAAATAGCAGCTAACATTAAAAACCAATATATATATCACCCTTATAAAAATATACGAACCGACTGAAGAGTATAGCAGCTAGCAGTGCTGCAGAAGGTGATATGATATGATCCATATCAGTTATACTAGAGTGCTGAAAATTGTACACACTAGCTAGCTATATGTACATAGATGCCCTATTGTGTACCTGAACCCACTATTTTTGTACACAGTTTGTGTAAACATATATAGAAAAAAAAGGTATTTTTTCCCCCTCTTGTTTGTACTCCCCTAAACTTTCCCCTCATCAATGGCAGAGAGGATACATCATATATGCAAGTTTTTTTTACCAGTTTTCCAAGAAAGAGGGGAAATGGAGAAATAATTGCATGAAAGACAAACCAGTGCAAGTGCTCTCTCAGGTAAGGATCACTTGGCCCAGGGAAATCTGGGTCTGTCATCACCTGAAAAAATCAAACCCCATACATCATCATAAAGCTACACAACTCATTTCTGAGGTTATGCAACATTTTTTTTTGTCACCAAGCAAATGGTCACCAAAAGCAACAAAATGGTCTCCAAAAGTCACAAAAAAACGACTATAGTATTGCTTTTTGCGACCGGTTATCTGGTTGCAAAATGTAAAAAAAAAAAGGAAAAGGGAAAATCATCATCAAAGAGACAGAATCTAATTTACCAGAGTGAAGAAGGACCTGAGGTCACCACCAAGGACCTCGACCTTGGGCTTGTGAGTGAGAGCAGAAGGGAAGAGCTCATGGCCATTGAAGACCTGCTGATGCTGCTGCTGCTTTGTGGAGCTGTAAGTGACCTTCATCTTCACACTTGGGTTGAAGCTATCGACCACATCTCCTATCACTCTCCCTACCACTAGTGGGTCTGATGAACACATTTTCCTCATACCAGACACTTCTTTCTTCACTAATTGAAGGAGAGAAACAGGAGGAGAGTGATGCTATTATGTATATAAACTTGGGGTTTAGCTGGATTTTGATCGAGAGAGGTAAATGTTATTGGCATATTTATAGTGAGTCATGAGTGTGGGAGTGAATGTATGTATGAGTGAGCGTGTAAAAAAGAGAAAGAAGGAAAGGAAAAGACAGCAAGCATATTGATCCTTTTTTTTTTTATATCCATCTCCATGGATTGGATGGATAGGTCTTCTCTTTTCTTCTCTTCTCGGTCCAGTCATCATGTGGGGGCTGGTTATATGAGGGGAAGAACCCACAAAACCATAATTGTACTTTTGATGACGGTAATAATAAGTCATTTCTTGTGTTCAATTATTGGGGCCAAACTTCATATTTGTATATGAAGATCAACTCTTGAATTGTTTGAAATGGTTCAAAGTTTGTAAACTCTCACATTCCTTTCATATCTGGATTTCGGTGGAATTTCAATTCCAATCGACCTAACACTTAAGGTGCGAAGGCTTGGAAAAATTGATTGTCGGCGATGTTTCTGTAACGCGATATTGACAATCTAGCTACTTGTGAGCAACATGTTTATCGGTATTTACTGCGGATTCACTTTGATTCGGGTTAAAAAGGAGCGATATATCGAAAGTAGTAATTAGAAATTAAAAATTCTCTCAAAGAGGATGACTTTAAGAGAAGCATAATTTGACCATTTTATTTTATTGAATGGTTCAACAAGTAGGGATGGCAAAAATATCTGTAACCGTGGATATCCGCCTGAATCTGGCCTAATCGGGTAGGGTAAAACCCGAACTCGATCGAAAGACATTTAGTGGGTACGGGTAAAATCCGAACCCGAATATTGCGGGTAATGGGTGGGCATGAGTTTCTCACTATCCAACCTGAACCCGCCCGATTATACACATGCATATATATTTTGTCTAGAAATAATCATTATTTTTCTCTAACATATTTTATATTTAGCATATAAATATAATATTTTCATGAAATTGTGTAGTTTTAATTAATTTTCTTCATTCTAGTGAATTATTGTCGTACTTTTCATCTTACGTAATGTGAGAATACATGTGAATGTTAACATATTGGTTGGAGTTATGAAGAGAAATTATTACCCATTGATAACCATGGATACCCGAAACCCGAACGGGTATGAGTATGGTTTTGATTTTCTACTCGTTTCACATTTGGGTATGAGTATGGATAAAAACACGAACTACTATAGATAGGGTAATGGATATGCACTATCCGCGCCCGACCCGACCCATTGCCATCAAGATGAATGATCCCCATTTTAACCAAATCTTGTTGGTATTGGTAATTCCAATTATTTTTTGACAAAAAAAAAATCTTATTAGGCCCTCCCGGGCCCGGCTCCCCCAAGGCAAAAGTCAGGTCCATTCTGGGCCCAAACTCTCGACCGGCCCACCGTAACTTGAGTCCGGGTTGCTCCTCCCTTTCCCCAAATACAGTCGAGGAAGCAATTAGAGAAGAGAAGCTTAAGCCTGGAGTGACGAACAAGACAGGGCACTACTTGATTTGATTAGCAGCAAACTTTCATCCCTTCCAATTCAGAATCCTCCTTCTGAAACCCAATTCGCTACTCATTCTAAGCTACCTCTCGATTTCGGTCTCCGACGACGGTGAACTCGCCACGCTTCTCAAGCAATGTCGGTAAGTAACTTAATCCGAACCCTAGTTAGTAAATCTCATACAGAAACGGGAATCGTGGAGACTGATTTTGTGTTGTTTTTTCAATTTGCGGCAGATTTTCGAGTACAATGGTAGTGCCCTAGTGGCGATGGTGGGCAAGAACTGCTTCGCCATAGCTAGCGATCGGCGATTGGGTGTTCAGCTCCAGACCATCGCCACCGATTTCCAGCGAATCTCCAAAGTCCACGACCGACTCTTCATCGGCCTCTCTGGCCTGGCCACCGACGCCCAGACTTTGTAAATGATCTGTCTTTACTCCTTTTGTTTGTTGGAAAAATGTCAGAGGGTGGAGGGTGTTGAAAGTTGTTGGTATTTTGGGTATTGTTTTGCAGGCATCAGAGGCTTATGTTTCGACATAAGCTGTATCAGCTGAGGGAAGAGAGGGACATGAAGCCTGAGACTTTTGCCAGCCTTGTCTCCGCTCTGCTTTATGAGAAAAGGTGTGGAATTTAATCTTGTTCCGAGCTAAAATGGATTATGCTTAGATTCTTTAGGGTGGATAAGAGTGATTGGGAGTTTAGTGAAATAGGGTTGGAACTTATATAACTAGCCACTTCAAGATCAAGAAAACAGTGGATATGTTGGGGCCTTTCGAGGGCTGCCTCTTCTAATGTATGTATAGCACTTTGATGGACAATCCACCCAAGATGAGAGGATTGGAGAACACAGCGTTACTCTCTACTCTATTTCTTCTCTGTCATTCTGTAGAATTCCTTACACTTGAGCGGGAATTTGCACAAAATGAACCTAATACTCCTGAACTATTAAAATTTTACTTGCACAATTAAACTGAAGAAATGAACCTAATAACGAATACATCACTTACAGTCATCCTCAGTCGTCCGCTCAGATTATTCAGTTCCAGTGCTGTCTGCAAGTTGTTTTCTAGTTCACTTTGGTAAAGTTATACTTTTGCTTATGAAAGTAAGTTCAAGCGTCTGTTCTCAGGTTTGGTCCTTATTTCTGCCAACCTGTGATTGCTGGATTGAGTGATGATGACAAGCCATTCATATGCACGACGGATTCTATTGGTGCTAAGTATGTTTCTTTCTCTTCCCTCCATTTGATTTCTTAGAGTCCACCAAATGTGATTCCGTAATGAAAGCTATATGTGCCATATTCTTACAGAAGACTGTCTTTGCCATTTAATGATCCTTTTATGTTCATGAGCATGTTGCGGTGTCGTCTAAGTAAATCTTGAAGCATTCCCAACAAATCTAGTTAAAGTTTCAAAACTGTGACTACCACTGCTGCTACCCTTTTCAAGTTCTTCCAATCAACCAATCTCTTCTAGTGTTGTCATTTGCAATTATAGCTTGCTTACAGAATCATGGTCAATTGTTACTGGATATGGTTGAATCAGAACACTTAAGTATCAGAGGCCTTTGAACAACATGAAGTAATTTTTTTTGGAGTAGGATAGTATAATGCCTGTGTCATGTCTAGCTAGTTATATGCTTCTCGATAAAGGTCTGACACACTCTTTCTCCTTGTGCTTCTCTGTTTACTTCAATTGCAGGGAACTGGCAAAAGATTTCGTTGTCGCAGGAACAGCTGGAGACTCGCTTTATGGTGCGTGTGAGGCCATGTTCAAGCCTGACATGGTAAGTTTCTTTTCAGCTTTTTTAGGACAACTAATAGAATACTGTCACTGATATTGCAAATTCTGGGGTATGGTACTGGCTCTTCTTAGATAATCTATTGAACATAATCGATTCTGAGTTATTAGCTTTATGAGGTGAAGGAAAAGTGAATCATGTATTCTCAATCTTGACCTTGTTGTACGCTCAGAGATTGTATATTTGAAGTTAGTACAAGGGTCCAATATTGGTAGCTGAAATCTGGAATTGTATAGCTGTCGGGTATCTGAAGACTTAGAGAACTATCTGATGGTATCCAAGTAACAGTTACAACTAGACTAACCTCAACTGGCTGGTCCCTTGGTATAACTTTGAACAACCAAGTAAGTCAAGTTCTGGGAAATACCTCATGCAAGGTTTGTTTCATTGAAATAGCCTACTTGAAACAGTAACCTGATGAAGCTCTGGAAATTTCCTTACAAATCAAGTAAAGAACATCCCTTGGTTGTTTTTCATGTATGGTGATTATTGCTATAAAGTCTGCATGTCGCGTCATATAGGTCGAGGCTGACTTCCTTGATGTAATCTTCAGGAACCCGAGGAGCTATTTGAGACTTTGTCTCAAGCCCTTTTGGCTTCGGTGGACAGGGATTGTCTTAGCGGATGGGGAGGACATATCTACATTGTGTAAGTCTTGATGCGAATGTTTTTATCCCAACTAAGCTCTCCATGTTTCTATGATAACATCTATGTTCCATTACTGTGACCAATTACGGTTGCTCTGTAACAAGTGGGTAATCCGTGTATGCCCTTCTTGAAGATGGTACTGATTGAGCTTATGCTATATTTTTTGTTTTGGGTTTTGCAGCACTCCAACTGAAGTAAAAGAATGCACGTTGAAGGGAAGGATGGATTGACCAATTCTCTCAGTTGTATGCAGCTCCAGAGGGCTCTCTGTTTTGGTGACAAAAACGTTTGGCCTTTGCACAAGTCTCAATATCATCGGACCCTGGATTCTTGGTTGATCAGGGCTTAGGCTGTTTGGTACTGTAAAACTGAAAGTATGTATTTTTAGAGTTGGACCTGAGATTTGTGGAACCTAATCAGCTGCTTTCTTCTGCTACCTGAAATGTGTTTATGCTCTTTTTCAGTGCCCATAGTAATTGCGTCTTTCTTGGTTGATACATCGAACTTGCTCCGTGAATCGTGATTACATGTCTGCAGTCTGCCAAACTAACTTCAAGTGACTACGTTTTTTTTTTTTTTAATAGAAATAAGTGACTTATGTGACTGAATATATTGACTGATACTGGCATAATTGACCTGGGCCGAAAGAAGTCCCACATTGACCTGGGCCGGATAGCCCACGAGCTTGCTGACCTTGTAGTAATGACGTTGGGTTACCAGTTACCACTATAGCATGCATGCAACCCGGCTTAGAAGAAGCCAAATTAAAGTACATGCACGAGCCTCCGGCCATCAGCTAAGAGAAATGGCTTCCAAATTTTTTCAGGATAGCATAATTACATGGATTAACGATAGTAATTACGGGTGTGTTTACGTAAATACCCAATTGAAACGAGGATTAAGGAGATGCTTTGCAGTTTCAGTTTCTTTAGCCGTGTAAACCAACAGATTGTTTATTCATGACTAGCATATTTATAATCAAAGGGAAATTAATTAAAAGACCAACTAGGAGAATCAGACACTGAAACCATATCAATATTGCAGCAGATCAAAGTGCACGGCATATATGCACCTTTGTTAATGAGAAAAAAGCACAACACCGTAAACAAACCATATACTCGATCGTATGAATATTCTTCTTCTTCATATAATATAATGACCATGATATACGTTCTTCTTCTTCTTCTTCTTCTTCTTCTTCTTCTTCTTCTTCTTCTTCTTCTTCTTCTTCTTCTTCTTCTTGTTGTGGATAGTTGGCTAGCGGCGCCTGGCAGCAGTCTCGCGCTGAGCGTTGAAGAAGACGGCAGCCACGGGGAGGCCGAGCTGATTGTCCCGAGCAAACTTCCTGGTGGTGAAGTTGTCCCTGGAGCCCGAAAACGACGTCGTTTGGCCCCTGGACCTCTGCTTGAACAGCAGGAACACGTACCTGTGGATCCCAATGTTGGGCCTCGGCATCTCATAGCTCACCACTTCCTTCCCTGCGCCCATATTGGTAACAAGTTAAAGAAGAAGAAGAAGAGATCGAGAAGAAGTGAAAGAAAAGCCCAAATGCTGAATTTTTTTTTTTTTTTATTCTGGAGGAAAAGGGATAATGACTTAATTAATTAATTACCAAATGTTGCATCAGTGGTGCCTGGGATATCAGTCACAACCCTGCAACCCAATAAAATTGTACAGACAACAACAATCAGTGGGGGAAAGAAAAAAAAAGTTAGAGAGAGGTTGATCATATGAGCAATTTCAGGCCACTCACATACTGACACAAGTAGTACCACAGTCCACAGTTGAATTTCTAGAGATAGAGAGAGAGAGAGAGGTATATACTACTGTTGAGGATGTCAGTTTCTAGCATATACAGTAATGGTTCACTTGGCCAATTCCCTAGCTAGCTACATACACAGTTTTCTTTTCTTGTGTTCTTGCTAGATTTGATCATCATATTCTCAGTCCTTGACCCTTCCATTTTTGTACTCGCAGGAAGCTGGTGAGCTAAGTATTATATATATATGGTGGCTATTTTTTTTGTTGTTGTATTGAATACACCCAACTCTAAAAACGGCCAAATTACATCGAATTTTGAATTTAGTTAGTAGCGTTAGTCTAATATGATGATATAACACAGAATCACAACTAATCAATCCACGACCCTGACCCTTTTAACATTCAATTTTGAATCCCAACCTAAAACCCCAAATTGTAGACCTAAACCCTAACCCTAAATCCCTAAACCACAAATCATTCAAATTAAAGCAAATCTGGAATGGTTTTTGTGCAAATTCATGTATTTATTTTTTCATCATACCACAAGTGACGATCGACATCGCTTTCGGACAAATCGCGTGCTAACGACGACGATTATTAAGCGAGTACATTGAACGCACCCGGGAAAAAAAAAATGAGTGCATCGAAATTGCCACCATATATATCAACACGAGGACAACAAGGTTCCTTTTTTATAAAAAAAAAAAGAAGGAGAGGAGACCCCACTTTAGTCCTTTCTGAAAACATTTCCTACTTTGGTGTGGGTTTCATGAAGGAAGCAAGCTTGCAATTTCAACCCAAAACAAGAAGGTGTAAGAAGCATCTCAACAATGAAAATGGTGAGAGTGAATTTGTGTTATGAAGGGACAAACCAGTGCAAGTGTTCTCTGAGGTAAGGATCACTTGGCCCAGGGACATCTGGGTCTGTCATCACCTGGAAAAGAAGAAAAAAAAAATCAAACCCACATACATCAATCATCATAAATCTCCACAAACTCAGAATTGTTGCTTGAATTGGCCACCATTTATATATTTGGTTGCAAAAAGCTCCTTTTTTTTTTAGTGTGTAGAGAAAGAAAAGTAATTCATCAAAGAAGAGAAGTAGAAATAATAGTTACCAGGGTGAAGAAGGACCTGAGGTCACCACCAAGAACCTCGACCTTGGGCTTGAGAGTGAGAGCAGAAGGGAAGAGCTCATGGCCATTGAAGACCTGCTGCTGCTGCTGCTGCTTTGTGGAGTTGTAAGTGACAGCCATCTTCACACTCGGGTTGAAGCTGTCCACCACATCTCCTATCACTCTCCCGACCTCCAGAGGATCTGACACCACTTTCCCCATTTTTTTTCTTCTTTTTCCTATCAACAATTCTATAGATAGAGAGAGAGAGAGAGAGAGAGAGAGAGAGAGAGGGGGGAAGAAACTTAACTAGATAGGTGGAAGGAAAAGTACGAGTAGTAGTAGTAGCAGTGGTACTATATTTTTGCCCTGCCCTTTGGTTGGTTGGTTGGGGAATTGAGAGTGGGAAGTGCAATCCCCCAACCGCCCATTTATAGTAAGTGGAAATTAGAATGGAGATGGAAATTGGTGGTCGTTTGGAAGTTGCGATTGTTATTATGCATGTATTGTTTACAATGCATCGTTTTTTAATTTTTCTAACCGAAACAATGTATAAATTGTTTCTATGATGTGACAGAAACTATCACTCATTTTGAGTGATTGTTATATCTCAACTTTTAGTTGTGATTGTTGAGATAGTTGAGTTGAAATTGTTTTGTCTCAGCTTTTAGCTGATGCGACATACACAATCACGCATACCAAACGTTGTATTCTACAATGCATCAAATTCGACAATACATGTATAATATTATACATGCATTCTCAACAATATATCTATTTAACAATAGCAACTTCCAAACGATCCCTGGTGTTTCATTTGATGTGTATAATTTGGCCGATGGGGAGGGGGGAAAAAGGAAAGAGCATATGTGCAGCTTTTTTTTTCTTTTCTTTTTTCTTTGTGTAGCTGCAGCCTGCAGATAGATAGAGGTGCATACATGTCAGCACGTGCGGGATAATGGCCTGGTCGACAAGCACAAATATGAGTAGTGATTTTGGGTAAGTGTTTGTGAAACCAAACCGGGGAAAATCTTCTATTAGCGTTAAGAGATGGTAGATGGTTGTTTTAGACGCGCGTATAAAACGGTTGACTCGTGATTATAAATAATGGCTAGACACAAAATCCATCAAATATAAATAAATAAAAAATAGTATTTCAAAATGTGGGGTGTTCCAACTCCCTAACCGTTCAGAATTGCAACTACGGGTCGGGTACGTTCATCTTGGTTTTCAATTAGGTGTTATTTAAGATAGGGCTGGCTATTTCGACCGGGACCGGATGAAAAACCGGAAATCGGACCGTATAACCCGGACCGGGACCGGATAGTAAACAATCCAATCTAATCTTTGGGCTTAGATTTGAGGTAAAAAACCGGATAAAGACCGGATAAGAGAGCTCAACACCCAAAACTTAAGGGTAATTTGCATAAACGGTTACAAACCTTTGCACTTAGTACAAAACTTAACCAACTCATCACCCGTTTAGACCTTAGGCCTCTCAAATTCCCACAATCTAAATATAAAATCAAGACCGAATTGGGACCGGACCGGGTCAAGACCGGACTGTATCCAATCCAATCTTTGGTCCTTATATTTTAAAAAAACCGGACTGGACCGAATCAATTTGGGCCAATTTAACCGGACCGGACCGTATAGCCACCCCTAATTTAAGATATTCTAATCTAAAACCTACAGGTACAAGACTCATGATATTATCAACAGAACAATTGCTTGTTATTCGTATAGTTTTTAATCGTGTCAAATGTGTGAGACACCATTGGTTGATGATTAATTTATCAAAAGCTTTTATTTTCTAGAAGCTGGAAGAGTTAGGGTTAGAGGTAACTGTAGTTTTTTCGTCTCTCTTTTTCAAACTTTTTCTTAGTTTCGACATTCTAAAGCATATTGTGTTTGCCATTTTGTTAATTAAACATAGACATGTTGGAGGGTGGGGGAAGAACTAACAGCCCATAAAAAAACCATTTTAAGGGTCACCTCAAGCTGGAATGTCCTGATTCTCTTATTCTCTCTTTCAGGAGGAAAAAACACGTAAAGAAATTCTTGGATATATTAACCCTTAATTAATAAACTAGTTCTAAACATATTATAAACGTCTTATTATATTGGACGATGTGGAGTCGAACTCCCGGTTTATGTATATTAATTTTTCACAAATATATGTAAATTTCAATCCTCATAAGTTTAGTATTAACCGCGTTAATTTAAACATAAGAAAAAATTAAGCATGAATTTGTGTAAAATTCAATCTCACGGCTTGGCTTTCATTTGAGTTGAAGGATGAGTCTTGCATGAGTTTGAAGGTTGGACGGGGTAACTGCATTAAAAAGGGACAGGTTTTAGCGGATGGTGCCGCTACAGTTGGCGGCGAACTTGCCTTGGACAAAAACGTATTCCTAGCGTATATTCCATGAGAAGGTTACAATTTTGAAGATGTGGTTCTTATTAGCGAACGTCTGGTATATGAAATTCATACTCAGGCAACAAGCCAAGGACTTGAAAGGATCACAACGGAATGGTATACAAAGTCAACCAAGCTCAATTAATACAAAATATGATTTATGACTACACAAATTGTTCACTGACTTTCAACATTAACAGTTAATTTAAGGTGTAGTAAAGGTACATGCTTGTGGAAAGTTCAAGTGCATGGATTGATTTCCGTTTGGGAGTGATTGTAGGAGAACGAGGTAAGTTCTATTTTGTAATTTCTTCCAACTCGAATTATTGGCACCAATTAGTTCCTGACACATATAAAACTATAAGTTTGTATCACATGCTCCCGTGAATTTATCGGGTGTTTAGAGAAAAAGAAACGAGAAATTTTCAATTTTGTTGTGTGAAACAAAGCAGAAATATTTTAATTTGGGTGGTGGGCAGACCTTTCCATTTGGGGCATAATGTGTAACACCAATGCATAGATCTAGTTGCCTTATATGGTATATGATTAAGAATCCTAAATTCTGCAACCATTAGTTATAAAAATAAGGCTGCGAAAGGTACACGTACTTAATTGGTAGTGCTTTATTTCGTCAGAAGATTCATATTAAAAAATAAAGATGAATTCAATTTCCAAACTTGATTAGAGTGGGATTTCCTTAAATAGAAATACCAAAGCTTCCATGCAATGCCATACTCCACCATGGTATTGTGGATCGCCACTTTCGCTGAGGAAAAGTATATATAAATATATAATTAAGCCTCAAATGGAACAGGGGAATAAGGTTACATGACTAATTAATGGGGGAAAGTAATTAGGAGAAATCAAGTAAGTTTCAGAACTATGGATAGCAAAATTGTACCAAAAATCATATCAGATAACCTAATGGTACGGTATCGCATGTTGTACAATCATAATTTAACATATAGCATACTGATACCGTATTGTTGTTGAAATAATATTAATATGGTTATGTGGTGTACGAAAATTGTCTGCGTTTCCATCCCAAATCTATCAGTTTCAAGGAAATATGTCTACACCAACAAAAATGTGTAGTTGTATTTTATATGGTATAGATTATGGTCGAATGGAGCATCAAATGGTTGGCCTTGTGGTTGTCAATCCAATCTTTTTTAGCCTTTAACTCACAGGTAGAGGAAGTGGGTTTTTTTTTACTTGTTTTGTCTTTGCTTTTATTCAATTGCATTTCTTCATTTGGTAATTAGCAACATTGTTATTGCAAGAATGAGAAAATGGGTCATCGTGGGAATGGCTACTTTGAGAACACTACAAAATCGTGAATATAATACCAAGAGACTTATAGAGCCAGAGTATAATTCCATGGAGGCTGCAGAATATGTATGCCCAATTCTCCTTCATACATTTGCAAAAGAGTGTTGGATTATTGTTGTTTATAAGTTTAAGATAGTGTGCTTATTTTGTTAAGCCCGTTTATGGTACACCCTTGATTTTGGGGTATGCTTTACGTTCTCGCGTAAACGTAGATTCTAATAATTAAATTCAAATTATGATTGATGATATTTTCGTGTCGTATGATGATATATATAGTCTGAAAATACTACTGATCGGAGCAATCAATTAGATGTGCTAGGAGACCTTCTATCTCTTGAAATTAAGGGGCCTTCATAATGGGTCGGTTAGTTAAGCCAATAGTACATATAGACTAAATTTGTGTTGTCTGTCTTTATAACTTATTATGGTTTAAGCCTATTAATTGATGCTAATTGTTCAAGTCCTAACAACACAAGAAATTCTTAATGGATTAGTTATGACAACAATTGGAGTATGTTGAGAAAGTGAGAACATGTAGTGCATAGTCCTTGTAGTAGGGGTGGGCAACCGGTTCGGCAAACCCGAATCGTACTGAAACCGAATTAAACCGAAACGAAATCGAAATAATGTTATTCGATTCGGAATTCGGAAGGGAAATATGGATATTTCGGAAACCAGAGTTCTTTCAACTGGACCGAATTTCCGACCGAAAAACCGAAATACTATAATTGCAAACTCCAAAGGCCGATACCAAATAAACCACCCAAGAATGGTGGTGGATTTTTATGTTTGTAGTTGTTTGTAGACTTAAATATTTGAAATGTTTTATGACTTATGTGTTGAAAAGTTTGATTTTATCATCGATGATGCATATAATTGCATATTTATTGTTTATATTAGGGGTGAAAAATAATTTAAAAGTGAGAAGATGCAAGTAGCCTCACAAATTCGATTTTGTGTTAAAAACCAATTCGGTTTAAACCGACCGAACCGAATTATAATCCGGTTCGAATTTGGTTTGAGATTTGGGAGAAATCGGGGACCCAATATTCATAATTTCAGTTCGGTCGAAACCGAACCGACCGAATGTCCACCCCTGCCTTGTAGCCCGATGGCAGGTAGTAAGTAGGAAGGGAGGGTACACCCCCTGGCTAGTGGGTCTTCATCAAAATCAAGCCATTATCTGTTGAAGAATCTTTGCCTTGGCTAAGGCAGCAGCAGAAAGATACACTTGGTCCTCTCTTGCCCTCCTGACACTTGGCTGTCTTTAGGGCAGTTTCGTGGGGTTTAGTTAGGACTTAGGAGTGTGCTTTCTTCTTTTGATACAACCCTTCAAGACCTCAAACAGCCCTTCACTTTCTTCCCCTGCCCTTCTTTTTTGCAGGGCTTTCCTCCCTTGTACTATAGGGTTATCCCTGCAGTAGGGGCTTTACCTAGAGTCCATATTCACCACAAGTTCAAGGGCACGTATTCCTGACCTTGTCTTTGAATTTACAGTCAAATCATGCAAAGTACTGGTGAGCCCGTGGAAATTAACTGCCTCCTATGTTTGCCAAAATTGTTGGCATGGATTGGTTGATGGCTTCTGGCTAGGGTTTATTACTGTCCTTGGCCCTGTCGATGGAGTTCATGTCCTTGTTCCGAAACCCATGTTTTCGATATCTTAGAAAGGAAGGGTTTTCCATCCGGATTGACATAGATCACCACTCTTTAGATGTACCGGGTCATATGGAGTTCTACCGGCCTTGTTTCTCCTCCAATCAGGATACTTCCCGTTTTCGTGAGTGAGACTCGGGTTAAGCTCGGTCTCGTAACCATTCCATAAGAGCTTAGGAGTAAAGCATCCCAAGGTGCTTTAAGAAGAGAATCTGCATTCTTAAATCATCCCATGCTAATAAGAGTACATTCAAGAGAATCACAAATCCAAACTACCTCTGAGTTTGTAATTGTCCTTCAAGAGAAGAAATTGGACATATTTGAAAGTAGCCATAAAAGTAGAGTCTAAAAGGGTGCCCTCTAATGACTACTACAAATAAAAAACCCACTCACATTGATCACTTTTCACCCCCTAGCTTTTACATTGAGGGAAACATGTGAATTCTGACTTCACATGTTAATGGCATGTAAGAGATCAGATAAGAGTAACCTGAGCAGTTCAGTTCAATGTTTTACCTTTAATCTATATCATGAACTCAACTTTACATGAGAGAAAAGCTGCTAGGCTGTATTAAGTCAACAATGGTAACCGAAGGAGCCAGAGGCTAGCTCTCTCTCTACATATAGATATGTACAGCCAACAAGTGAGCAGAGAACTGCTATATGTACAAAAGTAGCCAGCTTGATAAAGTCTGCATCACTGCAAAAGGTTATTTCTTCTTTGTAGCATCGATAAACATGGCGCGAGTCCAATGCTCGACGTCTTCAGTATGGGAAGGCGGCGGAGGAAACTTAGGGTGTTCCACCAGATCCCATCCATCAATTAGCCCTTCATATTTCCCCACCTCTGGCATATCGGTAGGCCCATACAGAAAACTGGTGGTTGAGGAGTTTAGGAGGTTATATTCATTCATGTTCTTCTGCAGAAGAAATAATCAAGCAGGAAGATGTGCATGCATTAAAGAAAGATACTATTGCTTTCTGGAAATGAGAACCTTAGGCATTTTTAATAACTGACATGAAAAGTCTAGGTAATATCTGGAAGATGACATTTATAGTGTGAGAAATCAGCAGGAAAAAGTTTTGAGACTATACCGTGAGATGCAGTGCATGTTGACTATCCATTAAAGCGCTGGATGAAAAGGCCGAGTTTACGTTCCAGACAGATTTATTTAGCTTTTGAGCTTGTTTACCTGACCTGAAACTCGAAAAGAAGACTATCATGATGCATGAGACCAATATAGGGATAATTGAACAAACAAGAACACCTAATGAAATACTCGACTAGATGCTAAAACATGTTAGCAAAGTCAGTTTGCTCCATAGCAATGATCAATCCAAGTAGCCTGTTTAAATGATTGCTCTTATCCTAAAGTATCATCAGAAGTGAAATGAAATATATATGTTTGTTCAGGCTTTTGTCAACTTGACTTCCACCCAAGTTTAAGCCTGAAGAGTAGCGAACAAACACATTCTAAAGGTAAGCCTCAACTAACTATTCGTTAGTTTTTACCAACACCCAACCTTCGTTTCCTAAAACCTGTACCGAACGTGCTGCTCCGCTACTACTACATACTGCTTCTTGACCTCAAGTTTCCTTCATTTCATCTTAAACAAGATCAAAATGAAATAGCCATTACCAAATTGCCAGAACAAAAACGGCAAAGATTTAATCTCCTAATATTTCAAAAAGAGGCACGAAACACAACCAAATTTGACTGTTGAACTGACAATAGTACTACAGTAAGTTCAAGATTTAGAAAGATAACTGAAAGAAACTAGCATGACTAATGGAAAGACAATTACCACTTAGACCTCAGTGCCACATTGTGAACTACAGCCATAATCACCAAATGTAGATATTTCAGCAAATTAATGATTGCATCTAAGTACATATCTGGGAAATATGAGTTACAAGAAAAACATCTTCCTGGGGTTGATTAAGACAGCAAAAAGACCTACCTTGAACAAGCCATTTGTAAGGAGAAAACTGACCGGACATCCTTTGAAGAAGACAGCGTTGACAACAGTCTTGCAAAGGCTTCAAAGGTTGATGTTTCAGAAGGAATTTCTAAGCACAACAAGTTATAACAATAAGCTGTCACGCATGCCACACTTTTCTTCAGAAGTGCAATGCCTTTTTGCAAGTCCTCGTGTGTTTGTACTGAATGTGGAGAAGCTGATGAGTAATTGAAGCTACTACTTCGGGAAGAATCAAGACACGCCTTTCTTTCTGACTCTATTGAGGCAACACCAAAGTTACTGGAGCTTCTATCAGAATCAGTAACTGAATTCTCACCACTGCTAGAGCAATAATTCTGGCGGGGTATAAAAAGAGGATACTCGTTGCTGCATGGGAAGGGATATATTCAGTCCAAAAAGGTTGCAATTCCGACATCACCTGCTCTGTACAAATAAACAAAGACAATTCTTCCAACATATATACCTTCTTGATGAGGGCCGTGCATTCCAGTAAGAATCTCGCTGCCATATTCGAGAGCAAGAGCCCTGAGAAAATATTGAGGTATGAAATTGAGATCCAGATACAAGGAAATTAACCAGAGTACTATTCCACTATATAAAAAACCCGACTTTCAAGCATAGACAGAAACAGTAAACAAAGGTGTGGATAGATTCTTTGTTAAGAAGAAACTAGAAGTTTGAAAAAGCTCTTCTCTTGGGAACTATCAAATTACAGGAAGAACGCAAGAAAATAAACCAGATCCCACAAGTTAGCCAACTCGCAAGCCTTTGACGAAATTACAAAGTTCTTGTTGCAAGCAACTAAAGACATTGAAAAGGGCCCTGTTCAGACGTCATGAAACCAATCTAAAACAGAGATAAGATCCCAGGCTATCTCGCCAAATATTTGTAACACATAAAAAAGTAGGGGGAGCATAAAATATAGTTCCCCAAATCATTTTAAATATAACTTGTGTTTGTCGAAAAAGATGGCCAAGTTCATATTCAATGGATTTAAGAGAACTGAGATTTGCAGGAACACTTATTTTTTTGGTGGGAGAGGAACACTTTCAAATAGAGGCACAACGAACTTACTGCAAAACCAGCATTATGAAGAGCAGGGGCAGCCAAGTTACGAACAACAAGATTTAGAAGCTGCACCATGTACCTGTAACCCAGAAATCATTATGGTTTGAGAAGGAACTTATTGACAGGGATTAGATTTCTCAAATCGTACCAGGATAACATTGATTTGCATGATGAATCACAGAAATTACCCCAATGAGGCACCAAGCTCTTCTGATGGTACAGAGTGGGGATCAAGTCCTCTTGGTAAGCGAGCATTACAGATTTGATCAAATTGACCACTAGTTCTCTCCCCTTCAATTTTCACCTGACCAACATGTGGTACACAATGTAATCGCTATAGGAAAGTTAAGACCTTAGATCAAAGTTGAAAAACAGCCAAGCAGAATCCATCACTTCACATGACCAAAAGATAGATCACTTTTGGAAACAACAAGACCACGCATGCAAAGGCTGTCGGGAAGTGATGGGTACGGCCAAGATACAGCTAATATTTTTTTTCTAGACAAAAACATCAATATCAAAACACCGAAAATAGAGAAAGACTTTGTTATTACCTATTTGTACATATTACCATATTCCTATTTCTATTTGTATATTAAGGAACTTAAATGATATGGTAATGCAAATGGATTTGCATACTACAATCTATATTCAGGAACTTCAGTGATATGGTGCGCAAATGGATTTGCATACTGCAATCTATATTCTGGTACACTTCAACTGAACCAGAATTACAACCAAATTCCATTACTTCTTCCCCTGATGATTTCCAATAGGGACCACATGTTTGCTCAAGCTCCAACCATGAGTAATACTAGTAACTCGAAATATATAGTATTACAATCCTAATACATCAGTAGGGCCTGCACAACCATACTGAAATCTATATTCAGTTGCACTTCAACTGAGCCAGAACATAGCAAAATTATATTACTTCTTCCTCTGATGATTTCCAATAGGGGACACAATGTATATTTTAACAACTGTGAATGGAAAAGATCGAAACTGATTGTATCTGCAATACACCTTAACGTATATTTTAAACTCCAATATGCTTCTTCATGTAAACCTGTATATTCACTTAGTAATTTCCTTTCTTTCGAGCGAGATACTGAACTTGCATACAAATATATAAAAACCCTATGATTGAGCAGTTCTTACCTTCCGTTGAGGTAGCAACTTGCATATCTGTTTTATGACCACAGATTGTTTATGAAGTAGTTCTGTGGTAATAGCCATCTGCAGTTCATAGAATCCCATACAATGAATAAAGCAACATGTTTCTAAACAGAAAGACATAATTATCCAAAAGAATCAGCTTGAATATCTCACATGGCCTAAACTCTGAGTGCAAATAAGGTTTGGATAGAACTTGTCAAGTTGTTCCAAACGGTTCTTCTCTAACTGCACAATAATGAACCACAAATGAGCGCTCAGATATAATTAACAGAAAAGCTACCAACAAAACCAAAACTGAAATGGAAGGAGAAAAACAGTTATTACCGCCGCACGAGCTGAATCTAGGACACTAAACTTGACCTTTAGCTCGCCTGACATTCTCTCAACCTTGGCCTTACCTGCAAAATTCATGTATTCTGTCATTAAGTTAAAAACAAAGATATTTCAGCAGCTTGTAACCTAAGTTCTACTCCCCTCTGCCATACACAAGAAGGCCAACCTTGGTTGAGTCGTTCTCTACTACGACGAAGCTTCTCCTTCAAAATTGCCACCTTCTCCTTGTGTTGTACTCTCCAATTTGACTGATCATCTGCCTTCCCCTGAACAGAATAAGTAAGCAAAATTGCTTCAAACACCTTGCTACACTAACTTTTTCCTAATTACTGAATTACAGCATACTCATGACGCTTGACAACAAGAGTAACAGAAGCACTCAATGAACCATTAATATCAAACCTTTGCCACAAGGACTTCACTTAGTCTCGAGTACAAGGAATCCCGCCGGCTCTTCAACGATTTCAACTGGGTGCTAAATTCATTATTCAACCTACATATCCCCCGCCACAGAGAGGAAATCAATAATGGGATGCTACAGAAGATCACATATCTCGAACTCTCTTATAAAACTTCCAAAAGGCTTAGGTTTGTGGGAACTTTTTCACCTGTAATTGACACAAACTGCACAAATGGAAGCACGATTTGAGTTCTCACAGATAGCACAGCAACTGGACCTTTTGCTCATAGCTCCCTCTTCAACCAATTCAACCAACTCCGGGATTTCTATACACCAAGACAGTTCAACCAGATCTCAGTGGCGGAATTAAACACAAAACCAGAACAGCGGAACTGGCAAAACCTAAAGGTAGCAGGCTAGCAAGGATGTATTCACTATTCAGGATATAGCTTCACTCCAAAATCAAAGGCAAGTGACGATAAAAGATGATTCAATGTCTGACTTAAGCTCGAGTACGAGTAGCGAACGGACCGATTAAAACCAGAATGCCGGGAAGCAGTCGCAGGGGATTTTTAGCGGGGACTGAACGGCGATGAGATAATCCTCCGGCGAATTTGCCAAAATGTAATCTTTCCGAACATTCATCTAAATCACGGCAGCGTCGACGTTGAACGGAGACGACATCATCGGGTGCTGTGGTAGCCGACGTAACGTGAGAGGAAGGAAGGAGCTCCTTGTATTTTCCAGCTCGTGTAATTGTACACCAAAACCAATCCCTGGAATTATCCAACTGCACTAAATTAATCCCTTAACTCTTTTAAGTATTGGCTTTAGTCCCTAAACTTTTTTTCAACAAGATCATCTACTGATGCCTGAACTTTCCTCAAATTGGTAACAGAATTATTGAGGCTCCACAGTAAATAAACAGTGAAGAGAAGCATTCGTGTCCCACATGCTCCACGTGCCCAATGTTTAAACGTGCTGTATCATCTGATCTCCATCATCCCAACCTCGAATCATATTCTTGGACTGAATTGTCAAATGGGTCAGCTTCACTGTTGTCGAGTTCCCACCGAAGAATTTGGTCGGTTACGGATCTTTTGCTCAAGCTTTTAAGCTCTGGAAAGAAAGGGAATGCAAGAGATGCAAGAAGCTAGCCCAAGCTCGAGCAAGAAGATATCAGCTGCAGCAGCAAGAGCTCACACCAGAAGAAACAGAGCCACCACCAGTAACAGCAGCATCAAAGGGAGACTCAATTCCATTTCAGGTAAGAAAGCTCGCTTCTTTCCGTGTTCTCTCGCTAGATACGCCTGTTCTGGCACATGGGTTTTCATCACCTCTTGGATTCCTTCTGTTTCTGTCCGATTGATAGCTAATTTTGGGGGAACTAGTTAAATTTCTAGCACCAAGTTTCAACCTTGTGGAAGGACCAGTTCTTGATGTTTGCTATGGTGTTTCGTCTCAGCGATGTTTGTGCCTATAGCAATGGCGTTAACAGTGGGAGCTTTGGGATGGGTTTATCAGTCCTTAAAGCCTCCGCCTCCTAAAATTTGTGGGTCTCCTGGTGGACCTCCCATCACTTCTCCAAGGGTACAGCTTAGGGATGGGAGGCATTTGGCCTACAAGGAGATGGGAGTTGCTAAAGAAGAAGCTAAGCACAAACTCGTCATCATTCATGGATTCGATAACTCCAAAGATATCAACCTTCCTATCCAACAGGTAAAAGAAAAAAAAGTTGCCCTTTAAGAACCTAGCTAGGGTTGTATCATGATGTTCCCAATTTCATGCTTTTGTTGATGTTTGATTCCTTGATTATCTTCCAGGAACTTATGGAGGAACTGAGCTTATATGTGCTGACGTTCGATAGGGCAGGATATGGAGAGAGCGATCCATATCCTTCCCGATCGGTCAAGAGTGAAGCGTACGATATTGAAGAACTTGCTGATAAGTTGCAGATTGGGTCTAAATTCTATGTCATGGGGATCTCGATGGGTGCCTATCCTGCCTATAGTTGTCTGAAATATATACCACATAGGCATGTTCAGTACTAGAGATTTTGGTTGTGTTATCTGTTTCTAGGAGCAGAGAGTTGGAGAGTATGTTTCACCCTTTTTTCTTTCCTACAGGCTGGCTGGAGTTGCCCTGGTGGTTCCATTTGTGCACTACTGGTGGCCATGTCTACCTGCAAACCTATCGAGGGACGGCTTACAGAAGCTTCTTCCCATGGATAGCAGGGCGTTTCGCGTTGCTTACTATGCTCCTTGGCTGTTCCACTGGTGGATGACCCAGAAGTGGTTCCCTTCCTTGAGCCTCACCGCTGGAAACATGGCCGTTTTCTGCCCTCAAGACATGGAGATGATCGCTGAGATGTCGAAATCTCCAAATCCACATCAGGTACCATTGTTACTACTTACTACTAGTTCCACGAATGCCATTCTCAAGCTATGAAAAGCTTATTGACTTTGTTCACGAAACTTGTTTTCAGGAGAAAGTGAAGCAGCAAGGTGTTCATGAATCTCTATACAGAGACATACTTGCCGGGTACTCGAAATGGGAATTCGACCCCACGGACTTGATCAACCCATTCCCCAACAACGATGGGTCGGTCCACATCTGGCAGGGCGCCGAGGACAGGATCATTCCTCGCGAGATAAATCGTTACTTGGCGGAGAATATTCCGTGGATTCAGTACCACGAGGTTGAAGATGCTGGGCATTTGTTCATCTTCCAGAAGGAGAAGGTCGAGACGGTTTTACGAGCACTGGTGCAGGACTAGAAGCCTAAGTGATCTTCTAAAGCCAGTCATAGACAGTAGCAATCTGCTCCAATGAAATTAACCCTTATATGAGTCTAAGCTGTGAAAGCAGACATGAAAGTGTTGCTGTATGTGAGCATAACCTTGTGTGGAAAGCAAGGCTAACATGCAAGTGTGAGCTACTGGAACTTGTGTAGGAACAGAGAAGGTAGAAGTGAAGAAATAGAATAAAATGGGCTAGAATTGTAGTGGGCCTACACCAAACCAACCCATCATATCTGATGGACCTCCAGGTGTTGAGATTTACTGGACGGAGCCCATTTTCATAAACAATGGCGGCTATACACAGCGGGCCCATAGCAAGAACAATATGGAGAAAGAGGGAGACAGGCTCATGAAAAATGTGAATAGGCACTTAATTCAGTCAATTGTCTTCTTCTCATGATAAACCTAACGTCCCCACCAAGGCACTATACATAATACTGAATTTCTCTATTTATTTACCCCTATCCTTTGAGCTTCTGATGCACGGAACGTGGATGACTCAAGTTGTTACGAGAGAACAAATAGATCAATTTTTTTCCGGTATGTAATATTTGCAGTATTCGTACGATTTTCTCAAAGGTAATATTTTCGATATTAGCACGATTTTAAAGGAGAATTTTTTTTTCAATGAATAGAGAGTATAGAGGTGATGTCAAAACTTAAATCAATAACTTGAATAATAATAAAAAAGTACTTTTTTTTAAAGATAGATTAGGTATTACGGTATTCAATTTGTGAGACATCTTTTCGCTTTTCCAAGTTTAATGGCGGATCTCCATGCAACAATCAATTTATTTAGTAATGTGATACTTGTGTGATTTTAATTTAATTTAAAAGAACAATAAGGGCAGACTTGTCGACTTATCTTTGACTCATTAGTTCGATATAAGTAACACCAAAATAATAATTATTTTTTATTTCAAAATTCTGTGTAAAGGAAAATATGTGTGATATCATAAACAAATGGCTCGAAGGTTCATCTCTTAGCATTTCCAATAACTCCATTTATTCAAATCACTTGGTTACTCACGTATCATCATAAACTTCACCCGACAAATCCTGTATTCGAACCCTCACACAACACTCTAAATATGAACAATTGATTTCAGGACAAAATATAATGAACTTCGTTCGAATTTCAAGTTCATCGAATGTGTTTTGAAACGACATGTATGAACATTTTCCTCAAAGTGAGAGGGAAATGTGGCTTCTTTTTTTTTAAGCACGCAGTCAGGCGTTTGGCATGGCCGGCCGGAGGAAATCGTGATGATCGGCACTCTCTTTTATATGGGTTGATGAGTGCCGCAAGCTCCAAGCTCCATGGCTTGTAGTTGAAGGGAGAAATCTGCAACACGAAACTCAATCGATCAATTAGCTATTAGCCGTTAAAGTGGATTGCCCGTTGCCTTTGTTAACCTTTTCGCTTCCTTCCTACTTATAATACAGTCGGCAACGGAGAAAGAGAGGTGATGATTATGGAAGAAAACAGGGGATTGAGAAAAGCTGGAGAATGACGAAAATATTCCAGCGAGAAAGGGATTGTTCCTTTTTTTAATCAAATCTACTAAAGGATTCTTCCCCAAAGCACCTGGTGAATTACCTTATTGAAAGTCCCCCACCAAATCCTCAATTATGTATTAGTAGTAGCAACCCTCTAGAGCTCTTTACCAACCCAATATTCTTCATCACCAACTTGCAAGATGGTGCTCGTGAGGATTTGAAGACTTGAACTCAAGGGCAAACCAACACGAATATCATGTCATGAACTAGTTAGTCCCAATAACTTGAATGGTTGGGTTTCCAGCTAGCTCCATGATCTCTTTGCCCACGAAGACCGTAGTTCAAGTGATTGATCTGTTTGACTCGTCTTTTGAAAATTTTCATTATCCAGATTTTGGGTTTGTGAGACGTTTATATGCTTTGTTTATACACGTTGACGACAGAGTCAAACTTGATTTAATTGCACTATGAGTTTAGATCATGTCGGCCAAATTTCAAAAGTTGGTCGATTTGAGTTTTGATGGTTGGATCCTATGATATCAGAGGTTCCATTTCAAGGTTAGTCATGAATTTGGACGAGATACTAATAATTCATGTCCAGTAACTTGCCACTGGTAGTCTTTCTTTGTTGACAAGTTGAGATCGACTCGTTAGCAACAGAATACACAAACTTAATCTAAATAGCCATTTTATAAAATAACCTAAATCCGAGAAATTATCTCTCTTTATTTTTTAAAAACTCAATGACCGTTTTGGTACAAACACTATAATTGAGTGATCATTACGTAACAACCCTCGTTACTACAACTAAGCCGAACTGGACACTAAACTGAACTCGAAGGAAATAAAAAGAAAATGGTATTTTTTTTTTTTCGGTAATTAAAATGGTATTTTGTTTTCTTTAACACTATTGGCTACCCAATTTAAAGGAATAATTTCCCCAAAATAACTTGTGTTTATAAAAAGGAATGTCCGATTCATACAACGAGCTCAAAAGGAGGCAATGGAAGATGGGTCAACATACCCGCAATCGACCAACTCAGCACGAGGAAGAAGACGGCCAGCAGCAGCAAAACGTTACTGACTGAACTCTCCCAGAGCCTCCACATGAGATATTTACAGAAGATCAAACTTGTGAGCAATCAACAGAGCAGAAGAAGCAATCAAGCTCGTAGTAGTGGTGCTTCCCACAAGATCCCTGAGCTCCTCCGCCGCCTTGGCTCGCCTCCCAGCTTCGATCGAAGTCTTCACAATCTCACGGCGAAGAAGAAGAAGGTTTCAGAGACCCCCGCGGCCGCGCTCATTGGGTTCCGGAGACTAGTTTGAGCATTTCCAAGATAAATCAGGCAGGTGAGTTCATAAATTTTGAATCTTTTTTTTTTTGTTTGCGTTTTTTGGGTTTGTTTCGAAGTTTCAGCATTGGATTCCAACTGGGTTTTTGCTAATTAGATCTGGGTTTTTTTGTGTTTGCCTTTTTTTTTATTCTTCTTATCAGGGATGATGTCGACGACAGCGGTGGTTCTGATGATTGGTCTTATGGGGATGGTTTATCAGGCCACTCAGCTTACTCCACCGCCCCAAATTGATCGGAAGGCAGAAGAACACGCTGACGATTGCACGAGAATCAGGCTTAGCGATGGGAGGTACCTTGCTTTTAGGGAGAAAGGAGTTCCAAGAAACAACGCCAAATACAAGATTATTCTTGTTCATGGCTTTGGAAGCTCTAAAGAGATGAACTTTCTGGCACCTCAAGTACTGTCCCTTTGTTCTCTATAATACTGTCCATTTCTTGATGGCATTTCAAATATTCTTGGCTGAGTCAGAGTAGAAGTAACAATTTGAAATAGATGCATATTTATGGAGAAAGTGATTCTAAAGCATGTCTTTGCCAAGTGACTAACTAGTGTGTCATTTGCTTGTTTTTCTTTAATACTGGTGGTGGCTGTTTAGTATGTTGGTGAATCAGCATAATAGGTCATAGATAGAGATAGATGAACTATAGAGAGAGCTCAGTCAACTGAGTGTCTTACTTGGATTTGACTATGTTGACATGAGTGAGAACTGAAACTCACCATGATTTAGTTTCCAGGAATTGATAGATGAGTTGGGGATCTGTTTCTTGCAATATGACCGAGCCGGCTATGGAGAGAGTGATCCTAACCCAAAGAGATCAGTAAAGAGTGAAGCTTTGGACATCGAAGAACTTGCGGACCAACTTGAGCTGGGATCCAAGTTTTATGTTATTGGGGTCTCAATGGGATCGTATCCAGTTTGGAGTTGCCTGAAATACATTCCGAACAGGCAAGTTAATCTGATTAAGACATGTTTCTCCTTTTCATAGCCTTTTGCAGTTGAATGTTGCTTCTTATCACTTATGTGACCATTTTATGTGCAGGCTAGCAGGTGCAGCACTCATCGTCCCAGTTATCAATTACAAATGGCGTTCCCTTCCTCAAAGTCTCATAAGAGACGACTACCGTAGGAGGCTTGTACAGTTGACATACTTATTTTCAAGCTATGCGCCTGGATTGCTGCACTGGTGGGTTTCTCAGCAATGGCTCCCTTCGAATTCTGTCCTAGAGAGGAACCCGGTATTCTTCAACCCCCATGACATTGAGATCTTGAAGAAGATACCAGGGTTCCCAATGCTAAGCAAGGTAAAGCCCCCATATCATATTACTCACAAAACTGAAAAGGGTTTCCTTTTCTCCACCATGGTCATGACGAAAGGCTTGTGCTTTTTTCGACTCTTGAACCAACAGGCGAAATTGGCGGAGCGAGAAGTTTTCGACACTCTGCGCCATGATTTCCTGGTGGGTTTTGGGGACTGGGAATTCGATCCAACGGAGTTAGAGAACCCATTTCCTTCAAACACAAGCAACTTTCATATCTGGCAAGGTTACGAAGACAGGGTTGTCCCGTTTCAACTCCAGAGGTTCATTTCAGGGAAGCTACCTTGGATTCGATACCACGAGGTTCCTGAAGGTGGCCATCTAATTGTGCACTACAATGGATTAGGAGAGGCTGTATTGAAGTCCCTTTTGGTTGGGGAAGACCCTCTTACTCTAGACCATGTAAAACCATAGCTGAACCAGCCTTCAGGAGGAATTTGTCAAATTTGATATCACTGCATCATATGATTTGTGTTGTTTGGCTGCTGGTATAATTAGATTTGTGCTTCTTTAGGGGATTGTATAAACATTTGTCATTTGAAAGGTGGAAATGAATATAAATTCTTTCATTTACATCTCACAGATGTTAAAAGGCAAAAACCTCTCTGGTGTACTGCATATGCCTGGTCTCCCAAAATGGGGAAGTGGGGGCATGAAATGAAAAAAACAAGTCAGAAAGATCATGTGCATATCTGCCGAATTTCTGCAGATGCCTCTCAAAGACGTACATGCCAGGCTAGAAATGTTTTGGTTAGTGCCTCAATTGATTCAACAAGTAATACTGAGCTCACTCCCAAGTTTGTAGGGTGCTGATGGTACATGTTTACATCGCAGGATTGCACATTTCAGCAATCTAAGCCATTCAACGGACGAGGTAACGTTTTTTCATAACATCATTGCGTGTGCATTTAACGGTCGAGATTGTGATATGACAGCAGTTGACGCCTACTCCTATCAGCATGGTAGCTAGATTGGCTCCCTCATATTTGTACTCTACTTATAAAGTTTCTTCAATACGATGAATGTAAAGATACTCTGTGTCTTTAATAAGGACAGTCTCATGTGGACATGAAGGAATGATTGGTCAGAAACAGGACCCTTATTCCCCCCACATTGTAAGTTCTTCAGACAATGTCCTACTCTACTCCTACAGGCAGTGAGTGTCATGAACCAGTTGATCCCAATAACTCGAATTGTTGGGAGAGGTTCAATCGTGTATCATATACCACAACACTAACACGCCCCCTCAAACGAAAGCCACTCAGAAGGGCTTGAAGTTTGCACATGTCTGAAGACAAGAATACCATGTGTTTAACAAATGGGGGTCACCGGGAATCGAACACAAGACCTCTCGGTCACAGAAAGCTCTGATACCATGTCATGAACAAGTTGATCCCAATAACTCGAGTTGTTGGGAGAGGTTCAATCGTGTATCATATACCACAACACTAACGGTGAGAAGTCATCATCAAACAGGGCAAGCAGATAATGTATGTTATGATCTTCAAGAGTTGGGCCACCTAGTCGGCTTTGGGCCAAGATGGGTGGGCCGTGACGAGGACTAGGCCTGGGAAGGCTTGAATATGGGCCGAGGGATGGTGCACGCATGCACACCTACCGTGATCTGAACAATGATGTAAAGAAAAAGCTCCAAACTTGACCCCTGAATTTCAGCAGAACAAGACAAGAACCCTAAACAAACAATGTAAAAGAAGAAGAAGAGAAGAAAGAAACAAGAGGACTTTCTGCACAAAGGAACAAAAACACTCAGGATCATGGAAATGGTGTTGGTCATCTGTGCCCTTTACCCATGCAGAAAGCAACAAAAATACCCTTAACTCATAAACTCTTCTGTTACACACTTCCACTTGTTTTATTCGAGAGGGTATGAAAAGAGACCGAGGACATCGAGAATCCGAATTCGATATAAAGAATGGTTTTCAGGAATTAGAAATTCGAGGATCTAGTTCGCCAAAAGTACCCTTAACTCATAAACTTTGTTCCACACTTCCACTTGTTTTTATTCGAGAGGGTGTTAAAGGAGACGAGGACATCGAGAATCTGAATTCGATACAAACAGTGGTTTTCTTGAATTTGAAATTCGATGATCTAATTAGCTTAGCTTGTAGGTTGTAACATCCAAAGATGAAATGAACTTATGAGATTCGATCGAGAAACAATATTCTTCACGAGATGAAATTCACCATGATACTTCGAAATCCATATCGAAAACGAACCCGTTATAGGATAGTACAAGTCTACCAAGGACCCTTGTATTAAGGGATGCCCTGTGGCAGTTACCCCCTTCCTCTCCCTCTCTTGGCATTTTCTTCTTTTCTTGAGAGCCCTACAGATTTTAAGGACTGAAGCCTTGGTTTTACCCTTTCTATGACCTTTCTCTCATTGTTTGTTTCTTTTGCTTTCAACTTCGGTTATATCGATCGCCACCTCACAATCTCTATAAATAGTTCTTGCCTTCTGATCACTGATATGAACTCAACAACACAAAATATAAGCCATCTCTCTCCATATCCACTTAGAGGTTAGAATCTCCATTTGCTTCAAGGTATTTGGCTACTCAAGTTCTCTTCATCTTCCTAATTCCTACACATAATGTCCCTAAAGTTTGCATGTATGATTGATTAGTGTGACAATTTGACTCAAAGCCAGCACAAAAATTACTATGTAAACCTATAGTGTTTAAAAAAAGAATGCGACCCTGTCAAATTCTTTGCACGAGATTCAGAAACTTGCATTTCTACGTAATATTTTTTTTTTTCGTTCGAAAACCTAATCATACATACCATAACTATGTTACTAATCATAACTTTGTGACCACTCTCCCAACTAGGTGCAAGATGATCATCCCCGATACTACGACTCGAGCACAAGACGAGAATGTCGACGAATCAATCCCCCCACTCTGCCCTCACTACGATTCTCTCTGGTCTCTCACCCTGGACGAGATCGAGCTCAAGAGCGGGAAGACCCTCGGAGCCATGACCATGGAGGAATTCTTGTCCAACGTGTGGTGCAATGCTGATGATTCCACCAATCAAGTTCTGCTGGCACAGCCAAACCCTAACCCTAACGACGATGACAGATCGAGCCACCACCAGCAGCAGCAGCAGCAGCCATATGATCAGCAGAGCTCGTCCATCTCCATCCCTCCCTCTCTCTGCAACAAAACCGTGGATGAAGTATGGTTCCACATCCAGAGAGAAATCTTTTCTGGTCCTCATCACTTGAATCCCTCCACCAACAACAACAACAACAACGACAATGACAGTGATGTGCTTCACCATGAGGAACAGCAGTACTCTTTGGGATCAATGACGCTGGAAGACTTCCTCGTACAAGCCGGAATCGTCGTTGAAGAAGCTGCACAACCTGAACCAAGCAACAGCGTCACGAATGTGAGTGGCGACGGGCAGCCGGAGGTTTTGGTGGAGAGAAAGCAGAGGAGGATGATCAAGAACAGAGAATCTGCTGCTAGGTCAAGGGCTAGGAAGCAGGTTTGGTTTGGTGCATTGGTTGATTGATTTTCTGTGGGAAGTTGTTGATGTTAGATAGCTGACTCTCTATTGCCTCTGATCTGCTTGCAGGCTTACACAATGGAGCTGGAATTTGAGCTGAACTTCCTCAAGCAAGATAATACCAGGCTGCAGCAAATGGTGGTATGTTTCTCTCTTAATTGTATTTGGCTGATGGATTTGGCACCCAAATCTCGAACATCGTGAATTTAAACAACTTTATTGTCGTTGGAATAAATACAAATTCGTGGGCACATGATTTTTTATATCTAAATTCGTAAATCCTAACAATGAACTCTTTCAAATCTATAATACAATAAATTCGTAGTAAATTCAAAGATTTTCATAACTTAAATCCTAATTTTTTTTTATTTGTCTTTGTTTATCATTTTACTCGCATTAACGAATATTGTAACAATTTTTTTTTAACTTTCGAATGCATACCGAGCAGGAGATTGAGCAGGCAGCTAGAGAAAAGGTAATTAAACTCTTTTCTATATAAACCATTGTTGTTTATCAACATTTAACACTAACAATTTGGAGCTTAATAAATGTTCTTTTTATTCTTTCTTTCCTCTTATTATAATATGAAAGATTATCAAGCTGATGAGAGGGGCAGCGCGACAGAAAAAGAAGGCCGATAAGCTAAGGAGCACAGAGTCAGAGAGGAGAACAAGCAACTGAGTTGGTGAATGGAATGCTAGTTAATTATGCTACTTAAATAAATGTCATGTATGGGCAAAACTAGTCATTAATAACATCCACATGATATGTAATGTGTGTTTAATAGTTTTGTCTTATATTGACTTGTTCCCCCTCTTATAGAGTATGTAATGTAATGTGTGCAATAAGAAACCACGAGATGAAAAGCACATAATCTCGTTGGTTGTTGTCTTGTTGATTCCAAACTTCGAACCTACATTGTGGTGAATGTTCTCATATCCGCATTATCACTATGTCAATTTCTTGGAGATTGAAATGTACTTAATCTTGACTAATGGAATGCAAGATCTGTCCTTAGTTTGCATTGATATCCCTTTTTCGTTTGCACAATGTTTAAAGTGTTCCGAATTCGAATAATTTCACCATTGTCTGCCCGGTCCAAAAAAGGTTAATGTAAGTCATCTAAGCCCCCCACAACATCATTCGAATAATTTCAGTAAATAGACAACTAGAGAAATAAGACCATTCGTGTTGTTGTAAAGTTGTTTTAATTTGTTAACGAAGTAGTGTTAGAGGTATTAAGAAGTCACAATACTATCGTATGGTTTTTCTCACCTTAATTTGTCCTCCGTTATCTGATTCTATAAGAAATTTTACAAAATATAATATTGAATATGATTAAAAATATCATCAGAAATTGTGTACCATCATTAGAAAAAACTGCCTCACTCGCTGAAATTATCTAACCAGACTTAATGAATAGTAGTAGTATCATGATTCTTAAATCTCTCACCATCAATTGTCATTTTCCCTAGACAGAATCTATGTCGAACTATATGCATGTCATGTAATCCTCCAACCATGACCTTTTTTTAGTTTTTTCCCTTGCTAGAAATTCCAGACAAAAATTGAGAGCGAAAAGAAGACTACTGAAGTCTGAACGGGGAAAAACGACGTCGTGTCAGAAGGTTCATGGTCCGTGAGCGGCGTCGTTTAAGGAATATACCGAAACAGAACCTCTCTCCTTCACGAGTTAGCGACATAAATCAGGAGGGCTTACACGGTGGCGCGACACGGAATCATTTCCCACGCTTCGCAATACCGCGGTAGCAAAAAAAAAAAAAAAAAAAGGTTTGATTTTCGCCCTTCGCGTCCCTTTCTCTCTCTAAAACCCTTTCCGCCTTCTGCCTGTCTCTCTCCAGAATACATTTTCTGTGCGCGGGTTTTGATCTGCGGTTGACCTCGTTGAACCCGAGGTAAATTCCTCATTCCTCTCCTCCATTCCGGTTCCGCTCCAGCACGAATTCCACTTCAATTTCCCGGTCTTGCTCGACCTAGACGTAATGAATTACTACCACGCCACCGACCTTCCCGTTAGGGTTTTTGGCTTCCTTCGTAATTCCAGTAAATTTATCTCAGTCATTCTTTGCTAACGTTAACTAGAGGTTTCTAGGGATCGGTTTTGCAGAGTATGGAGTTTGAAGTTTTTCGCGGGTTTTTTTTATCGTTTTTTTTTTCCTGGGGTGTGGAAGGGGAGGAGGTGAAATGGGGAATTCGAACATGTCGGTTCTAGTTTAGGCCGTGGCAAGTTTGAAAGTCGGCGAGGGAGGGAGAGGGTGCCAGGATGAACTGATGAAGTTTGTAATGTCGTTTTCCTGTCGGTTTGGCTTCTGGGAAAGCAATTGTTGAGGAATGGAATAGTAAACTCGATTTTGACTGTTGTTATTACCGGAGTAGTGAAGGAAGTCTAACTCCGAAGTAGATGGAAGCTCGACTCTTTATGGGGATGAGTTGAGAAATGAGGAAGAGGAGAGCGGAAGTAGGGGTAAAGAAACTAATAGTCACACTTAGGAGGAAAACAATGGTGGGCAGTATAAACTAGATTAAGCTTTTGCTTAATGTCTATTGGGGATAGGATTGTTGCTTGTAATTTGTTTTTCTTTTTGTTGAAAATAATTACAGGCGCTGTTGCACTAGCATTAATCTATATATATATATAAGAGACTTGTCTCCAGCTGATAATGTTTATCTAGCATACATTAAGAGGGCATGTTGTAGCGAGCTGTTGCTATCTTGGATTAACTATCCTGCCTTTCTACCAGCTTTGCTAGCCTGAGTTCGAGATAGCTGCCAACATGTTCGGCTCAGGGAGCAATATAAGTCGGGGCAATGGCACATCTCCATCGGACATGCCACCCTTGACGGAGTGCTTGCATTTGGAGCCAATTATGTTAGGTAGCCAAAAATACACTCGTTCTGGAGAACTAAGGAGAGTTTTGGGTTTCGGGAGTGCCTCGGAGGATCATTCGTTTGGAGTTTCTCATCCCAAGCCTCCTCCCGTGGCAACGGAGGAGTTAAAAATCTTTAAAGAAAGTGTGCTGGATGCTTCCAGAAAGGCCAGGTACTTTGTTCAATACAGCATGAAACTAGCTCCGTTTTATTTGAGTAATTTTGTTATTATTTTTAACAGCATATCTGGGGTTTATACTTGAAAAATAGTGTCTGTTGATCTATATACTTGAGATGGCGATGTCTTGCGAGTAGTAACCTTGGGATTTACTATCTTGGTTCTGTGGAACTATGTGAATGTTGATTTGTGATCTTACCATTCTCACGCAAGTGCTTTTTCACGGAAGAGCATTTTTAAGTTTACAGAACCTGTACCTCTGTACATTGTTGTAAACTTGTGCTTCTTTTCTTCAAATTTATATTGTAGTTTTCCTGTTGTTATGCTTCTTATATAAGCATGATTTTTTTTCCTGGCAGGTAAAAAATCTGGTTACTGCAGTTGATGATTTGAAACGTTTTCGTTAGTTTTCCTGTATGAGGATGACCAGATTTTATTTTTTGTCTTTCTTCCAGGGATAGGTCAAAAATGTTAAAGGATTCGATGATGAAATTGGATAAGTACAAGGAAGTCTTAACTTCAAAGAAGCGACAAAGAAGTGAATTTTCTGTGACTGAGAGATCGAATGGGCCCATTAATTTAGCGAAGATGGGGAGTCAAATTCACAGAATTCCTCATGAAGGAATGCCTCAAAGATTGGAGGAACGGGCGAAGTGTGTTGGTCTAAATAAGCGTGTTCGAACATCAGTGGCCGATGTGCGGGTATGTGCCCAATTTAGTGTGTATGAAGTTTTCAAGGCTTGAAGTTTCTGGTTTTCGGTGGTGTTTGTGAAAATATGACATATGTGTTCTTTAATGATTTGAACCTGATTTGTGATCCATAGCTCTGCCTTCTTTCTATGTTATTAGGCCTGTTTCCTGCTCTGATGGAAGTTTCGGTTTCAATTTCATGACTATCATGTGAATAAGAGGGGAATTTGTGCTGGGATTTGGTACCCATGATGGGAGCTTTTTGGTTTCTTTTTTCAATATGTTTTTATTTATTACATTTGCTTTGCATTCATGTTTGCCAGCAATTTGGTCCTTTTTGTAATAGCGTGAATTGCTGCAATTTCTTTGTTGTTCTCCTATAAAATGAGTTGCTCTCTATCTTCTTGGATTCTTACAGCCGGATGGTAAGAGAAGCCCCAGTCCGAGGCAGCAGTTAGCAATGGAAAAGGCTGGAGAAGCGCTTCCTGATGTTGGTGGAGGTGGTGTTCGCTTTGAAGAAAAGATACGCAGGTTGCCTGCAGGAGGTGAAGGGTGGGATACAAAAAATAAAAAGAAGCGCTCTGTTGGGATGGTTAGTGGTAGGGTAATAAATGGCGACCGGGACCTCAAGCGATCCATGCTTCCTAAAATGAGCTCAGATTCCAAGATGCGATCTTGTGATGCCCAGGACTTCAGGTAATCTTACTTGCACACTTGATGCCGTTTCTTTTCCGGCGTGTGTCACTCAGGCAAGGCTCTTTTGTTGGATATGTTATAATTGCACCTGCTTGAAAAACTTTTGTATGTAGATGTCTGTTGGAAGTAGTTTGCTGGTTCAACTTGTACATTATAGTGGCTTTGTGCATGTTAGAGGGTACCAAGTACGAATCATTAATCTCAATGTAGAAGATAGTCTATTTTTTTCTTACATATTTCATTTGTTTTTTCTTCTGATTCTTCATACAAAAATTACTGCTATTTCTGGTATCTCAGAGATGAGGTTTGTGTTTTAAACTTATGTTGAAGATAGCATTTCTTCTCTTTCTTTGTTATATTTTGTTAACTGTCTTGGCTAAATGTGCCTTTTAGTTGGTAGTTGCTCTTATGATCTTTGTTGCTCCATTTTGCTAATCGGGAAATGCATGGGTTGTCAAAATCTTTAAGATGACGAGAAAGGTTAAAAAAGAGAATCAAGTTCACTTGTTTTCTGCTTCCTACAGATCTAAGTCCTCTCCCAGCGTCAGTGGAATCAACAAATCAGATGGTTCTTTAGAGCCTACTAGTTCAGACACCAGTACAGCATTGAGGAGTGAGATGGAAAGCGGAGCCCCTACAAGAGACCGTATGGCTCTCTTAGAGAAAAAAGTTATGACAAAAGCTAGCAATAAGTATGTATTTCTGCATTAGAGCTGCAATGTGCAATGAGACTTCAAGTTGAATTTGACAAATCTCTGAAGCCAGTACTTTGTTTCTCTGCTTTAGTCTGTGAAATGCGTACTATATGATCTTCTAGTTCTCGAATGAGTTGTGCTTGGTTGTTTACAAGTCTTTGCTTCTTCAGGCCAAATGTTCACGAGGAGAATCTAGCAAGTAGTCCAAGTACTATGATAAAGGCAAAAGTATCTAGAGCACCCCGGACTGGTTCTATCATGCAGCTAGACTCATCTCTTAAGTCTCAACCTTTATCCACATCCCTTCAAGGTTCGGATCAGGCTTCGAGTTCGAATAAAGTGCCAGTTCCAGGTATGGCAAATAATCCTAAACGGCAAATGCCTGCAGGTTCATCTTCACATGCCATGGCCCAGTGGGTTGGTCAGAGAACTCATAAAAGCTCGCGAACAAGGAGAGCAAATATAATCACTCCTGTATCTAATAATGGTGAAGCTCAAACCTCGTCACCAGGTTTTGTGCCTTCTGATTTTAGTGGTAGGATATCTTCCGTTGCAACCAATGGATCATTACTTCCCAGCAGCCTGGATAATAGCACTCCAAAGATTAAAAAGGAAGTAGAGAATGTTCCTTCTCCTTTTGGATTCTCTGAAAGTGAAGAATCTGGGGCTGGAGAAAATAAGGTCAAAGATAAAGGAAGAGACAGTTGTGAGACTACTCCAACTGCTTCACTGAGACCTGGCTCTTTTGTAATTCCATCTAAGAAGAACAAGTTACCCACTAATGAAGTTGGAGAAGGGGTTCGGAGACAGGGCCGGACAGGAAGGAGTCCGTCTCTAACAAGGCCAGGTGTTAATTCAGGGAGGGAGAAGTTAGAGAACCAACCAACAATGAAATCAATTTCAATCGTGAAGCCTCCTGATAAGAATAAAAGGTGTCTGCTTTTGACTTCCCCTGATTAATGATTATTGCTATGATTCTGTGTAGTATTGAGTTGTCTTGCTGTTTGTCTGACTATTAAAGGAAATTTACATTTTCTTTGAATCAGCAAATCTGGTCGTCCACCTTCCCAAAAGTTGAAAGATCGAAAAGCTGTTGCTCGTGTCGGGCCAATGTTGAACGGGAATTCTTCAGATTACACAGGTATGTTTTAGTGTCGTTATGCTGCGGAGATTCCTGAATGGTTTAAAATCATGACATGCACTGCTCTAATCATTACTCTGCTGTACAAGCTTTTCTGGCAATTGTAATAGGAACTTGGTTTTTGAATCTCTGAGGCCTTTCTTCTTTATGGTTGGATATGGAATCTTTATTTCTTATATTTACACTAGCTTAGGAATAAATGTTGTCCCCATTACTGCTAGTTCGCTAACGAGTAAACATATTTGTATAGTTTGCATCTGTATTCTGTAGTCTTTGACATTGCATATTAAAAGAGTTCATCATTAAAAGCAAGAACTCCAGTTTTTTTAACTTCAGAATATTACTCTTCTTGTTAGTTTGGTTTCTGCAGTATGCTGCTGCAGCTCATGCAATATTTGTTGTGATACTATTGACAGGCGAATCTGATGATGATCGTGAGGAGTTATTTGCAGCTGCGAGTTCTGCACGGAATGCTTCCAGTATGTTCTGTTTATTTAATGCTGTCTGGAATTTCTCTCAGTATGTTTGTTGGTAGTTATAATGAAAATGCTTGGTGTTGTAGACCTTGCTTGCTCTGGCCCGTATTGGAAAAAGATGGAACCTATTTTTTCATCCGTCAGCTCAGAGGACACGTCATATTTGAAGGAACAGGTATTAATGGCTTACTGAAAGGTGATTGGGGAGTCTGTCCACAGATTTTGTTCAGGCTTATAATATCTCTTTTCTTACTTTCTTGCTGGATCAGCTGAGTTTTGCAGAGGAGCTTGATGAGACTTTGTCTCAGATGCTTGATGTTGACTACAATGTTTTGGTAGGTTGTCTAATGCTTTCTTTGGTCATCTGATCACCTTAAAGTCTAAAATCTGTTGTTTTTGCCAGAGACGTAAGTAGAATCCAATCATTTGAATTTTCTTGCCGGCCTTATAATCTTCAAGTATAAGTTTCTCTTTGTAGGGAGCATATACTTGTACGAAAAGAATCTCAAAACAAGGATAATGTTTGGATCATCATTTAATGATTATTAACTTTATTTTTCCAAGGGTGTTCTGATGCACAAGGAGTCTCCTAACTCTTCTGGTGGAAAGCTAGCGAATGGCCCTAATAAAAGATCATCCAACTCAACTTCGTTGTGTGGAAAAGTTGATAGGGAAAGACTGGAAAAGGGGGCTCCGCTATACCAAAGAGTTCTTTCAGCTCTAATTGAAGAGGATGAATGCGAAGAATTTTATGTGCATGGTGAAGGCAAAAATGTCCCTCATTATGCAAGTGATGATTCTCATTGTGGTTCATGTAATCTGATTGATATTGAACCCAGAGATAGGGACAGGACAGAGTCTGAAGTTGAATCAGTGAACTTCCAGAGCCAGCGGAGTTATTTTCTGGATGGATTTTCTTGCAACAGAAGTGATGCATCCAACAGTATCAGGAATCCAAGGATGTCCAGTCCTTTACACAGTAATGGTCAATGGAGAGATGATGATGAGGTTTCGCATTCTGATCTTGTACATGGCAGTGAAATATCTTCAAGTGACATGGGGTTACTGCAGACAAGGGAATTGACCGCACTCGGGTTTTGTTCATCTGATTGCCAATACCAGCTTATGTGTCTGGATGATAAGCTGCTGTTGGAGCTACAGAGCATTGGTATATGTCCAGAGAAATTGGTACGCCTCAAGCCATGTTTTTGCTTTTAGGTTTAAGGTCGGATGATATCTGTGTCTCTAGTTGAATTTTCAATGTTTGCTGTTCTGTTGCAGCCTGATCTAGCAGAGGGGGAAGAGGTCATTACTCACGACATAATGGAACTGAAAGAAGGACTATTCGAGCAGGTTGTGTTAATTTTTTTAAGGAGTTTCAATTAAGTCAAGCTTTTATAGGTCTTGTCGCCTTTCATTCCTTCAGCAAACCTATTGGGCTGGCTAATTGGCCTACCGTTTTGTATCTTGAATTTCTTACTGTTTTGACTTTCATCTGATATCCTCAGTACGTAACTGTTTGACTTCATTGGCAGATTGGGGAAAAGAGAAGGAAGCTAGAGAAAATTGATAGAGCTGCTCAGAGAGACAAAGATGTTGGAAAAAGGTTGGTTTTAGTTATTTGCAACTGTTGCTTCGAATTATTTCTTGTTCTCTGATACTCCCATCTTGAATTACCTAACATGGCTATCATTGCAGGAGCGTTGAGAAAAATGCTATGGACCAACTTTTGGAGATTGCTTACAGGAAAGGAATGGTACTTGTTTATCCTGACTTTTGGTGCTAACTATAATTTACGCAGCTGTGGTGTTGTCTTAAAAATTTGAATCCATAAAACGTTACTTTTTGTAATATCGAATCATGGGTTTAGAGAGAAGTAACATTAACTAATTTGGAGGAAAATCCTGCAATCTTGGTTTTGTACCCGCCTCATAGTTCTGTTCAAATCTTCTTTGCAGTAGGCTGTTCATGCTTTGCTGTTTAACTTAATGGAAAATTTCCACTCTATGGAACATTATGCAATTAGAGCCTTTAAGTATGCTTTAATTTAGTGTCACGCGCACTGCTACATATGAGTTTTTGAGGAATTAGCAACTGAATTTTCCATTGTTACCAATTCAGCACGAGCTATTAGAAGATCCTTTTATTGGTGCACTTCTATTTTATAAGTTCAATTCAAATGGAAGGGACAAAATGATTATTTGTCATCTATGATCGTTGAAAGATAATGGGTTACTCGTGTTGGTAGTTGTCTAATTTACAGTTTGGGGTGTGTGTCTGTATTAGCCTTTGATACAGTTAAAAATTATATTTGGTTTGCAGGCTTGCCGTGGAAATACGACATCGAAAGGCGCAGTTCGCAGGGTTTCTAGACAAGTTGCCTTGGGATTTATCAGGCGTACACTTGGTAGGTGTAAAAAATTCGAAGATGGAGGCATCAGCTGCTTCAGCGAACCAGCATTACAGGACGCCCTCTTCGCAGCACCCCAATGCAATAATAACACCAAGTCTGTTGATTGTGTCGGGTCAGGAACTGCCAGCAACACGCCTAATGATGTTTCTAACCATCAAACCGAGGGCAGATTGTCAGGTACAGCAACTTAAATGCCTTGTTTGATGAGACAAATACTTTTAATTCTTAGAAAATTATATTATGCTCTGCATATTATAACTGGTCATGCGTGGCATGTTGGCTGGTTTGCTGTTCTGTTTGTCATAATCATCAACTGTGGTGTATAGTTAATTTCATGGGCGCTTTCCTAATCTGTGTTGCAGGTGGTGTTGCTTCTAGCCCATTAGAGAGAAACGATTCCCTCTGCGATAGCTTCGAAAGAGGTAACGTCCTTATTAATGATATCGTCATCAGTGCTTCATCTACTCTTTTCATGGTACTGTTGGTGGGAAAAGGGTATGTTTTAATAATTGATGGGGATAGATGCCACTATTTCATGGATAAATGAACAAAGTCTTTCCTCTGCAGGAGGGAGTCGCAGGGCAAAAGCAAAGCCAACCAAGCAGAAGAGCGCTGCAGCAGCAGCAAATGGCCCTCGCGGATCCAGTCATCCGACAGGAGCGCCCAGTGGTCGCAGCAAGCCTGAGAGAGACGTACTCAAGCCTAAAGAAGCAGAGGAGGAAGCCATGGATTTGCCGCTGGACGAGTTTGGGGTGTCGGCAGATGATGGGAACCAAGATCTCGGTTCGATATTCAACTTGCTTGACGATGATGGGTTGCAGGATCATTACTCGGTCGGTCTCGAGATACCCATGGACGACCTCTCGGAACTAAACCTGATGTAGAGAAAGAAGGGGAAGAAGTAGTGTGAGTGTCCCCTTCTGCTGATTTTGGCGAAGAGATTAAGGAAAAGTCAATTGTAATTCTAGAATCTGTCTGGCAAAGGCTGGACAGGGAAGATGTGTAATTATAGAGAGGGGGCTGAGATGTTGTAAATAGTAGATCTCTGTATGTATTTAATTGAACGAGATAATGGTATAGTCGATTGTTTGAATTAGAGACATATTGAGTGATATTTAATAGTTCATCCGTCAATTTTCCCAGCACAGTGGCCACCCTCTTCTTGTTACTTGTACCATGCATAAGCAACATATTTGTCTTTTTCAGTAGTCTAATTCGTGGTCGAATATTTTGTGTTCGTATCATTGCAACTCTCAAACTCGTAGATCGATCGTCAAGAGAGAGTTGCGTGTTTAATTCATATTTCTACCTCTCTTGATAATGTTCTTTTAATTTGTGAATAAATGCTTTAATAAACAATGATTCACATATCTATTTAACCATATATATTAGGGCTAATACAACTAGGAAACCCAAACTATTAAGAAAGTGTCATTTGTGTCCTAAAGCATACAATATGACATTTGTGTCTTAAACTATTTTTCCATTAGAGTTGACTGGCGTTGACCGTTAGTATTTAACAAATGACACATTCTTAATAGTTCGGGTTAGGACATAAATGACACAAAACTATAATAGGTTAGGACATAAATGACATAATACTATAATAGGTTGGGACACAAATGTTATATTGAATACTTTAGGACACAAATGACACATTTTTTATAGTTCGAGTTTCCTAGTGGTATTAGCTCTATATATTTTTAAGTATGAGGTCATCTTGTTTCTACAAAACCTCTCATTATCCGTTGTAGCTTGCTAGTTATAATTAATTAAGTATGGTTGGGTTCAAGTAGGACCAAATCGCTATCAATGACGAGCGGTCGGTAAAAGTTTAATGTTTTCCATTACCTTTTCCTCTCCCCTAATTGCAAGGACGACGAGTTGTCACTAAAATATAACAAATCATCAAAATGAATAATAATAAGCTGATGGTTTCTGTTAATAATAATGAATTTTTAGTGTTGATGGATAGGTAGATAAATAGTTGACTTTTGTTCCATTTAATTATTATCACATATTTAGTGTGCAATTAACAAAGAGTACTGATACTCAATCCCTCTCAAGAACGGATTTGGTTTAGGGTTTGCTTAGCTATCATTAGACCTTTTGCCTGTTTTCCCCATTTTTATAATTTGTTTTTCCCCCCTCTTCTGATTCTCCTTTATTCGTTTTATTTATGTGAGAATGGAAGGACACATTGGCTAAGGGGAAGCTATCATGATGGTCAATGCCAACAATGGCGGATTTTATAAATTCAAAATCGAAGGGAGTAGGAGGAAGAAGAAGAAGAAGAAGAAAGAAATTGGATTGTCCTTGATGATGTTCCCCTTAGACCTTAGTGTTGATTTTTATTTAATTAAAATTATTATTTGACAACTTCAAGGTCAACCAAAAATTTTTCAGGTATGATTTGATCTTGCTTCTGTTTCACGATCCTAGCTTCTTAATGTTAGTGAAAATTGTTCCATAATCCGTACTATTATTTCATGTTAACTAATGTGTATACTATTCCCATTGTCATCCGAGGGCGGTAAACGTTTTATTATAGAGCGTGTTTCCTTATCATGGTCCACGATTGAACGACCATTTGATCACATGGTTAGTTAAGGGCGATGTCAATCTTGGAAAAGTAGTTAGGGCTATTTACAATTCATAGAACTAGGAGATCGATAAGTTGAACTGAGGGGGATTGGCCATCTCAATCTAGTGCTTTTTTCTTGGCGTATCGAGTATGTCTTGTTTGTGACATTTAAGAAGACTCTTGGTGTTGTAACTCGAAAGTCATCTCACAATCAAGTTCGATACGAGAAGATTCTTGCGAGTAAAGAGAAGAAGGATGATTCTCGCATTTAAGAAAGACCATTTTCTTAGGAGGAATTTAATGGATACTCTCATTGTTAGAATAAGTTCGTTACCGTTTTAGGAGGTTTTCTCATAAGGTGACCCCCTTTCGTCTTTTAGGGGTCTATATCATCATTCCCATCAACATGTACGTATTAGCAACAGAACTGGATCTTGAAATGATGACCTTTCAAATTTGTCCCTTCAAAAAAGTTCCCTTTTTTCCATCACAAACAAAAAAGTGGTGACCTAAGCCAGCACTAACCGTTACCAATTAATCACTAAAGGTTGATAAGCTAGTCTGATTTTAAATTGGAAAATTATCTTTCATATCAAGTATATAGTAGTTTAGTTAACTAATCCTCTAAACCTAATCTGGAAAAGACGTGTACAATATTAAAAAGTGGGTTAATATGGAGTGGCACTTATTATAGCCACAAACCAAACCTTAAATTTTTTCTAATTCTCTGTAATTAGGGGGAGTGATCATGCATGATAATGAAAACCATAATTAGGGCACGCTGATAATGACTCACCTCTTTGTTGCCACCCCAATCCAAAATCCTACCATCACCTTTTGCCATGCTACTTGCTTAATTATATCATATATAAAATAACCCCTACCGATTAATGTCCATAGATTAATACAATTTAAGGACAGTGAGTGGTCTCCGACCTAATTTGTTCCACATAAGGATACATTTGTGCCCTAAATAAGGATTGTGAAACAGTAGGTTATACCGCGAAAAAGTCAGTGGTATGGTACTTTTGTGCTAAAATTGTTGTTTAATCATATATGATTCAATTGTTTTCTATCACTAATTGTCTGCCGGTTTGGAGTCGGTACCCTGGATTTTCCGGTCCAAGGGTTTCTAAAAAAGTCATTGTAGACCTATTTAGTAACTTGGCAATTGATTTTAATAACTCGAGTTGGTGAGAAATGTCCAATCGTATATGAATTTTAACCACTTCATAGCACGTCCTCCAAAATAAAAACCAACTCATTAACCTACTGGAATTTACATAGGCCCGTCGTACCATCTTACACTTTAAGATAACAGTTAGACATTGAAAATCATAAGGACTTAAATACATCACCTCACGACTAACTGATGACTGATCATTTTTCTTTGTAAAATATTTGTATGTTCCATGGAATTCAGTAATGGGTAGCTAGGAAGAAAACAGTTTAGGGTTTTGCTTACTTAAGAAACAACACGTGGAGAAATGGAAGCTCAAAGACAGCCGTTCTATATTACGTGTGCTTGATTTGCACACACTTGTCCCTTGTGGAGGAGGATACCTCCAAATCGTCGAAGGACACTTCTCATCTCTCTCCTTAATCCTCGTCTCCATCTTCGTCGTATCCTCATCGCCAATTTTTTTTCCCTTTTGATTGTTTGCGTGTTTTTTCGGTATAATCTTCGATACGATGTTACAACCCTTGTTAAAAATGATTCTAATCACAAAAGAGATCAAGACATGGCCCTCGAATTCCGACTAGCTTTTCTCTCTCCATCGTCAAAACGGGACCAAGTTCTTTGTTTTTTGTTGTTTCGTTTTTTGGTAAGCTGAAGATGAAACAAGTGTGATCAAAGGAGGACCAACATGCACCACATAAATCATACACACAAGTTTCCTAGTAATTCATGACAATTTCAGAGTTCTTGTGCGGACTCAACATAATGTAATCTTGTTTAATTTATAACAAGTATATATCCCGTATTTCGATGTCCGCACCATTCTTCGTAATGACTTAGGAAGGACAAACGAGAAAAAAAAAAACTCTCGACACAACATCATATTGAGCTGCTTTCGAATCATGATCAAATGCTAAGATGTGAAAAAGTTGAATTTACATTTACAACGACAACACATTGAAACCAATAACCATATCATAATCTAAACATCGATGGAGGCCGGCCGAGATAAGGAATGAGACTAACCCTACATAGAGAAATGGAACAAGAAGAAAAAGAAGAGATAGAAAAGGAAGAAAAGACTAGAGGAAGAAGAAAACTAACATGATAAAAAGGAGCTCCTAATTATCCCTTTCTAAAGCTGAGGACGATATTGCACAACATTACCCATCAAAATAAATCGTATTTGTCACAAACATAATGGCATTTATCCCTTTAAGAAAAAAGACCTTTCCCCCTCTCTTTTTTTCCCCGGTTTGGTCCTCTTAAATACTCGTCGCTAAAAGGGTTCCCTCCATTATCCATCAGAAGTTGGTGAAGTGAGACTGCGAAGGCTGCACCATCTGCAGATCCGTCGTCGTTTGGCACGAGTTCTCGTCTCCCATCAACGTGCTGGAAAAAACCGAAACCATGATTAGCAACTTAAATATTTAAAACGATTCTCGTCACTAAAGATAACGCTAAAACCATTAGCGACGGAACGAACTTACTCTCGAGGACGAGATGCCCACAATGAACTCAGAGCGCGCAGCCGGCCGTAGTACTCTCCGATCACCAGAAAGCACCGCGCCGCCTGCCGGACGGTCAAGATCCGCCGGAGCTGGTGGAGCGTTTGCTGCCTCAAGTTATCAGCCTGCAGTAATTAAGTCACGTTAATTAACAACTTCGTTCTCATGACATGCAGCGTGAAAAAAAAAAAGGATGCTTAATTTAATAAGCAATTAATTAAAGTAATCCAACAAGTTGCAAATAAAATAATCCACACCTAATACTAATAGTTTATCACACAAAAAATTTAATTAATTAACATTAATAATCCTACTTAATCTCAAAATGGACCCAAACAGAAGAGTGTTTGTCTTACCTTTGGACATTTGCACACTTCCAAAATCCTCCCACTAATCACATATTAATAAATTCACACGATTTATTAACCTATGTGACAGATTAGGATTAAGGAGGGTTTAATATTCAATGAGATTTTGTCTTGTGTTACTGATAAGAACCCTAACTCTAGCTAGGTTAGATAGAGTGTATTAATTTCAACAAACACCATCGATGGCTATGTATTAAGATAGCAAATCAACATCAAAATATAGGAATAAATAACAAAGAAAACATGGCCATAATTATCAATCGACATTTCTTGATGTGGCCTTCTAATGAATTAGACCCAAAGCAATCCAATATTTTCTTGAACATAAACATGGATTAGACGTTAATTAATGATAAGAGGGGTTAGACAAAATCCCAGCCACCAAAACGTGGCAAGTTCTGATTGGGGCGGTGATCAAACTCACATATCACCATCAACAAGTTGACTGTGAAACGTGATGGTGACTAAAAACAACATTAGAGAACAACAAGGTCAATTCGGGGGACAACATGAAGCTAGGTTAGTTGGATTGCTTATAGAAATTCATATAATTCATTGGATTAAAGAGTTGTTTTAAGTGTAATAATCTGTTTAGTGTTTAAATGGGACAAAGGGAGAAAGTCAATACATTGGTGTCTAGGAAATGGTCATTAAAAAGGGAGTGGACCTTTGATTGGTCGGTAAAAATGGCGGCGGATAAACAAGGTTGGCCTCACCAAGAATATAATGAGGCAAGATAATGGCTCTTGGAATTGTTTGAAGAAAACTTGCGACATCCAGCATTTACTTGGAAGCATCAAATTATTTAGGATTGAAGACAGAATTGCATCAAAGGGGCCTAATCAATCTTTTTCAATAACATCACATCACAACCTTACTTTCTAGCTATATTATCATGTGCCACTTGTTGCTTAATTAGGGTGATCATCCCACAACACTACCTCTTACTTGACTTGAAAAGTAATTAAGCACACCTTAGTGATCCTAATTACTTCTTGTTGATAACTATGAAAGGGTAGGGAAAAGCCAAACACTTGATTAGATATGTACCTGGCGAACGAAACCCTCGAGATTGGCGAGCTTCCCCAAGGCGACGGCCATCTGCTGCATCCCGTCGATGACCGGCCCTCCCGCGATGGTGTCGACGAGGGACTGTTGGAGCTGGTCCAGACCTTGGGAGAGAGCCTCCTCTGCTTGCTGTGATGAGTGCTGGAGGCTGTATATCCCCATCACCTGCTGCTCCGTCAATGGGTCTAATTGAGAAATCAACATCTGCTCCAAACAACCAACACGAATTGTCATTATACACCCGCCAATTCTACTTGGAAAAACAAAAAGAAAATGGCCTTTCATATCAATCAAAGAATCAAAGATCAATTGCATCATCATGATTAGACCAAATAAAGGAGACATACATGGATTACAATTAGACACTACTCTAAAATTTTCCACTTCAACCCATAGGGAAAACTTCCTTTTTAACCCTAGAAGGAAATTTCCATTGTCTAATCACCTCCTCCACTTCCAAATTTTGTCTTGTGTAGTGGATAAATAAAGAAGTGTCCTTTTGCAATAAGCACCAAAACAGAAACCGACAGCAAACTACGAATAGTAACTTCTTGACCACTAAGGAATATGCTTTAAAAAAAAGGATAATAACCTTAATGAGCTCTGAGGGCCTGAAGCCGCCCATCCAGAGGAAGCACCTCTCCGCCGGCGTCGCCCACACGCCGGTGATCAGATGGAAGACGTCGGACTTCGCCGTCACCCCTTTCAGCCGGAAAATCTCGTCGTAGTGCGAAATGTACCTGTCGACGGTGATCCTCAGGTCGCTGTCCGACAGGTGCGCGTGGAGCCCCGCCCGCAGCTCCGACATGTGGCGGAGGTCGTCCTCCAGCCACCGCGCGTACTCCATATCAAACATCGCCGCCGCTGTCAAAAGGATTAGAACAGAGGGTTAAAAGGAATCGAATTTAGAAGTGGGTCAGTGTTGATTCAAACATTAATTAGCTAATGATTAAGAAAGAAATAAAAATGTGGGGGATAGAGCTTTTTGGTACATCATTTTCAAAGAATATTTTGTTCTTGGTCTCATTATTAACCACTCTCAGTACAGAACAAAAAAAAATCCCATCTTTATTTAATGATAATTAGTACCAAATCTTCCAAAAATTTAACGAAGAAGATTAATTTCTAACTCAAACTGTTAAAAAGAAGAATTTTTTTGACTGGGAGTGGTTAATTTCATTACCAGAGCTAAGATTGCCACCAGCTCCACTACAACCACCGAGGAAGAGACCCTGCCATGAGGAAAAACAGAGTCAAACGCAGGGGACAAATCAGAAAGTTTTGACCTTTCACCAATGGGGAAAATGGGAAATAGAAGAAGAGAAGTTTGGGTAGTAAATGAAGAGGTAAAGATTGGAAGGAAAAAAAATAAGGGACCTGCTGGCGGGCTCTTTGAAGCTCTTGTTCCAGCTGGCTGAGCTTTATTCTGCTGGTTTCTAGCTGCTGCACATAGGCCTGTAGAACAAAAATAGAACATTAAATTCCATACAGTATTATAGTTGTGTAATCAATTCAGGTCTTACAATAGTAATTAGTAAGTAAGTACCTTTTTTCTCAGTCGGCTCTTCCTTGCTGCTTCTCTGTTTTGAGCCAAACGCCTCAGTGTCTGTTCAAAGACGACATTTCAGGAGGGAGGATAGTTTTACTAACAATTTTTACTGTTTTAGAGTGAGTAATGAGATTGAGAAGTAGTGTTTGTTTACCTTTGCATCGAGCGGCTTCTCTGATGATATGCCTTTCCTCTGCAACAAAAAAAAGGAGAAAACTTGGTTAGGAACTGAAAGGAAGGAGGAGGAGGAAAAACAGAGAGACGGCATTTTTTAAGAGGGAGGGAGCTGACAGAAGGTTTTGGAGCAATTTGGGGTTGGAGAAAGAGATGAGAAGAGTAATGGGTCTGCTGTTCCGTGAGGAGATCGTCGACGTGAAAAGGGTAAAAGAACTCATCCGCCATTTTTGGGAGAGGAGAAGAGAAACAGAGTACAGGGGAAGAACAGAGTGTTTGGAGAAACCACAGAGGAGGAGAAGAAACTAGAGAGTAGAGAGAGAGCTTCTTTCTTCTGTATGCAGTGTGAGTTTGAACTGGGAGTTATGGGGATCGAGTAAAGTTGGGTTTGATCCCTACACAGTAATTATTGTCTCCTCCCTTGAAGTACAAAAAGAAAATTGAAAACCCCCCAAAAACAGTGGCCAAGTACTGTGGAGATTCTGAGGAACACTCTCTCTCTCTCTGCTGCTCTCTGTTTCTTTCTGATTTCCTTGTCAGACAATGAACAGAAAATCCTTCAGGGAATCAGAGATAAAAGAAATAGGGGGAAAAAATAAAAACAAGAACCCTCTCTCTGTCTTTCCCCTGCACTTTTTGATCTTCTGAAGGTTTGTTGGGATCCGGGTTCTCTCCCCTTTTACGTAGCTCATGGCAGGAGGAAGAATAAGAAATGAAATAAACAGTAATAATAACGGATGAAGATGCTTCCCCTCCATACTTTCTGGGGTCTTAATCATCTTATTATCGGGAGTGATTAATGATAAAACAGGGACCTTTTCATTGGGTGGCTTGTCAGCTGACTGATTCTGTTGCTGAATGTGGTGGTGGGAAGAGGAAGAAGGGCCTGCTCCGCCATTGCTGACTGCCAATTGATCCATTTGATGGTGTTGGAAGTGGTAATGATCCGAGGAAGAAGACGCAGCTTTTCTACTGATGGGTGATTCTGGCTCAATGTTATTATTATGGTGATGGTTATGATGATGAGCTGAGGCTTCAGCTTTGCTTGAGATTGTGTTTACTCCTGACCCTGAATCCGTGCTTTCCCCTCCTGACCTTGAACTCCCCTGCCATTACAGAGAAAAGAGTTAATTACTACAAAAGACCCCAAAAAAAAAAAAAAAAAAGCAAAAACCCTTTGGGAGGTAATGATTTGGGCAGGAATGGGCAACAGAGGATCCACTGCTATATTGATGAAAGATTGAATCTTTGGTACTTTTTTTGAACTGGGGTTTGGGGAAAACATATATTAATGGAAGACAAGGAAGGTCAAAGGAGTAGGAAAGGGTGGAGGAAAGAGTACTACTCTGGGAGTATTGAGTTGTTGTTGTTGCTGTTGGTGGTGGAATCTCATTGGCCATGAAGGGAACATTTCAAGTGTTGTGGAAGCAGAAGGTCTTCCTCCTTCTTCTGTGAATAAAGCTGCTGCTGATACACCACCTCCCACTGCTGCAGCTTCTGCAACTTCTGAAACCCAAAGATATGATTCATATCAATCTCATCATCACTCTTTCATCATCATAGATAGGAATCGATACATTAAAAAAAGAAGCTAAGCAGAGGAAGGGAAGATAGGGGAAGAGAGAGCAAGCTTTCTGGGTTTCACCTAATCCCTCTCTTCCCCTGCCAACCCAAAGAAACAGCCAAAAAGAAAAACTAAGTGCAGGTTTTGGGAAAATGGAGAAAACATCCCTAGAAGGAGGTCAGGGAAGTTTCCAGTTTTAGACCTTCACACTATTCAGACCTCTCTATCTCTCTGCTTTCCTAATCATTTCACTCTGTTCCATTAGACAAATTCAAACACCTCTCTCTCTCTCTGCCCCTCTGTGATTCTATGGAATTGGTTATGCCCATCAAACGTCACTAAAGGGGGAAAAACGATACAGAGAGAAACAGAGCGAAGGAAGGTGGGGGAAGAGAGAAAGAAAAGGCCGTACGTGCTTTAGATTCATCATTCCTAATCTTGACTCCTTGCAACACGATTGCTTCCTCCAGCTCCCCAAAATCAAAGGCTGGGTCCTGGCTCCTGTGACATGTCAAAGCAGAGAATTTCAATAATATCAGCAAAATTGTAATGGTGAAGGAAGAACAGGGGAACTAATTACTTGGAGAGAAAGGGTCTGAGAAATGGAATAGGGTTTTTGTACATGAAAGCGGTGCTCGAAGGATTCATTCCATGGAGAAGAGCGTAAGGGAGATGGTGGTGGTGGTGGTGATGAGTCGAAGGACCAGAGTCTGATAAACCCGTCTCTCCCATCCTATGGCTTCCCATGCCACAACTCTCTCTCTCTCTGACTTCTTCTGCTTAAACCCCTTTTGTGCTTTGCTTCCCTTTCTTCGGTTGCACTTCTCTTACACCATTCTAATCAACTATCAGCATGAATTTGATGAATTAGAAACAAAGAAACAGAGCAAGTAAGAAACAGGGGAATTGTGAAGTGGAGAAACAGAGCACAATTTTGGAAGAAAGAAATCCCCATCTTTACCTTTGAATTAGTCGATAGTAGTAAAGGTAGTAATGATGGTGGTGGTATTAGGAACAAGTAGAGCAGAGGTAGTGGGTGGCAGCTTAGTGCAAAGAAAGAACAGGGGAGGCGGGGAAGAGAAAGAAAACCCCCAATTGAGAGAGATTTTTTATGGGCAAAACTTTGGGGACAGAAAGAGAGGAGGGGAGGCAGGGGATCAATCAAAGCTTTCTTGTCAAAAAAAGTATGTGTATATATATAAAGCTAATTTGGGTGAGGAAGAGGAGGAGGAGAAGAAGAGGGGAGAAAGAGGGACAACTAGTCTTTGTCTCAGGTATATCTCTCCCTATCCAAATTTGTTTCCCCACACCCTTTTGATCTCTCTCACTCTCTGTTTTTGTTAAGCTGCTTGCTTAACCTTGCTCCTTTCCCCTTTGCAACTCCATACTCTCTCTCTCTCTCTCTCTCTCTCAACTCTCTGTTTCTCTCTGCGATGTACTTCTATGCGAAGAAAACCAGCATGATTTGATTATGCTCTGTTTCTTTCTATCTCTCTGTTTTTGTTTCTTTTGGGGAGAGATGAGGGTGGTGGTGAGGTTGGGAGGTGGGTTTTCTTGCTTTTTATCACTTATCAACTTTAATTCTTCTTTATATTTTCTTTTGTAATCGGTTGCAATAAATACTTTTAGCAGACTTTCAAACTGATCCTTTCGACTCCTTCTCATGCATTGGGGTAATGGGAACAAGATAGGGTGCAAGCAAACCCAAACCAAGGGCAAAAGTGGTATTGAAAATATTACTTATATTAATTATATTTTGAGAATTATTATAAATACATATTAGTCATGTTACTAAGATTAAATTTAAATGCAAAACAACACTCTCTTTATTAACAAGAAAAATGACAAGAGGTATTATTTAATTTCTTAATACAAATGAAAGTATAATATTTAGTACTAACAACTACACGAATCAAGCCCTTGCTAGGATGAGTATGCTATGAAAAATACATACCATCTACATCATGTCACTTTCTCCCCGGTAATTGTTGTGATCTCTTATATAGTTCATGCTTGTTAAATCAAGCCTTTCGAAAAATTACATATGTTCAAAGACGGCACAATAGCTACAACATGCTACTTTAACTTCATCCAACTATCTAACACACTATCACTAGCTACAACATGCTACTTTAACTTCATCCTACTATCTAACACAGTATCACTGTTCTACTGCCACACAACATTGTACTCAGTCTACCACCTAACTTGAAATGAATCACAAAGTGACAATATATAGGATTGTTTGCTAAATATAAGATCGAGCTCAGGATTGCCTTGGCTGTAACTTATTACCTCTTGCTTGATTTGCATAAGTAGTTCAGTATTACTTTGCTTCACTGTTGTTATATGCTCGATTACATCTCTCCTTCCATGTCAGTGCCACATACCAACACCACTAAACACCTATCAGCTTGTGTCTTTGCTTGACTAATCTACAGAGTACCTGAACCATGTCCAACCACTTTCTAGGTCATACAACATCTAGGAATAGATCAATCAACACTGCAGTAGAGTAAGCACAACTATGAAAAAATGTGATCCCTAGTTTCAACCATGCTATGACATAACAAACACACATCATGTCACTTTCACGAGCAATGCCTCGTTAGAATTGTTCGCTAAAATAAGTTTGTCAAATATATGTGTGAACAATGATTTCATACAACTAAAATAAAAACTATTCGTTTTCCCTAATTAATAAGAGTTTAGTCGAGATACTATTGTCGATTTTGTTACTTGAAAATTATTCATTCTCAATATGAAGTTCCCCTCTCATGTACCCAAGTAAAAATGGTAAGTTCTTTACCCCCAATTTTCCCATTTATCCTAATCACCCAAACAAATGCCATGGTTAGGTCTCTTAAATACATAAAAGTAAAACTATAAGAAAAGGTTTAGTCTTTGGTTGGATTTGGGTTTGGGTTTGGGTTGGGTAGAGGTGGGGTTTGGGTTAGTGAGCAAGAACCCACTAGAATCACAGGTTGGACTGACTCCAACTCCACTCTCTCACCTCTAACCGCCTGTGTCTTCTTATTGGCCCCTTTTCATGGGCCTCCTTTTCCTCCTTCCTTAAAAAATACATTCATTTTCACTATTTTTCATTTGCAAAAGAGAGAAAAAAAAATATCTTAGATGTACATATGAAACACACTCCCCAATACATGATATGATCATGCAATGATAGTAATGAATTGACCATGCTTTGTAGTGAATAATTTGTCGATGGATTAGTGTATCAAATAGTAGTTTTATGCAATTTATTCGTTATCTATCATTTTATTTATATTTATATTTTTCAGTTAGAAAGTTATAATTTTTTTTACTTGATTGACAATTTTAAATAAAACAATAATCATGATTAAGCTGATGGAAAAGAATCCGCTTCAAATATTCTTCCACCCTCCATATATAGAATCACCAAAATCACATAAGACATTAGGATCACAACTATGTTTGGTATCTAATAGACATGATTTGAGAAATGATCTAATCATCAAATCCTAAATAATATTATGTATTCATGTAGATTCAATTGGTAATGTTTCTACAATCTTAGGCTACCAATTGAATTCATCATACTCAAATCCATTATAATTCCATTTTTCCACTCAACAAATAGGAAAACTTTTTTCTCCCTAGGTGTCAACATCTCTTCCTTTTTATTGAAAGGAAATGAGGATTATCTCTTTTTTTCATTTTTAATTTCCCCCCACCTCCCTTTCCTTGGATCTTTTTCCATTAATGCTTTCTCCTTAAAGAAGGGGGTTCGGTTTGTTTCTTGCAACCCAAAAGTCTTGGCTTGGGGATAGGACCATGGCAAGGAAATAATCAAGTGTACAATAAAAACATCCATGAAACTAGTACATAATTGAAACCCAATTCAATTTGTTTTCTTCTCCTTTTTTAAATGACATAAAAAAAAATCTAATGCATTATAGATAGGTATGAACAATTGATTCATCATAAAATACTTTTAAGCGAAAGAGGCGCACCCCAAATATCAATACTCTAAAAACAATAGATACATAAACTAACCCTAGTCTATTTACCTCACTATAAACCTGCGAAAGTTAACTAGCATAAACGATTTCGCATTATTTACAAATATTAGAAGTACAACCATAGAAAAATCCAGAAAAACCCACCTGCCATTTTGTTGATCAACATTATCATTATTAATCATAATACTAATTATTATTAAATCTCAAAACTAAAGGCACTCTTGTTAATAGATATATAGGGAGGGATGAGACATGGATTTGTTTGCTATTATCCCTCCCTTTGTTGATGGGTCAACATCCATTCCCTGTCATCACCTAAAACCATGCCACATTAAGATTCTCTTTTCCATTAATAGAACTATTTTCCTTTTATTCCTTCCTCCTTCCATGCCCTCTTGCCCTCTTCTTCATTCTTCTTCATTCATTCATTTGCTTAGCTTTAATTTCCCTCTCTCCCCATTTATGATCAAAATAAAGGATGTCTTAATCCTTGAATTAGGTAGAAGTCTGTTTTTTTTTTATAAAGAAAATTACTTCTTAAATCCCTAATGTTTTATTTTCAAATGGATAATAATGATATCAACCAATCCAACAATTAAAACTACCACTTTGGTTGGAAAGGTCTACCCTTTAAAAAAATCCACCAAACCATTTTAAAATTCAGATTGTCAATAGGGATCTAGCAGCCTGAACCTCAGAACCTAGGTTGGAAAGTTTCATAATTAGATTATTTAGATAGCCATGACTAGTATTATTGATTGATCACTTGTAAGTTATTAACTCTATGTATTAAACATTGGACTTATGACCTTATGCTAATCATAAAATAACAATAAATCCAAGAAGAAGGCCAAGTGTAATGGACCCATGATCTCTTTCATAAAAAAAAAATGGAACTCAAATAGTTGATGTTGGTGCTCATCTACTTCCGTTTTGTAGGTAATATGCTTATTCCTCTCCATGATCCCCAATGATTGGCCTAAAAACACCCAAAAATAAAATCATAAATAAATGATTGGGAAAGTTGGCCAAAATGAAAGAGCAAAAAAAAAAACATTATTTGTGGATTAGGTAAAAAAAATGTATTTAAAGACAAACATACTTTTGCCCCCATTGAACCTTACAGACATGTTCTTCATATGCCAAGATTTCAGAGAGAGAAACATGGATAGATTCCATTAGATCCTTCTCTTCATTGAAGGCTTCCTCTTTCTTTTATAAGCTTTTTCTATCTTTCCCTTTTACTTCTCTTCTATTTTTCATGTGTTGTTGGAAGGTGACTGGTTCTGAACCAAACCCAATGTACTTAATGACTACCCCTTTGTTAATTTGGTAAACTAACCTCAACCCAGTTGGTTATAATCTAGTTTAAGACAAACCCAGGTTCCAGATTTTTTATTCAAAGTCTGTATCGTTGGCGTGTTCTTGTCGGCCGGTTTTGTGATTAGTGAGTTAATTGTGTAATCAAGAAGAAGAAAAAAAAACTAAAACCAAACCCAAGTTGAGATTCTGCAGAGAAAGGGAGGCACATAGGTAACCTGAGATGGATGAAAGGAAAGGTCAAACGTCAAAGTCTTCTCTAGCAGTAGCCCTTTTGTTTATGTTTTGACCCAGAAGAAAGAAGTACACTTGGTTTGTGGGTTCTGTTGCTTTCTGGGTGGGGATGGTGGTGGTCCATTTTGTAGGACACTTCTTCTTGTATGTGTTGTGTGCCCCAAAGGCAACAACCCATCAAGGCAAACAAGAATATATTATTTTGGCCTCTTACTTCTTCCATCTGAATTATGTGGATGATGGTCCCTTACAGCTGCACGAAATTGGACATCATTAACCAACCAGCCTTCATATTAATCCTCTAAAGCAACTTTAGGTCACTGTTTAGGGCAATAATCCTAGAGAATAATAGACTTCTATATAGCTTCCAAAAAAACAGCTATATCATCCATCATTATATGTTGTGAGACATTTCCCAAATTCCTTTTGCCTTCCATCCAAATCCAAAGCCTACTCCCCTTTGGTCCCATTATCGAAACAGTATAGCTATTGCGTTGGCTTCGTTGGGTTACTGTCTCTCTCTTGTTCTTGTTCAGCGTTACGGTGACGATCCCATAATTAGAAATATGTAAGAGGGTAATTCAACAATGCCAGCACGTGCTAAACATCCTGCTGCTTAAACATAGTAGCGAGATTGTTATGTGACAGTTGTTCAAATTTGTTATTTTTCTCTTACAAACATTTGTTGGTGGAGAGGCAGGCAGCCCAAAAGCACACACATAAGGTACTTGAGAGATTGGCAATTTTTTTTTTAATTTAGGGTTTTGAACACAAGAATGGTTCATGCACAGAGGGAGTTGGGGTTTTCAGGCAGCAGAAAAGTTGACTTTATTCCCTTCTTTGTGATTGAATTTGTGGGTCAAAAGCAAAAAATAAAATTAAATCTGCAGGCCTCTGCAGAAATACCGACTCCTGTGTGGGAAATCCTGCCTTCTGCACCTCTTTGATTTATATTTGTTTTCCTCCTTTTCTTTAACTATACAATCTCATGAGTTCTATTCTAGGAAAATTCATCAGTCAACTTTTCTTCTTACCACGGTAAAAGACAATTACCAGGGTAAGAAAAAGTAATAAAAGCCATGAAGATACGCATCTTTCATCAGAGTAGAAATTCTGCAGAAGAAGCCTTCTACCAATCAGAGTAGTACATCTGTTGAAAAGAAAATTCTGGTCCACAGTAATGCTAGAATGGCTATATTGATCTCCATGGAAGTTTTGGTCCTATCTGTAGTCAATAATCAACGAGCTTAAGGTCTCACATGTTACATGGACTAGTTAAAATCCCTAGTATAGTATGTAGACAGATCTGTTAAACAAGCCATAGTGTCATTAAAGCCCTCTTGAATATTGTAATGGATCGCCAGACTTGAAGTTCTCTTTGTTTCAATCTAATCGCAGCTGAAAAAATTGCAGCTGGTTCTCATGCTAAAGATAGAATAGCTATATTTAAACTGAAGTTTGGACTCCAGAGTCTTAAATGGAGTCGCGCTTCAGGATAATACATCCAACATTGGTCACATTTGCTGACAAGATGACAAAACAGCAAACAAAGGCAACAAGTTGTTGAAAGAGAGATATGTATCATCTCATTCTTAAATGTAGAATGGAAATATTATAGATTTCCTTCTGCAATTGGGATGCCAAAATGCTATATATGGAGAGAAGGAACACCTGTAATACACAACACAAGTTGGCTAAGTTGAAGAAAGGATGATAAGGTGGCCCTGTAGAGCAACACCAGTAAGTTGGCCCCAAAAACAGCTTAAAGGGGAAAAGGCTTTGGTCTATCTCTGATCTCTCGATGGTGTGGAAAGGGAGAAGCATTATCAAAGGATCAACCATTTAAAACATTCCACTAACATAGTTCAGAAACCAATCGAGAATATTCATCTGCACTCAGCATTGTGTAGTAACTAACAGAAAACATGGGCTGCCAGCGATAACAGAAGAAACTACAGCAAATGTTATCAATGGGTTGCTGGGGATCTAAAAGATATAAAGTTTTACCTGTACACAATCGCTTATGGGACTCATTCCGTTGCAAAACAAAACTTGAATATCCCATTAAACATCAATAACGGACACTGCGACTAATCAAACTTAAACTGCACATCAACAGCAGTATACTTCCTCGTGAGTTTGAAGAGGTATGAGAAGAAATCAGACAATATCTGGCACTCCTCGTGGCTTTTGGCCTCTGAAATGATTCCATGGAGAATCAACTTCTTCAGATTTGGGCACCGTTTTAGTAACCCTTCGACCCAATGTGAAAAGAGATCGTTGATCACAGTCCAACCAAGCTCCAACACGACCACATTCTCCAGATTCGAATTTCCGTGGTGCAAACCATAATGAAGCACGGCATCTTTCAAGTCATAGCTCAGTGATAAATGGCTAAGCTGTGGAAAGCAATCGGCAATAGTTTCTAAATCCACCACGTCTTCCTCGTCGTCAAAGACTACATCCCAAAGCCTAAGTCTCCTCAATTTTGAGGATTTCGAGATCATATGGTAGAACCTGGGCCAAACAATTGTGAAGTTACTAATATCAACGATCTCAAGGTTATCAACTGTCTCGCCGATATCCAGATGTATGAGACTAACATCATCAAGCTTGAAATGCTTCAAGGTCCCCTTCCCCACCAACTCAAATAACTCAAGGGCACAATCCTTCAAATGCAAACACTCGATGCTGTCTGCCTCCAATATAAACTTGTCCAAGCTAATTGCTTCAATGTAGACACTCTTCAAAGTAGAACTACACAACTCAATAGTAGCCTGAGCATCAGACATTGCAATCTCGGGATTCACAAGTTCCAGTACCTCGACCTTTGGGCAAGCTGTGAGCAAAAGGTTAAGGTCCAGAGCCGAGATGCTGACATAACTCAAAGCAAGGGATTTCAGACAAGGGAACCTCTGGAAATTCGGCTCGACACCTGTGATCGAGTTATGTGACAAAAACAATGTCTCCAGCTTCTGCCTACCACAAAGTTCAAGAATATTAACTCCTGGGGTAGTATGAACATTATAGTGCAATCGGCGCAAGGTCTCCCTCGTATACATCAGCCAAGCGATCACAGCTGAAGCCGAGAACTCCTCAACGTCTTCCATCAAAATAGACAGACCTTGTAACCCAGTAGTCTGGAATATAGTCTGAGTTATCAGTATCTCCAGACAACTAGTTGATAAATCATGGTATACAGGCCAGTCATTGGAGTTAAAGGAGAGTGTATGAAGATGTCTCCGGCAAGCTTCTCGCCACTTCCGACATGTTGCAGACGCTATTACCACATCCCTAGCACCTCCTAGTCGAGACAAGATATTCCCAATCACTTCAACTGGAAGCTCCTCCATCATCTGAAAGCAAAACAATCAATTACAATGAAAACCATCAAAATCAACAAACAATCACAGACAACTGTTAGGGCTTCACATACAAATGAGATTTTTTCATCCCAAGCATAAAAGCTGCCAACTTTGATAGTTTTCTACACATTAGCTACTACGGCAGTTGCAGAAAGAACAAGGGCAACGAATTACGGTTGAGTTGCAACCGGTATTGTTGACGGCATTTTCGAAGCCGGGCAGTTCTCCCATCAGTCTATCGGCCATCTCGCAGAAGTTGTGTTGCGATCCCTTCAACCCTAACTCGAGCTTCTGAATGCGATCTTCGTCAGTAACCATGGCTCTTTTAATACCATTAACCAACTACTTTTTGTTCTCTTAAATTCTTCACTACCAAATGAATCCAGTTCAACTTAAATACAGAGCTTTCCAGAGCCCTATTCCTAAGGCCACAATGGCCGGCGAATCAGGATCTCCAGTTAGGACTGCGGTTATGTTTCTACGACCATTTCCGAGAGAGCAGCGAAATAAAAGAAAAAGAAGAAAAGAGGAAAAAATGGTCACCATTCAAAAAACCCAATTCAAAACTCAATCACAGTGCACCATTTGAGAAACAAATAAACCCAAAAAGGGTCGCAGAAAACAGTGGGAAGGGTAATCAAAGATCTTACCAGTTACCACATGGAAGCAAAGCAGGAATGAATCAGGGGAGACGAAGAGAATGGCAATAAATCAAAAGGGGGCGGGGGAACTGATCTGCAGAGGAGTGACAGATTCGGGAAGAAGAATCAATCGTCCATTGACAGACGGAGAAAGAAAGATCGAAGACAGCCAGGCAGGAGAGGGAAACTGGGAAAGGGGGATATGCGATTGGACGATTTGTTTCATTTTGGGGATAGTTGGGTTTTGGGTTAATTCCTTTTCGAGTCCTTCTACTATGATGTTTTAACAATTAAGTTCACTTATTGTAAATTTTAACGAACACATCCCTTACATGTTACATGCCCAAAAAAAAATTCATGGTACACAAGGAATTTCTATTTTATTTCTCAATCCGGCATCTTGCTTTGTACTCGCAACGTTATAATACATCTGTAATTCGATGTTCTATCTACCATAAATCGTCAAGAGAAAGTTCAGTTCTCTGCTGCTTGACTTGTGTGAATTGATCTTACAATGCATTATTTGGAGCATCAGGTAGTTCTTCCAATCTTCGACAAATCTTTTCCTGTAGAAGGTGATAAACGGGAGTTGGTTGGTTTTGCTTCCCTATACCATTCTCGTTAAAGTCCAACTCTTTCAACATTTGCAAGCTACTCCGCCACAACACCTTCTCCGTCACTTCATCACTTCCACAAAATCGTACATCCTCTGTTGGTTTGACGCGACTAATCTAAAGGGAGACATCAATAGTTACAAACTACAAACTCAATACCCAACTTTTCAGATAAGGTCTAAAAGGGAGTAACACTGGACTCTTGAGGGATTATATAATGTATTAAGTATGTGTTATATAAATGTATTAGATATATGGCTACTATCCTAATTGGTTAGTAGTGGCTGGCCAAATCAAACAAACTAAAAGGTTTAATCATACAAAAACAATTATTCAAATTAACCAAATAAAGTTATCTGAATAGAACCGGTTAAATTGTTTATTATGGTAATCACTCTATTAAAGCACCTCTACCAGGTACACTTTCAAGAAGTTAATTACTGCCAGACATGACAACCAAATGACTTCCACCTTAGAGGATTTCTAGTATGATAAAATTTAATTTAGTATATTAGTAGGACTGGAGACTTGATGTAATTTTACGACAAGTATTTATTATATCAAGATGTTTCAAGTTATGTTGTCTTTTTATATTTACTGTTTTCTTTAGTACAACATTTCTACTATTATTCATTTTATTTAATGTTCATGAATATATGAGTGAATTTTTTAAAAGTAGTGTTTGATTGGGCTAAATTTCACTTTTAGTTTTGAATTCTCATGAGTAATCATTATCCAAAATCATATGTGCATTTTGGGTTGAATCTTAACCCAAAGATATGGGTGCTACATTATTCATTGGAAAAAGAAGTCCATTTTATTCCTTGCCTCTTATTAAAAGCAACAATATTAAAGGGCATTAATCAGCCAAGAATATAATCGTCGAGAGAAAGCCCAGTCCCGTGCAGCTTGGTTTGAGTGAGTCGATCAATACGCTGAGCCATCTCGGCCATCATGTAGTTCTTCCAATCTCCGACAGCTCCCTTCCTGAAAAAAATGGTATTCGGTCGTTGTTTTTGCTTCTCGATACCATTCTTGTTAATGTCCAGCTCTTTCAACCTTTCCAAACTGCTACGCCACAGCACCTTATCCACCACCTCATCACCATCGCCACCGGGGCAAAACGGTTTCCCCAGAAAGGAAGCCAGTTCCCTCACCTGCTTTTTGGGATCTCTAACCAAATCCTCGTACTTGAGAAACAACACCTCCTCGGGTCGTCGCTTGCTCTCTTCCCAGTATCCCACCAGGTGTTCGTAGAAAGGCCCCCAGGGCACAACCCCGCTGCAGAAGCTCTCCACCGCTCTCTCCAGCGGGAACTCGGCTCTGTGAAACTTGTTGTAGAAATGCCACATCGACACCACCGTGTCCTCGGGGTTCCGCGCCACGTACACGAGCTTGCACCGGGACCTCGCCACCGACTCCGGCAAGTTAGTGTAGGGCAAATGGGTGTGGAACAACCGGCCCGGTCTAGGGTCGAGCAACATTTCTTGCACCCATTCCATGTGGAACGTGTTCTCTAGGGCTCGGCACCAAGTCGTGTGGGTTCTTCTTCGCCAGAGCGTCGTTTTCGAGGTGAATGATGTTGTGGCAGAGAGCCTTGAGCCATGTTGTCCCGGTTTTGACGAAGGATGTCAAGACGACGTCGTCTCTCCTGGGCTGGAACCGTGACCTGAAGGCGTCGGTCGTATCTTTGAGCTCGGTTAAGTACCAGAACCCTTGTATCTGGTGAAGCTCGACAGCGTCCCAAAACAACTCCTCTGCTGGAAGTTTGTTCATCTCAGCTAAAGCTAGAGGAAGACATGTTTGCGCTTTTGGTGGTTCACTTCCACGTTATGCTTAATATAGAGAGAACCATATTGTACAAAATATCTTGACCCTAATTAACTGGGATTGGTGCACTTGCACATGCTATGAATTTGTGGTCTGTTTTTTTTTTTTTTTTTTTCGTTCCAATTTTATTTTATTGCAAAATGTTAATGATGAACTAAATTATTAGGTGGGTTAAATGGTGTGGGTCGGATATCGATCTTGCCGACAACACAGTGATCGGATTGCTTTGATTTCATTTTTTGTATGCATTTAGTTAATTGTTTTACTAATTTATAGAGTTTAATCTTCACATGTGGCAATTAGATGGCGTAGTTTCTTTTTTTATGCAGGCTGTCAAATGTTGTATTTGCTCTGGTAATGGGTGGTGCGGGACCACCTATTTTTACATGTTATTTGGGGAAAAAGTAAAATTTTAGCTTTAAAAATAAAACGAAGAGAAAACATTTTTTAATGGAAAATAGTGACAATAGAATAGGTAATCGAGAGTAACTAGTTGAAATATCAAGTCTAACTAGTTGAAAAAAAAGTCAACATAAATAAATATTGTAAGAAATTGAGATAGAATGGGTCAAGAAAATGAGACAGAGCGGGCGGAAGTAGATACCTATGTCCCGCCCTGCGGGTCAGGTAATACTCGCCACCCGCCACATCGCTGGTCAGAGCGGGTAAGACCTAGCGGGGTGGGTTCAAATTATCGCCCTAGAGGTGGCAAATGGATTGAATTGGTGGGCCCATGGATAAGGTGGATTGATCCATGAATCCAAATGATATCCAAGTTTTGGACCAAAATGTAAATTTTGAAAAATTTTAGGTACTAAAATGTCATTATAATTTTTTTGGTACCATAACATAATTTTCTAATGACTTTTTGTGGTGCAGGAAATCCAGGTATTATGATCATCGTTTCGGCATGCAATATTTCACTTCATACCTAGTATGTATAGTAGGAATACACATTCCGTGTGTTATAAACGCAGATCCAGCAGGATTAGGGCAGCATCCTCGTCATCAACTTGAACATCTATATTACGCAGATCCAGCAAAATAGAGTTAAGTTGTTCGAGATGTTCCCTCAAAGGCGTACCTTCTTGCATCCTCAAGCTGAACAACCGTTGCTTGAGGTGCAGCTTGTTGGTTAGAGACTTAGTCATGTACAGACTCTCTAGTTTCAACCACAAGCCCGCGGCAGTCTTCTCAGCAGCGACTTCAATGATGACGTCATCAGACAACGATAGCATGATGGTCGAGTGGGCCTTCTCCTCCAGGGTATTCCACTCATCGTCATCGACCGCTGCCTTCTTCTGTTTCGCAGACAGCGGCCCCCACAGCCCTTGCTGTTTTAATAAAGCCTGCATCTTGATCTGCCATATAGCGAAGCTGTTCTTCCCCGTGAACTTTTCGATCTTCATGTTCACCGACGTCATTCTTCTGAATCGAAAACCCTAGCCTGATTTCCAGCCGCGGCTCTGATACCACTTGTTATAAACGCGCTGCTACGGATCGGGAAATCGCCGGAATCGACAAAGCAAGAATACGAGAGCGAGAATCGAAAGAACACAGACACACGATTTACGTGGTTCACTAACACGATGTGTGTTAGCTAGTCCACGGGCGAGAGAGAGCCAGTTTCACTATATCTGAGGAGATTACAGATTACAGAGGAGTATGAGAAGTATTTATAGTACTTCTCCATGTAGGTCTAAACCTAATCCAATCTAGCAAAGGAAACGGTTACAGACCAGGCCCAGAACCCGAACCCAAATAACATTGAGCCCATACACCGTGGGCCGGGGGCGTTGCCCCCGCACCCCCACCGGGGCGTTGCCCCTGGACCCCACTCGCTGACCGGGCAGCGAGACCCCCGGTTACCAGTCGTAGCGGCTGATAATCCGATTCAAGTCATATCAACACCGTGGCAAAAAAAACCATTGTACCGTTCGATCATACGCTTTCCCCTTAATCCCTTTTTGTTACCTAACTTGCAAAGTTGTATATTCTCGTATCTATAACGTTTTCCATGAGAATACATATGGCAAAAAACTATCTTCATATATTTCAAGGCTTAATTTCTAGGATCCTGATTTTTTCTCTAACCCTAATTACCTGCATAGGATTGCCCATATATCCCCTTTGGCCTGTGCATAAATGATTTGATTCGATTGTATTTCTGTTTAATGTTTGATCAAAACTAAGCTCCTGAGAAGTGGGCAAATGACTATCACGATTAACTTTTCCAGGGCAGGACCATGTTATTTAGGACATATGCTAATTGACTAATTGTTTTACCTCTGAACACGATTGGGTTATTCTAGCTGCAAATTATAATGTTATTTAGGACATATGCTAATTGACTAATTGTTTTACCTCTGAACCCTTGTATCTGGTGAAGCTCGACAGCGTCCCAAAACAACTCCTCTGCTGGAAGTTTGTTCATCTCAGCTAAAGCTAGAGGAAGACATGTTTGCGCTTTTGGTGGTTCTCTTCCACGTTATGCTTAATATAGAGAGAACCATATTGTACAAAATATCTTGACCCTAATTAACTGGGTTTGGTGCACTTGCACAGCCCATGAATTTGTGGTCTGTTTTTTTTTTTTCTTTTCGTTCCAATTTTCTTTTATTGCAAAATGTTAATGATGAACTAAATTATTAGGTGGTTTAAATGGTGCGTGTCGGGTGTCGATCTTGCCGACAACACAGTGATCGGATTGCTTTGATTTTATTTTCATTTTTTGTATGCATTTAGTTAATTGTTTTACTAATTTCTAGAGTTTAAGCACCAAATTTTTTTTTCTAGAGTTTAATCTTCACATGTGGCAAATGTTGTATTGGCTAGACTTAGTGACGGTAATGGGTGGGACGGGGCGGGACGAACCATTTTTATATGTTATTTGGGAAAAAGGTAAAATATTATCTTTAAAAATAAAACGAAAAGAGAACACTTTTGAATAAAAAATAGTGACAATAGAATAGGTAATCGAGAGTAACTAGTTGAAATATCAAGTCTAACTAGTTGAAAAAAAGTCAACATAAATAAATATTGTAAGAAATTGAGATAGAATGGGTCAAGAAAATGAGACAGAGCGGGCGGAAGTAGATACCTATGTCCCGCCCTGCGGGTCAGGTAATACTCGCCACCCGCCACATCGCTGGTCAGAGCGGGTAAGACCTAGCGGGGTGGGTTCAAATTATCGCCCTAGAGGTGGCAAATGGATTGAATTGGTGGACCCATGGATCAGGTGGATTGGTGGATTGATCCATGAATCCAAATGACATCCAAGTCTTCCAAAATGTAAATTTTGAAAAATTTTAGGTACTAAAATGTCATTATAATTTTTTTTGGGTACTATAACATAATTTTCTAATGACTTTTTGTCGTGCAGGAAATCCAGGTATTATGATCATCGTTTCGGCATGCAATATTTCACTTCATACCTAGTATGTATAGCAGGATTACACATTTCTTGGCAAAAAAAAACCATTGTACCGTTCGATCATATATTTCAAGGCTTAATTTTTTCATGAGTTACATAAAAAAAAACCATTTCACTTCATACAAAGTTGTATATTCTCGTACCTATACGGTTTTCCATGAGAATACATATGGCAAAAAACTATCTTCATATATTTCAAGGCTTAATTTTTACGATCCTGATTTTTTCTCTAACCCAAATTACCTGCATAGGATTGCCCATATATCCCCTTTGGCCTGTGCATAAATGATTTGATTCGATTGTATTTCTGTTTAATGTTTGAACGAAACTAAGCTGCTGAGAAGTGGGCAAATGACTATCACGGTCAACTTTTCCAGGGCAGGACCATGTTATTTAGGAGATGCTAATTGACTAATTGTTTTACCTCTGAAGACGATTGGGTTATTCTAGCTGCAAATTATAATGGTTAGAAAACAGGGAATTATAGAAGATAACTAGATTCATCTCACTGGTATTCAAACAGAAAAAGGGATTAAAATAAAATGTAAAAATCATTCAACGATAGATCCAAAACTAACAGCACATATAACCAAAATTCACAGGAACAGATCCCCTGAACATTTCAATTCTGTCCATACTAATATCCTTCAAGACAAAAACCCAAGCTTCAGTACAACTAAATCTATTCGTCATCCTCGTCCTCATCTGCAGCGGAGTTCAAAGCCTTGAGCCTGTCGATCAACTTGTTCCTACGTTCATCATAAGTCAGCCTCTTCGGGTTGTGCCTGCAGAAGGAAAGCAGTAGGCATAGCAAAACCTCATCAGCATTGAAACGATAAAATTTGGATTGCTATAATGGTGCGTTGAGGATGACAAGATGAGGGGAAATGGAAGCTGACCTCTTCTGCTCTTTGGGAGCTGGCTTTCCAGTCTTCTTGGCTGTTGGGTCGGCGCGTATAGCAGCATGAACCTTCTTGTACAGTTCGTCTACCTCATCCGGTCCGATGCCTCTCTTCAAGTACTCACTGAAGTGAGAATGATACTTCTCTGGCTCGTCCTCTTGCAATATCTGGTTGATTGGTGTGAAGTAAAATATCAATTAGCAGATACACAAAGTTGACTGTAACTTACAGAAAAACTAGCACATCCAAGTCACTGTAAAGTCATCATACCCTCATGTAGTTAGCAACATGGCCAGCATAGAGGTACTTGCGGTGAACCTCAGCATCAAGCTGCTTGCTGTCTTTGCTGAAACCAGCAAACCTCTTCTCACTGTGAGGAATGTCAAGACCACCATCCAAAGCACCCTGAGATTGCAAACCACAGTGGAAAATAAGAGGTCGACATAAAAAAAAAAAGATAATATAATAATTATAGGTTACGGAAACAAGACAAATTTCAATACCTTGAGGGCACCAAAGACACGGTTTCCAGTGGTTGTCCTAACAAGACCAACATCAAGAAGAGCACGGAAAGGTCTCCTATCTGTAGGTTCAACTGAGTAATCCTCTCCGGTAGCCTGCCCACAAGACAAATCGCAAATATTGATCAATCACAATAAGCAGCGGAACCAGGACACAACAAATTCACCAAAATAATAACCTACCTCAACATTTCCCTCATACTCCTGATCCATCTCAAGCATTTTCAGAACCCTACGAGCAAGGAGAAGCCCAGTGCAGTACGCTGCACACGTACATATACATTCCATCAACAATCATGACATTTCAACAATAAGGAGTAAGACCCACAAAATTAGAGGACCTCAAAGAACTTACCAGCAGCGTAATTGGTGAGCCCAACCTCCAGCCCATACCGGGGAAGCTCATGGGAATAAGCAGCTGCCATGACATTATCACCAGCAATGGTAGAGCTGATAATCTGAGCTACAACATCCTTGTTGGTCTACCAAATCGGTCAAGGATTCACAATGCAGTCTCTATCTATCTAAATCACAGTTCAACAGCAATTTCTACATCTAAAGGAGCAAACTTGACATAAAAAAACCACCTTCTGAGCTCAAATCAAACACGTAAGCCCACGGACAAGCAGCACATCTAACCCAAGGAAGAAAGCAATGGAATTGAAAGAACCGTCAATATACTCATCCGAATTATTCAAAAAGTAGTCTCAGGATACAAATCGAACGACGAATCGGTACTTGGGTGTGTTGTACTTGTTCTTATCCTGATTAATCAGGCGAATCCTGGCCCGGTAATCAGTCTTGCCATCTACAAAGCATCAAATGAGAACTAGCTTAAAACCACCGCTCACAAAACCAGGAAGAAAATAAAAATACAGATGAAAAATGCTACACCGTAATCAATTTCAGGGAAAAAAAAGAAGAAGCTTACCTCGCCTTCTCTTGTACTTGACCTGGAAACGCTTGAAATAAGCTCTGGTCTTCTGGGCTTTCGCAAACGCCTGGAGAAAGACAAACCAGTTCCGTCAACGATCAGCAGTTAACGAAATACGTAGAAACAGAACCGAAGAAGAACCGGGGAAGCCGCCATGCTCCCGCCGGATAGAGGCATTAGGTTTTAGGCTTACCATCGTGAAGATACGGCTTCTGCTGCAAAAGGCGGAGGAAGAACGGAAGAAAAAGACGCTTAAATATAGCAAAACCCTAAACCTACTAGGCCCGCCCACGATATTCATGGGCCTGGGCTGTACTTCTCAAGCTGGGCTCCAACTACGCTTTACAAGATGGGAGCGAGTTTGCCTAGAGAGGCCCAGATATTTAACTTATGGCCCAATGTTGAGCCCGCTAGGGTGTGATGAGGAATCACTAATCAGAGTTCTAAGGCCTATAAAACAGAGAGATCTCCGCCGAGAAACCGAAACAGGGCGACTCCACCAGGTTTGAAGAAAAACAGAGGAAAAGCCGGCTGTTCAAACATGGCGCCCGGCTCTGTTTTCAATGGAGATGGGAAAGAAGAGGAAGAAGAAGATAGCGGCTGCGTGGATCGAATCAGTGACCTACCTGAAGGAATCCTTATGAGCATTCTGTCCCTCTTGACACTCAAGGATGCGATCAGGACTTCGTTGCTTTCACATCGATGGGTAGGTTTGTGGATGTCAGCGCTAACGGTGCTGGACTTTGATTCCCACCAAGCTTCACATCTTCCTGATGAAAACCATCCACGTCCAAAGCTGTCGAAAAGGCCCGCGTTCAAGCAGTGGGTTGATGGGGTTATGAGGCAGCTCAAGGCTGCCTCCTCCTCGCCCTCAAAACTGACCAAGTTTAGGGTTTCATTCCAATCCAGCAGATACCGGTACGATCCCGATTGGGATTTCGATGAATGGCTGCAATTCGCAATATCGAAAAGGGTCGAGTCACTCGATCTGTCCTCTGGTTACATCAAAACCCAATCTGGGTTGTGTGATTTCAAGTCCCTCAGATCCTTACGCTTGAATTCTGTCAGGGTCGAGGACAGGACAATTGAACAATTCATCTCGAATTGCCCCTGTCTCGAGGAACTAGCCGTGTACAATTCAGAGTCACTAAGGAAGCTGAGAATTGCTGCTGCTGCTGCGGGCTCATCATCATCGTCGTCGTCACTTGCGTTGAAGCGATTAGAGTTCTTGAAATGCGGGTCTCTAGAATCACTGGAGGCTGATAATGTCCCCTGCCTCACCCACTTTACATTTCAAGGCTGTAAAAAGAAGCACCTGCGTCTAGAGAACTGTTTCAGTCTCGTGGATGTGAACATAGGCTTCGAATGTGATGGTTTATTGTGGTATTCAGCATTCGACGACATCTCCTGCTACGCTGGTCAGTTGGTTTCTCTTACCGTGAACATCAGTCCGAGCCCGGTTTGGGAAGCGGCGGAGTTCACTCGCCTCAAGCTGATGACAATCGAAGATTTCGACCACTGTGACAGTTTGCCTACTTGGATCAATGGCTGTCCTCAATTGCACACGCTGCGACTGAAGATGGAAAATCGCCGGCCTTGGTATTGTTTTAAAGAAAGAATAGAACCGCCGCTCGTCACTGGAGGTAGCCGTGAGAGCCTCAAAGTGGTGGAGATTTTTGGGTTTAACGGCTACCGGAGTAGCCGCGAGCTCATGGAGTATTTGCTCGGCTGCTTTGTTGGGGTGGAAAGAATAGTTGTTCGCATAAACTCGAGCTATGTCGGTTGGCACCAGAAAATTTTTCCTTACAAGGATGAAGAAGTTGAGGAAACCAGAAAGCTTGCGTTGGAGTTCCAATCGAAAGCACTCCCTGCAATCGACTATGTTATAATGGATGACTAGTTTTGTTCCCGACTGATGATCGAATAAGTTTTTGTTATTATTAGTTATTTGACATCATAATTTAAACTATTTTATCAAGTTAGAATCGGACTATGGGGTACTAGACGGAAGCGAATTCGGCCGTGGAGGCACAATTTTTGTTACTCGCGCGTAATTAAACTCTTTCGCATATATGTTTTCTAGTTCCGTTATGAGATGGCGTGTAGTTGTTTGTTGTGCATTGTGCGGTCAGTTTTTGAGAGTATCGATCAAATTTGATAGCTTTGGAAGTTATGGTTGACTTGTGTTTTATTTGTTTCAAGTTGTATTGGTGTGAATCACAAGATTGTACGTAGTATCTTTGTTGGCCACCTGATCTCTTAACTAGTTAACCACAAGAATAGAGCTCACTTCCTCGTCATTTCTTTATCACTCAGGTGATCATCACTCGGTACGAAAAAGAGTTAGACAACAATATTAGGTGTGAATATTCTAAAGATATACGTGATTTTGGTATTATAACGATATTAAGACAAAACCTACCCATGCAATGGTTTTGGAACAAATGTTGCTATGTCGAACAAGACCAAACTTGGCAATTACACAGATTAGAGCTCACTATAATACCAAACGTATTGATATTCCATACGCAAAATCTCATCATAATTTAACATATTGAGCTCTCCAAATCATCCCGTGCTTTGTTAACCGACGTGGTAAGTTTTTTGTAGCACCAACCAAATTAATCACATGCGCAAAATGGGGTTGTTAGAATTTTCAACACGTGAATCTCACTACGTAATAACCTTTTGGTATTTAATGCAGGTGGTTATACACGGAGTAACCCACGATATTCTAAAAAAAAACACATTTATCATTACTTTACTCACTCAATTGTATGTCCTCTTACTTATCTGAAAATAAAACCCCAACAACATTACTGTAATAACATTATTACATGTATCATTTTGATTGATATCCTAATACAAAACATAGTGGCGTAGATTGTTTTTAGACCAAACGGTGTTTTGGAAGAGTTCCACAGCGGGGGAAAAGTACAATAATAATACAACAAAACAAAACAATGGCAGCCAACAGAAAAAGGTTGAAGAAGAAAAGAGAGAGCCTGAAAACGTAGGACGCGCCTTTACCATACAAAGCGCCCGGCCCTAAAACACACATACTCCAAAACGTCGTGACGTGTCACCTCCTTCTCCCATTCGTTTCTTCCTTTCCCGTTCTTTTTCTCCACGTTTCCACTTTTACCCCTCCCTTCCTTTCCCTTTATTTATCTCCTCCCAATCGGCGCCTCTCGATTCCATCACACACAGTATCTTCGGGGAAAGAAAAAAACCTCTGAGTTGCCGACGTTGTAGCCGGAGAGAAATGGAAGAGACACGTTGCGGTCAGCCAGAAACCAAGTCCGCCGCCTCCCGCCGGGTCATCGTACAGAGACCGAACGCCGGTACTGAAGCGGAGATCGGTGCGGCTTCGAGTTCCACGGCGTACCGGATTTATCGCGGTGGGCGGGATCTGCTGTGTGCGGAGCAGCGGAAGAATAGTGAGGGCGCGGTGGCGGAGGGGAGGGAGAGGCTGAAGAGGCACCGGGAGGAAGTCGCCGGGAAGGTGGCGGTGCCGGAGGACTGGGGGCAGGAGAAGCTTTTGAAGGAGTGGATGGACTACGCGCCGTTCGACAAGCTGTTGGCTCCCGCGGGGCTGGCGTCGGCCAGGGCGGCGCTGGCTGCCGAGGGACGGCGAGCCGCCGGCGGCGGGGGGCAGAGGATGCGGATCGAGAGTAGGTGCTATTGATGAGATGGAATAATAGATAATCGGCGCGTGGTTGATTTTTTTTTTTAATTTTCTCGGTTGTTTTTTTTTTTACTGTTTTATAATTTTATTTTAGGTAATATTTATTTTTAATTACCTCTTCGTTCGCAGTTTATATGGAATTCCTACTGTAAAAACAACAAGTAGTTGTATCCGCGGTACAAATTAATTACATTGAGCTTTCAATCTTCTTACTTTTTGGTTATGGTTTCTTGGAGGCAATGGTTATTGCCCATTGCACCTTATAAATGCCTAATACAAAAAGTTTTGAATTTTACAGACACAGTGCAGGTCATTCGTTTGCTTTATTTAATTTTGTGACAGAAAAGACATTTTAGTATTTTTCTCTAACGCTAATGTACTTGTCGAAAAAGAACAACTTAAAGTCTTAATCCAGTACAGTTTTCACAAATGGGAGAAGCCGAGCAATTTAATCCACGTATTCGTTTCAAAACTCAAAAACTATAGATAGATAAATAAAAGGACCTCACTTCATGTTGTCTACATTTGACAAAGGTATTAAACATTGTATATGAATGAATGCACAATGATCAGCCTTCAGCCACAAACGGGGGCCGGCCATCAACGAGGTCGAAACTTTAACCCCGACACGAAAGTCCACCGACCTTACTTGCGGTAACAAAATTTTACTATCATCCAATAGTGTACTACATTAAGAGTACCGACACATTTTATCTCCTCAAAGCCGAACCCATACCTCAATCCAGATTAGAGAATGGATAACAAAGGTAAAATGTGAGATGGTAAAATTCCCAATATATGTAATTAATCATCACGAGATATCCCTGATCTGCCCTATAACATGATTGTACGACGAGATCTTTCATGGGAGTATACGACGAAACTCTCCCCCAGAGAGTTGTCACCTCACCACACAAATATTCCCGGGGAGAGTACTCCCTTTAAAAAAAAATCTATAGCGAAACAGCATGAAACGTAGACGCCTCGGTCGCCATACAAACAGAAAAACAAGGCCTCCCTTTTGGTACAAGCAAAAAGTTTGACGTGTGCTCCTCATTCCCCACTCATTCCATTCTCGATCTGCTTTCTTTCTTTCTTTCTGTCTGTCTCTTTTCTCTCCGGACATCGATCCGATCCCACGCTTCTCTGTCGTTAGATCTACGTTTTGTACGTATGGCGAATCACGACGAACCGAAGATAAGCGATGGGCAGGCAGCCTGCAGCTCACGTGCCGCCGCTGATCGGAGAAGCGTCGGCGGCGGGGGTTGCAACAGGGAGAGGATGGAGAGGCACTGGGAGGAGGTGGCGGGTCGGGTCACGGTGCCGGAAGAATGGGGCCACGAGGGCGTGCTGGATGAGTGGGTGGATTGCTCTACGTTCGACGAGCTTTTGGCGCCACACGGAGTCGTTTCGGCTCGCCGGGCGCTCGTTCGAGATCAAGGCGGCCGTCGCGGGTGTCGCCGGTCAGCTGATCCGATGCCGCCGCAGCCGGCGGCTCCGTTGGCGTCGTTGGATGCGGATCCTTGCCGTCGTCGACGGTTGGGCGTTTGAAAGGGCAGGGCGCGCAGTAACATACTTGATTTCAATAGCTTCTTAATGATCAATACGCAGCCGTTGTGATATATTCACTTTGATCACTCAACTACGAAATAATTGAGAAATTTGTGTTTTCTCCATTTGATTAGCATGTCATCCCCCCCTTTAACTACTTTGTTATGAAATATAGCAATATATTTTTATTTTTTTTGGAATTCAGAACTCTCGTGAGATTTTGGGATCGACTAAAAGATGTAGTCGAATTGAACAAACCATTATTAAATATTGTTATACTGTTAAACGTAATCTTTCAGAGTTTTTGCTTTCCAAGTAATGAGAAGCCAATAACCAGCACAAGGAAATGAACCTTGTTGTTGTGCTCAATCCACTTAACCAGAGAAGTTCAAGCCATTGGAAACTAACGGAAACAAGAGTAGAGGAAATATTCAGAGAAAGTGTTAGTAAGATTTAGAGGGATGAGATCAGGTGACTAAGGGGTCCCCTTAGTCACATGGCTAAGTGAATCTCCACCCTTACACCTCATTAAAATTCAAGGGCTCCTATTAATCCAATTTAATGAAGGGCAGTATAGTAATTGCATGTTTATGTTTTAATTTTTAATTATAAAAAGAATAAAAACAAATTAAGCCAACCGTTCCGTCCCTGTCCCTTGCGTCGGATCGCCTCCCGTCCGCCTCTGATCATGGGCGCCATTATTTGGGGAATTTCCCCAGAGAGAGAGAGGTTTAAATATTGGCCCATGGCCACCGCCGCCATTTTTTGTGAGAGAGAGAGTTTCTGGTCGGAAATTTTTTTTCCCGACGACCATCGTCGACTGAGAATAATTTTCCGACGACAGTGTTTTGTGATGTTTGTTGACATATTTTGTAATGTTAGTACGCTTTGTTATTTTGTAATGTTTGTAAACTTTGTTATTTTTGTCAACCATGTTTGTAATGTTTTTTATGTCTAAAAAACAACCTGGTTGACTTTTGGATGGAACTTCTCTATATAGGGATTGAGCCTCCAAAATCAACCCGGGTGTTTTTTCCCGTTCGTATGGATTGTCGGTCTAGTTTGTTATTTTTGTCCACCATGTTTGTACTGTTTGTATGTCTAAAAAACACCTGGGTTGACTTTGGGAAGGAGCCCCTCTATATAGGGATGGAGCCTCCAAAGTCAACCCGGGTGTTTTTTTCCGTTCGTATGGATTGTCGGTCTAGTTTGTCATTTTTGTCCACCATGTTTGTACTGTTTGTATGTCTAAAAAACACTCGGGTTGACTTTGGGAAGGAGCCCCTCTATATAGGGATGGAGCCTCAAAAGTCAACCCGGTTGTTTTTTCTTTTTGTATGGTTTGTATTGTTTGTCGGTCTAGTTTGTATTGTTTGTACAGTTCGTACGTTTGTAATGTTTGTAAATCTGTTTGTATGTTTTGTCGCTCTAGTTTGTACTGTTCGTATGTTTGTATGGTTTGTACTTTGTACTGATTATAAATCCGGTTTGTATACTTCGTAATTTTTTATAATACCCAAACTACCCCTGCCATTAATTAAATAGTCCTTCCCACTTTTTAACCATTGGATTGAAGTGTCCAGATCTAATGGCTAGGAGAGGCTTAGTCAAGTGACTAAGCACCCCCTTAGTCACCAGATCCGCACTCAGATTTAGATATGAATTCATAACTATCGGCTAATAAAGATCAAGTTATTAGGTGGATTTTCGTTTGCACGGATTTTACAAACTCATATCACTATTAAATCTTCATTTTGTATATCATTATTCTCATCCATTCATAATTAAAAATAAGGGTAAATTGCAAGCTTGGTCGCTAGAATTACTTAAAAAGATCATTATTGCCACTAAAATTATTTTATTCCATCGGTAGTCACTCAAATTAGTTCGACAGTTCACGTTTGATCACTCTACGTTAGTCTCCGTTAACTTTAGCTGACTTGGCAGTCAACTCTGAGAGTGGTCCATTAAATAAGTGACGTAGCAATAAAAAAAAATAAGAAATAAGTGACTTGGCAGTCAACTCATCTTCAATCAAGGAAAACCCCAAACCCCAAATCACCACTTACATCATCCGCCCAAAAGGGTTGAGCCGGGTGACACCCTACTCTAGTACTCTACGTTTCGGCTAACCCTTGGGTAAGGGTGGCTATACGGTACGCTCCAGTTAAATTGACCCGAATTGATCCGGTCTCGGTCTGATTTTTTGAGAATATAAGGACCAAAAATTGGAACGGATACAGTCCTGTCTTGAACCGATGCGGTCCCAATTCGGCCCGGAAAGACCACCTATTTGTTCGTTTACCGGGTTCAGCACGAAATCATAAATAAGCTTATATAGTAGTCAGATTAGTAACCCCAACTATTCTCCCTGGCTTATTTTAGGGGAAGGAATTACCACTTTCTATCTGCTTCTGCAGCAGACGCCAAAGACCATGCCCCGCCCTTCTTGATTTTAGATTGAGCTTGTGGGATGTGAGTGACCCGACGGGGGATTTGAGTGGCCTAAGGCCTGAAAGGGTGAGGAGGTTAAATTTTGGGTGTTGGGCTCTTTTATCCGATTTTCTGTCCGGTCCCAATCGATTTTTTTACCTCAAATCTAGTTCCGAAGATTAGATTGGATTGTTTGTTATCCGGTCCCAGTCCGGTCTCGGTCCGGGTTATACGGTCCGGTTTCGGATAAAATAAAAAACCTGGACCAAATAGCTAGCCCTACCCCTATTTGGTCCAGACTTTTTGGTTTTACCCGAAACCAGACCGGATAACAAACAATCCAATATTTGGGCATAGATTTGAGGTAAAAAAATCGTTTGGGACCGGATCGAAAACCAGATAAGAGAGCCCAACACCCAAAATTTAACCTCCTCCTCCTTTCAGGTTTTAGGCCACTCAAATCCCCCCTTGGGTCACTCAAATCCCCACAAACTCAATCTAAAATCAAGACCGAATTGGGACAGAATCGGTTCAAGATCGAACTGGATCAGATCAAGACCAGACTGTATCCAATCCAATCTTTGATTCTTATATTCTCGAAAAGACCATACCGGGACCAGATCAATTCGTGCCAATTTAACCAAACCGCCGTTTAGCCACCCTAATTTTGTGCACACTTTACTTAGCATTTACTATGATTAACTACGAGAGGTACTAATTAACGCCCTAAATTTTTAAAATTTGTCGCCCTAATTTAGACAAGTTGACGTTTTTGCCCCCTAAAAGTTCCCAATCTCTAATCATATTCGTCACCCTAATTTATCTCATTTCAGCCGTGGACCGCCCTAGAATTGACCACCCGTCAACCCAAGAATCATCGCCGAGAAGAATCATCCCCCGCCGTCGCCCTAGAAATCATTGCTCTCCCTGAGAATAATCATCATCGTCACCCTGGAAGGGATTCCTCGCAGAGTCGTCAGCTGCTGAGAAGAAATAACGTCGTCGTCGTTCGCCCTGGAAGAGATTCCTCCAGCCATGCCTGCGCGGTGTGCCGATTGAGGACGCGAGAACATCAGTCGTCGCCCTGGATTCTTCCTCCTCCTTCCTCGAACGCGAGCAGCGAAGGCAGCGGGGAGGATTGACGGCGTCGACAGGACAGCTTCCGCCGTGAAAGATTCCTCGCGGCGACGACTCTCGAGCGGAGTGGCAGTGGGGAAGAATTCAGGGCGACGAACCGCGGCGACGATGACTCTCGAGCGGAGCGGCAGCGATGAAGAATCCACGGCGATGGCAAGGCAGCGGAGCAGCGTCAGGCAGTTGAAAAGTTCCGCCGTTAGGATGATGACTCTCGAGCGGACGGCGGTTGCAGGCGCCGGCGACGGGGTAGAATTCAGGGCGAATGGGTCGACAGGGCAGCGGAGCAGCTTCAGGCAGTTGAGAAGTTCAGTTGATTTTGTTAATTCGTCTGTTTTAGGGATTAGGCCGAGTGGGGTAAATTCGTCTGTTTTGTTAATTTAGGGCGAAAATTTTAAAAACTTAGGGCGTTAAATAGAAATTCAGTTAACTACGGTCTGCTAGGTCTGATTGGGCCTGCACAGTATAATTGGGCTTCTAACCTATTTCCTAGCCCGAAAATACCACGGCCCAATTAAACAGCCCCCTGCACTCGGGAACAACTGTCGTGTAATCGGGTTGAAACTAGGGTTTAAGACGAGCTTATATTCCGATTTCACTCTTACGGCGAGTTACAGAGCTTCCTTCGGTCATCTTTCGCAGGTAACGTCCGCTTATTCCTTACCCTACTTCATCTCCGTCGATTTTGCGCCCTTGTCGCTGCTTACGAATCGTCGATTTCTTTCCTTGGATTTTGATCCCGCCATTGCCATTTGCCTGGGCCATTGTTCAACGCAATTCTTCTAATCTGTCCAATTGCTGCTCTATTGTCTTGCAGGAAGTGAAGGTTCCGCAACCATGAGGTAAGCCCGAGAGCTTGTTTTCCATATCATTACGATTCCTCCATTATCGAAGTCAGAAATTATGTTTTTGCATTAGTTGAATTCCGCGATTCGGAGGAGAACTTGCGAGGCTTAGCCAATTTCGCCGCTGTTTTAGGTTATCGTTTTGCGGCCTGGTTTGATTGATTCAGTTGCGGCCCCCCCTTGAGCTATTAGTCGTGCTTGAATCCTGTTCTCTGTGGCGAAATCAATGCCCGGCTTGAAAGACGTACTCCTTGTTTAACATAATTGTAATGCCACTCTGGGAGAGAGTAAACTGGGAGGGTGTTTGTTACGATTAGGAGGCGAGCTGATTTCTCATTTCCAGCGATGATCTTGTGTGCGTGAATGTTTTGTCTTGATGCAGTAAGCTTCAGAGTGATGCGCTGAGGGAGGCCATCTCCACCATCAGGACTAGGTCGGCAGAGAAGCCACGCAAGTTCACTGAGACTGTTGAGCTTCAGATTGGGTTGAAAAACTATGATCCTCAGAAGGATAAGCGTTTCAGTGGGTCTGTTAAGTTGCCTCACATCCCCCGCCCCAAGATGAAGGTCTGCATGCTTGGAGATGCCCAGCATGTTGAGGAGGTAATTAGTTCTATGGGTTCTTACAAGTATTGAATACTTAGAGTGGGATTAAGAACGGTTTGATTCGTCTATGTATCCTAGTGTATTTGTTGATAATGAAATGTGTTTGTGCTTTGTGTTGTTTGCTGGTGCAAGTTGAGTCATTCTTATGTTGAATGTACTTTGGTAAGTGCAATTGGAACTCTGAATGAGTATATTGTTGTGGGTACCAGGCAAAGGCGTTGAATCTCGAATACATGGAAGTGGAGAGCTTGAAGAAGCTCAACAAGAACAAGAAGTTGGTGAAGAAGCTTGCAAAGTCATACCATGCATTTTTGGCCTCTGAATCTGTTATCAAGCAGATTCCTCGTCTTCTAGGCCCTGGCCTGAACAAGGCAGGCAAGTTCACCTAACAGGGGTTTGCACTTGCTCTAATAATGTGATGTTGTCTGGACATAACAAAGGGTGTCCCGTTTTGGATACAGGAAAGTTCCCTACTCTCGTCTCTCATCAAGAATCCCTGGAGGCTAAAGTGAACGAGGTCAAGGCAACAGTGAAGTTCCAGCTGAAGAAAGTTCTGTGCATGGGTGTCGCTGTTGGAAACTTGGACATGGACGATAAGCAAGTCTTCCAGAACGTTCAGATGAGCATCAACTTCCTTGTCTCCCTGCTGAAGAAGAACTGGCAGAATGTGAGTTTCGTGAGAGTGCTCATCTATCTACGAGTCCCTCGTGTGTTATTTTGCATAGCGAATTAGCATGGTTTAGTGTTTACCAATGACGAACATACCTGTCTGTGAATTTTCAGGTTAAAGTGTTGAACTTGAAGACTACGATGGGCACCCCTGTGAGAATCTTCTGATCAGGCCCCGGGTTCTGGTCTCTTAGGATTTTGGTTTGTTTGGGGGGTTGTGTGTGAGTTGAATGAACAATATAGGCTGTGCGCAATTATATCAGACAGTGCAGATGGTTTGGACTTGCAGTTCGTTAAGAAATTGTCTCTCTCTTCTACATTGTTAACTTCAGTGCAAACACTTTTAGTTAGATACTGCAGATTGCAGAAGGGGAAGTCTGATTATTCTTCCTCGTTTTTGCCTTCCATTTAAAGTTTCTCTCTTTTTCTATGGTCCCTAGACTTCTATAACTGCTTGCGCTTGGCCGTTGCCATTTGAGTAGCGTGCTACGTGGTCTGTTGTAATTAAGGTTGGGCATTCATCTATTCGTACTAGAACCACCGAGATGAGATTGGACCAAAACGAAAGGAAAATTGATGCGTATCCAAAGTATGGTTGGTTCATTTGGTTCAAATTTAGTTTTCTTTCGTTTTTCTTTCATACTTAAGGTAATTTGTAGTTTTGTGCAGACTAGATCGTTTCCCATCTCTGGATACAATAGAAGAAAACATGATATTCGACGAGTTATTTTCAAAGTATGGACCTATTTTCGAATCCTTGTAATCATTTTGCTAAATTTGGCTTGGATTGACCCGCTTCACAATCTCAATCGAATTGTTAGGTTGTGCTATAAGCCTATTATTGAAATGGACAAATACACATCACAAATTCACAATCACACTTTTTTTTTTTTAATATTATTTACTGTCCCGCGTACACCACATTCCAATCTCTAATAAGTAGGGGTGTAAGCTTGACCCTTAAAACCCACTGACCTGACCCGATTAGGGGTGGGCATTCGGTCGGTTTGGTTCAAACCGAACCGAAATTATGCATGTTGGGTCCCCCGAATTATAATTTGGTTCGATCGGTTCAAATCGAATTATAATTCGGTTCGGTTCGTTTTTTCATACAGAACCGAAATAGTGAGGTTAGCTTGTATCTTCTCTTTTTTAAATTATTTTTCACCCATAATGTAAATAATAAATATGAATTATAAAATCAAACATTTCAACACAGTCATAAAACACTAACATGATTCAAATTTTTAAGTCTCATAATAAGTAGAAACATAAAAACCCACCATTTAAAGCTTGTAATTATAGTAATTCGGTTTTTCGGTTCCGAATTTGGAAATTCGGTTCAGTCGAAAGGACCCTCATTTCCGAAATATGCCCTTTTCTCTTCCGAATTCCGAATCGAATAACATTAATTCGGTTCCGGTTCGGTTTATATTCGGTTCGGTTAGGTTCGATTCAGTTTTGCCAAATCGTATGCCCACCCCTAGCCCCGACCCGTCCCGACCATGAGGGTCGGGTTGGGTCAGTTTGTCTACAAGGTCAGCTTAGGCTCGGGTCAGCTTATGCTCTGGTTAGGGTCAGGTAGGGTTGGGTCAATTTAAGGTCGGGTCACTTTTTGACCCTATGACCCTTAACATCATACAAACACGTCGGACCTATTTGTATAATTTTAAAAGTTTAGGTACTAAATTATAAAAAAATAATTTTGGTACCAAAACGTGAGTTTACCTTCAAATTTTTGGGACTTATTTGTAAAAAATAAATTTTAGGTACTAAACTGTAAGAAAAATAAATTTGAATACCAAATCGTACTTTTTAAAAAAGTAGTGTATTTATTAGGTGTCCCACTGACCCGCCTCGACCCTGTATAATTCCGTCCCGCCCTTGTTTCTTTCATGACTATCATGAAAGAAACAAGGCGCGTAACGGAATTATACATTTTAACCCTTCATTGACGGATCGAATAGGATCATGTCAGGATAGGGAAAGGTCGAGCCAATTTTCAGTCAGGGTCAGACAATCATGAAAGAAACAAGGGCAGGACAGAATTATACATTTTAACCCTTCATTGACGGATCTAATAGGGTCATGTCAGGATAGGGAAAGGCCGAGCCAATTTCCAGCCATACTAATAAGATAATTAACAAGGTGTAACGTTGCTTAACCCTACCAATTGGGTAAGTGGGCAAATTGCATTTTGCCTTGGGTCCAACTGCGAGGTACGGGAACCGTTGGGAAGGTTCAAGAGTCTCATCAAATCTATCATTACCATTTTTTCAAATATAATAATTCAGATGAAAACAACCAAATCCGTCAGTCTAGGGGCGGCAATGGAAAACCCAGAATATAATACTGCTATTAACAGTGGCAAGTGGCGACGTTTCGAGGTGTGAATTGGCGGATTTGGAGCTTCCTCAACCGACTGGGTTCTATTGCATTTGCAGGCCGTTGCGGAGTCAGAGGGACCTTTGCCCCTCGTGAGCTGCCATCCTTTTTTTGCCCTTTCTTTGCCCACCATCTCCCAGACGCCAACCAAAACCCCACACTCGCCAAAAAGGGCCAAAACCCTTCTCTCTTTCGTTTTCTATATAAAAAGGGAGCTCCTTTCTGCATTTTGTCTTCCCTCACATCCTCCGCCAACCACCCTGCTGCTTCCTCTGCCTAGGCTGCACTTTTCCTCCGGTCCTCCATCGTCAACTTCACTACTCGGTGAGTTCCCTTTAACCCAATCTCACATCTCTGTTCTCTGCACTCCTTCTGTCCGTCGTTTGATCTGTAGAACTGAGGGCTTTGTGGGTCTCGGTTGATGGGTGTTGTTTATCGTCTTGCGAATGGTGTCTGATCTGTTAGGTCGATAGCTTCGGGTTGGTGTAAAGTCTCGATCTTTCTGGATTTTGGGGTTCACCCACTCAGTAAATTTATCAAACACGTGAGATGCATAATAGGGAGTGGCGAGATCAGAAGCCGCATCTTTTGATTGAGTTTCGTCGTTGTAGCCTTGGGATCAAGTTAAGTTATCAAGAGCCGGGGTGACTAGCGTAAAAAGCCATTGGCTGCTTCTTGAAAGATGAATCTGTGCTTTGTTTTCTTCATCGAAATCTTGGATCCGGGTGGGGAAAAAGGGGAGATGATAATGTGATGGATCTTATTAGAATTGGGAATCTTAGCACGATGGAAAAAGGTTTTATCTTTGAAGCTTGTGAAACTTAGTCTACCTGTGAGGGATGAAAAAGGTTTTATCTTTGTAAATTTCTGTGCTGGAGCATCGAGTGAAGAGCATGGAGCCCATTGCGCTTGCTTCTTCTCATCATGCTCCAAACATGAACTTCCTTGTTAGCTCTTAATGGACATTGAGGTCCCATTCTTATGTCTATCCTGAGAAAGCATACATGCAAATGCAATTAACATAGTAGCATTCTGTTGTCAAGAATGTTACCAACATTTTAGCCTATTGTTGATTGAGTCTAGTTTCTGCATGAGAAGTAACTCATTTCGCTTTCTATGTATCCCGCTCGCAGAATTGGAGATGGCGACAGCGACAGCTCCCTCCCAAACTGTCCTGGCACCCGGGATCCAGAAAAGACTCACAAGCACCATATTCAAGAGCCCTAATGCTCTCGGTTCAGTCAGGAACATTTCCAAGTCCTTCGGCTTAAAATGTAGCCCCAATTTCAAAGCATCCATGGCTGTTTACAAGGTGAAGCTGATCGGCCCGAACGGTGAAGAGAGCGAGTTTGAAGCTCCTGACGACACGTACATCCTGGACGCTGCAGAGGAGGCAGGAGTCGACCTGCCCTATTCGTGCAGGGCAGGGGCTTGCTGCACTTGTGCGGGGAAGCTGGAGTCAGGCTCGGTGGACCAGTCGGATGGTTCGTTCCTCGACGACAATCAGATGAAGCAAGGCTACGTCCTGACTTGTGTCTCTTACCCTACTTCTGACTGTGTGATACATACCCACCAGGAAGAATCTCTTCTGTGAGAAGAGAAGTGAAGAGAGTTAAAGAGATCTGGAATCAAGTTTCAGGGATTGAAGTAGGTCTTCGGAGTTTGGTATTTGTGTCTAGAATATGTAGCAGCTGTAATGGCTTAATGGTGTTCGAGTTGTCAGGTGGATTGTGTTTCGCAGCTTGTAAAGGCGCACATAATAATTGTTGTCAATCCAACTGCGCTATTGCTAAGAGTTGCTCTTGGAATTCCTTGTGTGCCCTGTTCAGCTCTTTTCCGCCATGCTTTGTTCTTAGCTTGGATGTTGTTGTCTTCACTTTTCTCTGATAGTGAAGGCAGAAGGCAATGAAATCATGCTTCAGGCATATCTCTTCTGTTCACCATTGATCGCTGAGAGTAAGGCTAAGGCAGGAATGAGGAAACTGCATGACAAATGACCATGGACTCCATTGACGTGGTGGTGTCCAAACAATGGTAGATAATGATCTTGATAGAGACTTGGTGATTGTTGGAAAATTGGCTGGAAATACGAACCAAGACCATGAGATTCATCACTTATTAAAGCGGCTCCATAAGGGCCAAAAACACTCCCAAAATGGCTGGCTCGGACCTCAGTGATCAATCATGAATATGATACGTAGCTAGTCATTAGTTTGACTCGTCAATTTTGGGGACTGGAAAAATGTGCACATGATACAATACAGAGATACATTCACATGCATACCGAAAAAATGTTGGTAAGTCAAAGCAGTCAACAAACTGATGCCACAGGGGAAACAAAATCAAAGGCATTGGAATTGTTTTAAAAAAAATTGTAATCAGGTCATCTAATTTGATCAAAGGATTTTTTTTTTTTGGCATAAAGGGAGTCCAAAAGGTCAAGAACAAAGAGAGTTACAACGGATAAGAGGAAGCAGAGGGATGACGGGAGGATCGATCCACAACCCGTCGCTCAAAAGTCAAACCCATGGAATCATCTCTAAGAAGAGGAACTAGACCCGGCGGCGGGTTCGCAACCTCATGCATACCGTAGGGTTAGACGAGACTGTGCTTCGAGAGCCAGTCCGCTACTCTATGCCCTTCGCGGTATACATGAGTGATGCAAACCAACCAATCCTGACTAAGTCTCCTTCGAATCGTTGCTAACAGAGTCGCGTGCGGGTGGACAGGGTCTTGTCTGCTCTCGATGAGTTGTACCGCCAGCTTGGAATCAGATTCCACTCTAATGGCGCGGTAGCCACTCTTCCAAGCCATCTCTAAGCCATAAAAAACCGCCCAAAGCTCTGCAAGAATAGCAGTGGCCGAGCTAATATTGGCTACAAAGCCGGCCATCCAATTACCCGTGCTGTCTCGAAGAGAGCCTCCCGCTCCAGCCGGGCTGGGATTTCCATTTGACGCACCATCAACATTCAGGGTCAGCCAACCATCAGGAGGCGGTGACCAACCTACCTACGCACTCACACGAGAGGGAGCCTGAAGCGAACCTACCTGCAGTCTGGAGGGCGCTCGCCAAGCTTCATCCCAAAGTTTGGTCTTCGCCCAGATCGAATGCGCCAAAGAGGGAGGGGAAAGGGCCGCTCCAATCCCTTGGAAACAGACCATACACCGGTTATTATTGTGTTTATAATTATTATTCTTGTAATCATGTCCTATAATTTCGGCATAATTATTATTGTGTTTATTTTGGATACTGGGGTTATTATTATTCTTGTTCGTGAAGTAATTGTCTATGAGTCGGATTAGGAATAGTTTACCATGTTTGAGAGGGAAAGGATTATGGGAATTTTCCTATAAATATGTACTTTACCTCTACGTTTTATCTATCGAAGAAGAATAAACCCTAGTATTTTCAGTTTTCTTTAGTTTTCGTATTTCAAGTTCACGACACGTGAGGCTGTCACGAGCGTTAGGGTATCTGCTCACCTGTGTGTAGGGCTGCAAATGAGCCAAGACGAGCCGAGTTTTACCATAGCTTGAGCTTTTCTCGTTAATAAACGAGTTGAGCTCGAGCTCGGCTCATTTGTTAACTAGTCGATTCGAGTCGAGTTCAAGCTAGTTTGGTTACTAAAATCTTGACTTGTATTTGATATATTCATTTTGTATAGAATGTATGATATATGTGATTAATGTTAAGTTAAAAAAAAAATTAATAGTTAAGTGTTCAATATCCACCAACTCATGTTATACTTTGTGGTATCATATTATTTAGTTAATAAATTTTAACTAGTCAAAATTATGTTATTTCATAGTATCAAATCAATTTATCATTCATAATTTCTTTTTAAAATTTACTAAGACATATTTGCTCAAATAATCTACGTGTTCACTTTATATAGAGTGAGATATATAATTTAACAATCCTATTAATTATCAAAATAAAACTCATATAGATCGATTTGCTTATAAGTCGTTAATCGAGTTGGCTCTCTAGCCACAATGTTGAGACTTTTGGCATATCATGAGCTCCAAACGAGCCAGCTCACGAGTTGAGCTCAACAAGCCACCGAGTCAAGCTAGCTCGCGAGCTTCGCAAGCTGCAGAAGGCTTAGCTCAAGCTCGAATCGTTAGTAAACGAGTTGAGTTTCGAACGAATTTTTCCCGAATCGAACGGTGAGCCGCTCACGAACAACTCGGCTCATTTACAACCCTACATGTGTGTCTTACCCGACTTCGTATTGTGTCATCCATACTCACCGGGAAGACAGAGCTTCAGTAAATTAATTAATGTTGGCGAAAAGGATTAATTAAGGGAAATTAAAACCAACCTTTTGATTTGTGGGTTTTGATTAAGTTTGCTAAAAATTTCGAGTGTTGTTTTTCTTTGATGTGATTGTAGTTTGAAAGAAAACTCTGTTCCTTTGCTCCATGAATCATTATTAAAAAATTATGTTGTTTCATTGCAGTTAATGAGTAAACGCTTATCATAACAAATTAACGATGTCTTATTGTCACACAATTCACTTGCTTTTGTGTTAAATGACTTTGTTGCATGAGTCTCAAGTAGTTAGGGATTGACAATTTGAATCAGTCTCGTATTCGCAATGTACAAATATTACCTAACCATCATTAGTTTGAACGGGACATAAAAATCTACTTATGTCCTTGTCCTGCTCCTTCTCGCTCTTTCTTGGACCAATTCTATCTCTATTTCTTGATATTTCTTCTATTTTGTCTTTTCTAACTAGTAAAGACCCCGAGTCTCGTAATAGGTTGGTGGGCCTTTTAGTCCTTAATGTGCACATTTTAGCCCTAATAGCAAGTTGCTCCACGGTTTAGTCAAAGCTCTCCACGGTGTAGTCCTAATAGCACTGTGCACATTTTAGTCCTCACTAGAGTAATGAAACACCATTCAAGTAGCAGACAAACATACGCACATAAACATCCATAAACGCAAACATAAACGTCAAGATATAGTGTCTAACCAAACCCATTCACCAACTTCAAATGCACAATTCTACCATCATCCATCCCAAGAACAAACACTCATCTTGCGCTGCACCCGAGTCTGAGCTGCTGACATGAAAAAGAACACAACAGTAAGAGGGATTAGAATAACATAGTAGCATAACAAGCGGTTAGAAGGAAATCCTGTAAATTACTAATGCCGACAGAAGGAAATCCTGGTAGACCTCAGAGAGGAGGACAGTTAAACCATAGCCAATCTGCTGAGTATGAGGACTGTTCGGGAATAAAAATCAAACAAACGGGAAGAACCTAATCTAAGAATGAAGCAAGGAAAGACAACGGCCAACCTCCTAAAGCAGGGGACAGCAAAGGAGGATGGAGAAGAGAGCAAAAAGGGTTACATCGTACAGAGCCAAAAATGATTTGCTTTTCATGGGTTCTGCTTTGCGCTTCTGGCCCTATAGTTTCAATGCATGCAACCAATCCTAGAAGCAAGAGAAGTATGCAGCAAAGTGCTTGAAAAGGTATGCATATTTTTGAACCACCAAGTCTGTTTTTGCCCTTTGGTCCTTTACATACAGTCATACACAGTGCTTCATGAGATTATCAAATTCAGTTATGCATTCTAACTTTGTTAGCTTGCTTGCATCTTCTGTACTCATTTCACCTACCACTATTTGCTTCAACAAACAAACACCATTTTATTGTTATGAGATGCATTCTATAGCATATATGTTTGACAACAAATGTACCACACAAACTTGAATGTGCAGAAAATGGTTTCTAGATTTGACCCCACACCTCCCTTGAAGAATTGTTATTGTGACTATTCTAAGGAGTTCCTAAGGCAAATTGTATGGTTAGAAAGTTACCTTCTGTGTAAAGAAACTAGGGAGGAGGAGGCTGACGGGCGACGGCCGGTGAAATCATCATCACTCAGGTTGAGAAGAGCCGCCCCTGTAGTTTGGCTGCTGAACCTGATTGGGGAAGGTCTCCGGCGGCCGCAAACATTGGCGGGTTGCTGCCGGCGACTGGACGGTCAGGTACAGAGCGAGGAGTGCCAGTGGCTTGGTACAGAGCGAGAAGTTCCTGATTCAATTCTTCCGCTGCGCGTCTAGCGACGTCAATAGCGCGATTGAAATTTCCATTCGCCATCATCTCTCTTAAATCGATGTCCTTGCGCCAGATTTTCAATCCTCGTTCCCAGCTGCTCGATTCGGCCACGCAGAGATATTTCCTCTATCGTTTCTTCTCCTTGCCCTTGTCGTGTTGCACGAAGTTGCTCAAGCCGCTGCCTGAGTTTCTGGCGTTTCGCGAGATCAGCATCGAGCTTCCGCATTGCCTTATTCGCATCGCTGACCGAGTCATGGGCATTCTTCATGTTACGCTTAGCAGACTCCATGGCTCCGAAAACCCTAAATCCAGAAAGAGTATGAGAGGATTGGAAAGGGGAAGACTGAGAAACGAATAAAAAGGGGTGAATAAATTCGATGTTGGATTCGAAAATGAAGGTTTTGAGTTTTGAAATTTTTTTGATTTATGATGAATTTATTACATTTTGTATTTGAAAGATAACATTGGTTGTTTAGTTGAATTTTTATCATGAATTTAGTTCATTTGGTATTTGGGTCTGAAAAAATTTGCCTTTCCATAGTGTGATATTTGCAAATACATGGTGTCCACAGATTTGTATACCTCAAAAAACAATGCTTTTTCATCAAATACATAATGCTTGGTATTTTGGTGCCAAATATAACAACCAAATCCCACAAGCAAACGACCCCTTAATTTCATTTGTGCTCACTAAAACTACTAATATTTAATATTATTTGTGCTCACTAAAATTAGTTTAATATTACATATTCGGCCAGGGGCGGAGCTACTTAGCAACTAGGGTGGGCCCCGGCCCCCCCGGGAATAGTCCCGGCCCCTAGGATCTTATGAATATTTAAATATAGTTTGGATAAGTAAGCTTGATAGTGTATTGTCACATTAATTAATTACGTAGTCCAACGGTAGCTACACCAATTTTTTTACTTGAATCACCCAAGTTCGATCCACATCTACCACTGATTTTTGCTTTTCCCACATTGTACCCTAGGGCCTAGACTAACGAAAAAGCCACAAACTAAAAGGCCAAAACCCAATCAAATTCATTCTTTTCCTTTTTTATAGAACTTGAATCACCCAAGTTCGATCCACATCTACCACTGATTTTTGCTTTTCCCACATTGTACCCTAGGGCCTAGACTAACGAAAAAGCCACAAACTAAAAGGCCAAAACCCAATCAAATTCATTCTTTTCCTTTTTTATAGAACGTGTATCGGAATTGACAATGAAGAATTGTCGAGCAAATTTTATTTTGTGGTTGATATGTCTTATTTTCGCTATATGTGATTTTGCATTTTCTGATGTGAAGAATAGATGTGAAACAGAATGAATGACAAATCTTTTGTTAATGATTTATTTATTTGTATTGAAAGAAAGATACGTAAGAGTTTTAATTTAGACGCTATATTGAATGATCTAAAAAACGTCGTATACTTTAAAATAAGTATAATAAATATTTTATTTTAATTATATTTACGTTTTCGGCCCACCCGGTTTTGAAATCCTGGCTCCGCCCCTGTATTCGGCCACTGTTTGATAGTTTTCATCAACCTTTGTTTTTAACGATGTTAGTTGCAAGTTACAGTCACTAAAATCAACCGAAAAATGCAAGTACAAGTTTGGACAAGGAGATGAAACCAAGAAATATAAATCATCAGAAAAAATTGGGCATTCTGGTTTCCTTCTGTTTGAAAAAATTTGGATGTTTTGGCCGTTAGCAGAAGGCAGGGGATGGCATCTCCCACAAAATCACCCCACCTCTGACCTTTCCAAGATCCCTTCCAACGCCCGCCACCGCCGATCCACTCCCTCTATAAATACACACCAACCCACTAAACAACTCTTCACCCCGCCGCCGACGACTCCATCTCTCCCGCTCCAAGCCCTCCTCCTCCCAATCAAACAATGGCCACCGCCACAATTCCATCTCCGGTCATCCACAGAACCCAATTCCCCTCCGCCACCAAGAAGCCCTTTCACACCGCCACGAATCTGGGTTCGGTCCGCAACGTCTCCAAATCATTCGGCCTGAATTGCTCTTCCCAGAACTTCAGGGTCGCGGCGGCGGTGTACAAAGTGAAGCTGGTGGGGCCCGACGGGGAAGAAAGCGAGTTTGAGGCCGCCGACGACTGCTACATCCTCGACGCGGCGGAGAGCGCCGGCGTGGAGCTGCCGTACTCGTGCAGGGCCGGGGCGTGCTCCACGTGTTCGGGGAAGATGGTTTCCGGGTCGGTGGATCAGTCGGACGGGTCGTTTTTGGATGAGGAGCAGATGGAGGAAGGGTATCTGCTGACCTGTGTGTCTTACCCGACGTCGGATTGTGTCATCCACACTCACCGGGAAGAAGAGCTTAATTAAAGGGGAAACTAAAACCAACCCTTGATTTGTGGTTTTGATTATGTTTGCTAAAAATGCTTAGTGTTGGTTGTTCTTCTTGTTGTTGTCATCGTAGTTTGAAAGAAAACTCTGTTATGTAATCATCTTGGTGTACCCACTTAATGTAGGGGTCGTTTGCTTCAAGGATTTTATAACGAGGATTTTGTCATGAATTTGCTAATTAAAAACCTTGGGATTTATTAGGGATTTTGGGCATTATGGATTTGAGGAAACCTTTTGTTTGTTGAGCTATTTTTATCATGGATTTGATGGTTTTTCAACTTGTCTCCAAATCCCAGGGTATGAGGTGGGATTTATAAATCCGTGGGGCCCACGGATTTGGAGCCCCAAATCAGTGGACCCCACGGATTTGGTACCCTCCATTTTGGCTCAACAAACAATGGTTTTTGGACAAATCCTTCATGTGTTGGATTTAAAAACCAAATCCCACGTCCAAATCCTTGAAGCAAACAAAATGTCCACTTAGTTAAAAAAAACTTTGGCGTATCCACTTAGTTTCTATTCTTTATAAAAAAGGTAAATACAATATATTAGTGTAGAATTTGATGATGCGGAATCAAAACGAACACAGAACACAAGAGTTTTACGTGGTATCCTCGATCGATTGATTGATCGAGACTAATCCACGGTGAGTTCGGAAGAGCTCACAGCTGGCGTTTTATTATAGGACTACATCTTGACGGCTTGCTTACGACATGACCGTAGCTAAGCTTTTATAGAGATATACTTAGTGTTAAAACCCTAATGACAACCAAGTTCCTTCTTTTACCGGGACAAAGAAACAAGGGACTTGGAGAACAAGGAATTAATTACTTTTTGACTAAGTAATTAATATCCTCAACAATTAGCCACAACTATTATGAAGTAGGGAATTATAGCCACAACTATGAAAATTCAAATTATTAGCCATAACTATTGTTGCGAGTCAAGATATTGCTAATTGTCCATTACTATTATTGAATTTTTAATAAAGAAGGTCACGTCATCGACTACGGTAGCAGCCACGTCGGACTGCTTTTAATTTATAACTTTAAAACATAAAAGTTTAGTCAGTATTACTAACGAAATTGTTAACAAATAGTTAATATTTGACTGATAATTTGAATTTCCATAATTGTGGCTATAATTCTCGGCTTCATATATTTACCCTAAAAAAATTTGAAAATAATGTCTCTTTGCATATCGCCTAAAGTGCCTCCAGTACCAATCAATCATCCGCCCCCCTGTTCTGGATTTCTTTGCTCACTTGATTCCCCTTCCTCCGCTGCCGCCATCGATACCCAATTCATTGCCGGCGACTCGCATTTACCCCAATCTCCCTTTCCTCTTGCTCGCATACTTCTTCAACCCTGCAGCTCCCTAAACATCCCTTCCACGCTGACGCTTTTGTTCCTCCGTCGCGGCTGCATCGACGGAAGCAAGTAGTACCCTGGCTCTTTGTCGGAGTCGTCATCTTAATCGGAGTTTTTGGTTTCTCGACCAGCCGGCCCGGTATTCACAATCTATGGTATTATCATCTTTGAAACACGGAAAGTGCATATGCAAATATGGGCGTGATTGAAGATGGCAGAGTGGCGGGAACACTGCCCAGCACTGAGGCCTTTGCCGTTCACTACCCTGGCTATCCTTCCTCAACTTCTCGCGCCATCCAAACTCTCGGTGGAACTAGAGCAATTGTGCAGGTAAACAAACAACCCTCTCTTCATCCTCTCTGAAAATCCCCAAATGTTTCAACTTTTTCTTTTGTCTGAATTAGACAGGCTCGAACTTCGAAATCGAACGATTTGGAGCTCTATTTCCGTCCGGAGGATCCATACTGCCGTCCTATTTCGGGAGAGCTCGGTCCCTGTAGTGGCTTGCTGCTAAGAATTTCCAAAACCCGATCACTCTTCGAGAATGCAAAATGTTCAACTAGTGCCGACAATGATCGGATTGAAGTGGCAGATGAAGTGAGAGTTAGCGCTGAAATCGTTGCTCGTGTCACCGAAGCTTATCGCTTTGAAGGTTGGTTAGAATTTGCTAGAAAGAAGATCAAAGGTTGCAAATTTGGAAAAGAAAAGAAAAAACCCCCATGATATCTGTTTGTATAGCTGTTTGAAAACCCTCTTCAATTCTTGTAAGGAATGGCGGACTATCAACATGTAGTGGCTGGCCATGCTGATACAACTCGCATGAAGAAAAGGAGCCGGACTGAAATGGATCAAACACATTTTGGTAACTCAGTGCTTCTTATAACTTGAAATTTCATGCTCTCCTTGGGTTACTGTGGATACTGTTTTCCCCTTTCATTATACTACTATTAGGAGGTATCATTGGAATGTTTGGTGTGTTGTTTTTGTCTAGACAGGGTTGGTCTCGTGGATTTAGATCAGGAGGATGTAATGATTTTGCCCCCGCCATTTTTTTCAGCAAAAGATACACCTAGTAATGTAGTGTAAGTGTCACCATTCCTTGTCATATTCTTGTACAATTTCTTGCTAAACAGCTAGTATATTGAAGTAGTTTGAGTGTAAATTGCATGTGTTTGTCTTGGGGAATACACTGGGGTTTCAATAATCTTTGGCAAAAAGAAGTTGATTGAGTTTACTCTCTTGCTTAGTCAAATGCAAAAACTAGTTACTGCAATAGATATTGCACAAGAAGAGAGTAATTGTAGTTGAAAAATAGCGAGGGAACTAGCTGTCAAGCTCTTGCCTTTTAGCTTTTGGGATTCTCATTATTTGTCGGTTTCTTCTAATTTCCGCATAGAATTGATAGCTTAAAGCATAACTAGAATCTATGACAAGAGATGTGCATAGCTTTAGTTGTTTTAGGCTGCCGAATAAGAGTAGTTGATCAGATGGACCATAAGGGCTAGGTTTGGGGGATCTCTAATTGATACGTGTGTTTGATATTTCTGCAATTTCTCATTTTTGTCTTGGTTTTGGTTGTTTCTGGATTTCTCAGGTTGAAACCATCAACCTTTACAAGTTCAAAGAAGAAACAGGAGGAAGTAGTTGAAAACTCTGTAGAGGTAAACAAGTAATTCTAGTTTTCTGAACTACATGATTCACGCAGCAAATTAATAGCTAATCTTAGGTTTGAGTTTTCAACAATTGATTCTACTGGATGGAACGAATAGGTAACTTGTCTTTTGGCAAACCTTCACTCAGGACTTTCCTTGACATTTTTGAGAAGTCCAAATAACTTGATTTAACCTTATGTATTCTACAGATTGATTGAATAGGTTGTCTGTTTTGTGAAGCTAATAGCTATCTTTATCTTCTTATGCAGATGAATATGGAGCCTGCCCTTGCTATTGATTTTAACATAAAAGATATCCTGATTGTTTCCGTGCTACTAAATCTTGCTTTCTTTAAATTATATGCTTTTTGGTTGATGATACTTGGTGACTCACTTTGGTAAGGTCAACTACCACGGTCTAAACTTTAAATTTATGGATGAAATCCTTCTTCATGTATGAGAAATAAATATATAGTCTTAAGCTCTAGTTTCCTGTTTCCTTCAAAATCGACTAGAGTATCTGAATGAAACGAAGGCAATGTCAGCCCTATGTTTGACAAATGTCAACATTTATCCTTTACAATCTTGTGATCATCTCATCCAGTTCTACTTAGCAAGCCTTACAGATACCCAAGAAAATAAATTGGAAAGAATATGTAGCTCATATCTCGAGGATGCAGGAGTCACTGATAGCTTTATCTGAGTTGTTTGAGGAGCGACCGATATGGCCTAAAGAGTCTCTCGTGCAGCGGTTACTTGAGAAGGATCTACATTTTAATCACCAAACACTCAAAAGGTATTCTACAGGACAAAGTCCATCCTACTTAATTAACTGCATTTGTTGTGTGCTTGAAGCCTCTACTTTTTACCAATGTCTCACTGTTGGCAAGTTTAGTACTACAAGGAAACATTTCACTTGTGTTAATTAATCTTCATTTTGATCTTGCAGACTTCTAATAATGGTGGCCTACTACTTTTTAGGTGGGCCATTTCGCATGTTTTGGATCCGAAAAGGATATGATCCTCGCCAAGATTCAGCATCTTGCATGTAAGAGTTATGCACCTGCTCTGGTGATCTTTATATTTTCTTCTCTCTTTGTGTTGTTGCTCTTGAAGTCTCACTGGTGACATTTTGAAAAATAAGAACATGGGCATGAATTGTGGATTTAACATTTGCTGGGTGTCTTCTTTTGATAGACTAGTGCTAGAAGCTTAGAGTTTTCCATTTCATGCTTTCTGTACGTTGTAACTTGTGGGCTTAACAGTATAATATGGTTAATGTTGACCGGATCATACATGTTGGTCCTGGTTTATCATGTGTATCAAGGGTAATACAGGCCAAGCAAACTTTTTAGTAATCTTCGTGAGATAATATTTTTCCCTCTCAATATCCAAGAATAAATTTTCTTAGGCATCATTTTCTCTTGTTTGTAATTGATGGGCTAGAGAAAAGCTCGCCATCTGGTTGAACGCAGAAGGTGTTTCTTTCACTATCTATTGTTCGTATAAGCTGGAGGGTGATTTATGATGCCTTTTGTTTTTGTGGCAGCTATCAAAGAGTTGATTTTCGAGTCCCGCCTGAACTTAGACGTTATTGTGAATTGTATGCTGCTAAAGGGTAATTTCTTTACCTTCACACCTTTACTATTGACATACAGTACCAAATTGCTGGTATATACAACTGGATATTTGTCAAGATTATGGCCTTACAAAAAGATAATGTTTTTAAAGGTTTACAAAAGAGAAGAACATGCATTTGGTATGGTTTTGGTAATAAAGAAGTTATAAATGAGGCGTTAGATCGTTTGTTATGACTATTATAAGTATATCTTGAATAATAGATTCTTAGTGCAGAGGGAAAACATACCTCTTGGCAAAAATTTATTAACAATGTTGGGATAGTAGCTTATCACAGGTTGCTGAAAAGTTTTCTACATTTTTCTTTGCGGTGAGATGGTGGTTCTCTATAGTCTATTATGCTAGAGCATAGGATGTTGTGAGACTGGGGATTTTTTATTAGCTTCATTGAAGCCTCAACTTGGTGTTCTTACTGGTCTTGCTTACATGTTAATTTTCCTGCAGTTTAAAACAGAGATGGGAGGATTTATGCAAGTTTGAAGCTTTTCCTTACAAATGTCACACATCACTCCAACTCTTTGAACTTGTCGATGATTACATTCAAGAAGAGATAAAGAAACCGCCCAAGCAGACGACTTGCACTGTGAGTCTGTTGTGAACTTCTCTGCGTGTGTGTGTATGTGTATATAATCTACTCATTACAGGCCTACAAAACAAGTTTTAGTTCGCATCACTTTCCAATGGCACCAGCATGTGTAGAGGTTGCCTGTCATTTTAGAACTTAGCCTGTACAGAGGACACGAACCGACTCCTTCAGACTACAACTCAACTTGTGAACCTTACATGAATAATCTCGTCAAATAACACAATTTTCCTAATTTCTAGTTTTAGCTCCCGGTGTATCCGTTTCCTCTTTATCTATGATGTTTATGAATATGTCTTTGTTTCCATTCTGTTTATGGCTTCGTAGTTTGTCTGTGTGCATTTGGGTATTGTAGAACTCACCATCTTCACTTAACCTAGTATGGATCAGGTTGGTTCTCTCAGCAGGAGCACGATACCCTAAAATTTCGTGTAATGGTAAGATTCCTATCAGTATATCCACAACCTGGTGCACAAAAATTACACAGAGCTGCTTCAGAATGTTTTGAAAAGTCGAAGAAGTTGTGTGCCTTAAAACAGTGTCAAAAGGAAAACCAACAGACTCACGCAGGTACAGATTGAAATAAACTGCTGCTACTGTCTTCTATTTGGTTCTCAATTCTCAATCGCCTGCCATTTAACTACATTTATCGTAGCTTATCTGTCATGTATAGCTAAAAGAATTTCCCTTTGAATAATGTCCAACATCAACCCTAAAATAATCTGACGGATTCTTGACATGGCTTTCTAGATGATAATGTGGACGGAAATCAACACGAGATAGAGGTTGTCACTACTGATAATCTTGCTGCTGATGATGATCAAGAAGAGGATATCGATGCATATGACGCTCTGGATTTGGTAAACCAAAATTGTTATTTTCGTTAGCTTTTTTTCTCCTTGTAATTATATAATGATAATGTATGAATTTGTTTCTTTTACTATTAATAGGTTGACGAAGATGACGAATTCTCGCTGCATTCAGATTCGTGTATCCTTTTTTTACAATGGCTCTGCTGTTTCACTTTCGACTTATGAATGAGCAGTGCTGATATGACTAGTTACATTTCGCCAACCTCATTGGGAGATCATGTTGCTTCTCTGATCTTTTGCTTGCTTCTATGGTGTTTTCCTATACTTTGTCCTAGATTTGGATGCTGGGAGCAACTCAAGAAACTATCTGCAAGAGCTCTTTGATAGCTTTCCGTCAACTGAAGCTGGAGATGGGAAAATACATGACGACGCTGACAGCAGTGATGGCGACTATCAAATACTCGAGCAAGACGACGACAATTACTCTGACGACGATTATGAATGATGGCATTTTTTAAGTGAAGGAACTCAATTCAGTCTCATTGTGTTACGTAGTTTGCTGCAGATTCATGTATCCAGATTTTTCATAACCTAAACAACATCACTAATTAGTTTGGCTTTGGTAGAGTTGCATGCATTCATATCCACATTTCATTTGTGTAGCCAGACAGACTCATGATCTGCCTGCCTCTCTCAACCACCTAAACCTAATCAACCCCACCACCCTCCCATAATCACTCAACCAATTACCTACTTTAAGTGAGTAATCACTAATAATTAAGCCATTCTTCTCACTTCTCAATGATTGAATTTCACCTTAATGACCATCAATTCATCATCATCATCGCCATCTAACTCGAGTAATGAAGTTGATTAGTGTGATAAATAAGTAAACACAACTCCTAGCCAGGTGCTCTTTTCTTATTGGAGATCAGTGGACTAGTGAAGTGGAATCGAACATCATGCTTCCTTCCACTTGAATCCAATTAGATTAGACTAGACTAAGATTAATGGGTTGGCTATAGATTGTTTAGTAGATAATCAAGGCATCGTATAAACTATAAAGTCTCTATTTTTCATGGATTTTGAGTAGAAAGAAGCCTCCAACCTACTGTCCAAAGAACACTTTCTTCAGCTAGATCTGTACCCTTTCCCCTGTTTTCTGTGAGAATTGCCAATGCTTTATTATCTGACTTGAAGACTGAGAAACAATCAAGGTGGCAACTGAGGGAAGCACGTGCGAGCGATGCCGATGCCGCGGCCGCCGCGTCTTTTTTCAGTCATGGCGGTGCGACGGCGACGACGCGGCCTGCTGGTGGACGGTGGTTTCGCACGTGCCCTCCACTGGGATACGTCAAACAGACTTCTTCTAAGATATGTCATATTTTCTTCATTATGCCTTGCTGCTAAAGCAACCATTCATTGCACAAATTAATTTGATTATTACTTCCAACGCAAAAGCCAAAACTTTCATCAATCAAAACCGCCACCAACAACAAAAGAACAAAAATGGAGGATGAAAACGAAAGCAAAGTTGGGGAATTTTGCTACAGTCACAACTTTTCATTATCAAAATCGAGTCAGGATATCATTTTCTCTGCCATGTCATAGTAAAACAACTAATTAAAAGGGTATTAGAGGAGAAGGAAATAAAGTATAAATTAGCCTGTTTGTCTAGGGATGAACAACTTTGGGAAAAGTGAACGCTTTTAAAAAAGGAGAGAGAGTAAATAAACAATATGTAGTTTTAATTGTTATTAAAAAACGGGTGCGCTCTTATAAATTCACTAGATTCACCAGTTCGATAATGCAAGATCTAATAACGCCCATCAGAATCAAGTAAAAAAAATATATATTATATGAGTTTCAAAATGCGATAAAAGATAATATGATATGCTAGACAATCAAATTAATGTTATCTTTCCTATAAACATGTATAACGCGGACAAACGAAACACACTAAACAAAAACTGAAAATTGGAGTGGGGAAAAAAAGCATATATTAATGATCCGGATCTTCGTGGTTTCAAAGAAGTGTCGACTGTTGTTTCCAAAGGTTTTTTTTAGTGGTGGGGGTTTACATCATCATAAAGTTTCAGAAAAGGTCAAATTTCCAGCTTGTTTCCTTCTCACGGCTGACTAGGATCCAAACTTGCCGACGTGTAAAATGTTTAGTAAACCTGAAAATAGCCCAACTTCCTTGTTAGCCCAACTTGGCCACTTGGTCTCGGGTTCCCATGGGTGAAACTTGGTTCTTTTTTCTTGTGCCCAAAGGCCAAAACTCCCCAAAATTGGCACTGAAAAAGAAAATTTGCAAAATAAGAAGGAAAACACACACACAGAACAGATGAGTGAAGATATATCAGTGGCAAATGGCACGGTGCATCTTTTGCTATATTTTGTGTTGTGTTTTGGTGCGAGATCGCTTTATCTAGAGCTAACAGATTTGTGAATTAAGAGGTGTTTGTAATCTTCCTAGCTAGCCGGTCATTTGGGAGCACTCTGGTTAGGATAGACATGCGTTTTTGTGTGATTTTATGTTAGACGTCTTGTGATTGATTAAGTAACATGTTATAAAATAACAATATCTGTAAAGAAAATACACAGAATATTAAACATGTCGAATATTTGACACACTGAACATGACGACGACTTGCTATGTCAAAGTTTGTATGATCTATATGAGATATGACCAAGCTCCCGACCAATTCATTACATGAGCAAGTAAGCAGGATCCATTGGGGTAAGTCTAAGTGAGATTCTCTTTGTTTTCATAAACCCGACCAGTCGGAAGCTAAATTGAAAATTTTAGTTATTGGTTTAGGGTTCAGTGGTTAATCATTGTAAAATTATTGACTAAATTCATATAATTTATCACCAAAATATCTAAGGAATCATTCAAATTATTTCACAAAAGAAATCATAATAATTTTTAATTCAAGTTAGAAATTAAGGTGACAATTCGGCAGTGGACCACATAAAGCGGACAAGGAATTTGGGACACGCGAGGAGGAGGATGCAGAAATACAATTTGTAATTAAGGTTGGACGATCTTAGTTTACGTTTAAACTATATTTTTCTAATTTTTTTTTTTACGATTAAAATAGTGAACTAGTGGACCAATCAAACGGAAGTGGTTCATCTGATTTTATGTTGAACCGTGAAAAATCGTTTGGTCTATCACTAACCATCCAAACAAATAAACCTTACTAGTAACGCGTAACTGATTTGACGGTTCCACTAATCTAACCGTTGTTCCGCCTCGATTCATTGAAAATTCTTAAGCTCAATCTAAAATCAAACTAAACTTGAGATCGTCACTAAATGTGTACAACGCTTCAAGTTTTCCAAAATGTTTTCGAAACAAAATATATTTTCCTCGTGGGAAATATTTTAATTGATTACTACAAATGTTTACCATCTTCTTTCCAAACATTGTTTTTATATTGAATTCTAAGCAAGGAGATGTCTGGATAGTGAGTTTACAGGTATGAACAAGCCATTGATTGCGTGGGCGGTGTGAGGCCGAGCCGTGCCGACTTACTTGTTGATCAATTTGTTTTTAGCGCCAAGTTCATAATCTACAAATCCAGTTCAATAATAGCTGTTTCAGTTCAGTGAGAACTCAAAAAGATTCCAGATTTTGACATTACTGCAATCAATATTATTATTATTATTATTATTATTATTATTATTATTATTATTATTATTATTATCCTATTGGATTATACTAATCCCAGCTTACATTTAACATAGTTGTTCAGATCCATTTGCATGCCAAATAAGAAGGAAGAAAAGTTCATGAATTTGCAGAAATTATTATTCAGTTAAAATAAGCGCGACAATAGAATCGAGTTGAGTGGAGTCACATTTTTGTTTGGCGCGAGTTTGGTTTGCTTGTTAATTGCTGAGTTCGACCTCGATTCGCGAGTTCGAAGCATGTTATGACAAGCGAGTGTGAGTTTGACTCGGATTAAAATGATTCAATTCGAGTTTAACTCGGTTCGACTCGGTAAATGCCTGTGAATAGAGGTTGTGGAGTCGAGCACAAGTTTCAAGTTGAGATGAGCTTGGCTAGAAATGTTATTGTTTAAGAGGTGACAATATGAGATCATTAGTAGTGTTTGTAAAAATATTGGAAAAAAAAGTAGATGACAATATGTAAAAAAGACAAGCAAAGTTAAATAATCTGTACACCATCAAACCAATTTTCGACCTATAAATGAGTCAGTTTACGAATCGTTGAGTTGAGTCAACTTGCAAGCTTTACCACTTGGACAAATCTAGCTCAAACTTTAATTAAGCAACGAGTCCAATTTCGTGGGGTTAATTGCAAGGATGGTCACTGGGTTTACTTAAACCGTTCATGTTTGGTCACTACAAATATTTAATTCCATTAATAGTCACTAAGATTAGTTCAATAGTTCAAGTTTGGTCACTCTCCGTTAGTCTCCGTTAGTTTTTGCTGATGTGGCAGTCAACTATTATAGTTGACCGTTAAATGAGTAACGTGGCCAATAATAAAATAATAAAATAATAAAATTTAAATATTTACAATTTCCACCTCATTTTACAACTATTAAAAAATAAAAATAAAAATAAAACTTAGAATCCTATTCCATCAGCCGCAGCAGCAAGACGCGAATCGTGGCGCTGAAGAAGAGGTTCAGCTACCTGAACCCTAAGAACCCGGAGGAGCACAAGCGCTGGATCCTTCACGAGTGACCAAACTTGAACTATTTATTGGCCACGTCACTCATTTAACGGTCAACTATAATAGTTGACTGCCACATCAGCAAAAACTAACGGAGACTAACGGAGAGTGACCAAACTTGAACTATTGAATTAATCTTAGTGACCATGAATGGAATTAAATATTTGCAGTGACCAAACATGAACGGTTTTAGTAAACCCAGTGACCATTCTTGCAATTAACCCAATTTCGTGAAAAGAGAAAGTTAAAGAGGAATAATCAAAATAATTGACATAACGATTTCAGTTTAGAACAAGAAATCGTATATTAAAATTGGAGTCGTCAGCAATTAACAAAAATTAACTAAAATTATTACTCAGATACTTAGCAAGAGACTCAAGAATGCAACAATTTTCACCTATGAGAAGCATAACTCATCCAAACCCAAGCCAACTAGCCAAGTGGTTGAACAAGAAAGCAATCAACTAATCTTAAAACTTTGTTAATTCTTAATTGGTTTTGAAACTTATTTTAAAACTAAAGCTGAAAAGTAAAATGGGAATGAGAGTTTCGGTGGCAACTTGCTCCCTTTTTGCATTCATACAAGAGACTATAAATACCAACATGGAGGCTAACGAACCCAAAAACCGATTGCTGTTTCCTGGTAAATCGCCAGAGAGACCCAATTTTACAGCGCTCTCCTGCTATTGCTACTGCCTCCTCCGGCAGTTAGTGGCGGTGGTAGCAGCAGCAGGCGCCGCCTCTTCCTCCCGCCGGAATCCTCCACCATCTGCTCAACCATGATGGCCACCGCTTGCTCCACTTCCAGTTCCCTCATCGTTTTCAGAGTTCTTCCCCTGTTTCTGCTTCTTTCAGGTTCGTTTCTCAAAATGGAAAGAAAAAGACTTAGATATTCGCCCAACTTCCTTTCCCTCCCAATTGGGTTCTTCCTCTTCTGGGTTTAGCACCACAAAAGTCTCCAACTTTTTCCCTTCCCAAATCTTTCAGCAACGGTTTTTGTATATAGAACTTGAAGCCATCCATGTCTTCTGAATCTTGCTCAAAGAAAGAGGGCATCTTGATTTGATTCACTGTTTGCTCTATCTTGGAATTGGGAGTAGCATAATCTGCTTTTACTTTTCAGTTTCCAGTTTCATAATCTGCTTTCTTCCCCTTTCTCAGAGGCATTTCTTCGAGCACATGGCGCGGGTATGGGAATCAACTACGGCCAGATCGCCAACAACCTTCCCTCCCCTTCCAAAGTCGTGGGCCTCCTCCAATCGCTCAACGTCAGCAAGGTGAAGCTCTACGACGCCGATCCAAACGTGCTGCTCGCCTTCGCCAACACAAACGTGGAGTTCATCATCGGCATCGGGAACGAGTACCTTCAGAGCGTGCCCGACGCTGCCAAAGCTCAGGCCTGGATCGAAACCCACGTCAAGCCGTACATCGGGCGGACCAAAATCACCTGCATCACAGTCGGTAACGAGGTGGTCGCCGGCAACGACACTCAGCTCGTCAACAATCTCGTCCCAGCAATGCAATCGGTGTACAAAGCCCTCGTTAACCTCGGGCTAGATAAACAAGTCACAGTCACAACTGCGCATTCTCTCAACATCTTGGCCACTTCTTACCCACCTTCAGCTGGAAGCTTTAGGCCAGATCTAGCTGAAGTGATTCAACCTTTGCTGAGTTTCCACTCCCAAACTGGTTACCCTTTCCTCATAAATGCTTACCCTTTCTTTGCTTACAAAGGTAGCCCTGGTGAGGTGTCTCTAGACTATGCCCTTTTCGGGTCTAATAACCAAGGGATGACCGATCCTGTCACCAACTTGCACTATGATAACATGTTGTATGCTCAAGTCGATGCGGTCTACACTGCGATTAAGGCGATGGGGCATTCGAACATCGAGGTCAAGGTATCGGAGACCGGATGGCCGTCGAAAGGTGATGCCGATGAAGTTGGAGCTACGCCACAGAATGCAGGGTTGTACAATGGCAATCTGTTTAAGCGAGTTCAAGCCAGGCAGGGCACCCCGGCTAAGCCCTCGGTGCCTATTGATGTGCATGTTTTTGCATTGTTCAATGAGAACATGAAGCCTGGTCCTGCTTCTGAGAGAAACTACGGCCTGTTTTATCCTGATGGGTCGCCGGTTTATAACATTGGCTTCCATGGTGCTAATTACCTTCCTGAAGACACTGACATTGCTTATACTTCTGCATCAGGGATTAATGTAAGCTTATCCATCCTCTTTCTACATTTCCTGATCACGTTTGTGAAGAAAGTTAAATTGTTTGTTGAACTGCTTTACATTGTGTCTCTTTGCAGGGTTTTCCATTGTTCAGTCTGATAGTATTCTTGGTGGCGTATCTGATGTGTTTGTGAGAGCACTTCTTCGTACAAAAATGAGGGGAGAGGTCGCAAACGCTTCAAGATCGGTGAAACTGAAGTCCATACGACCAGAGGCGAAGAGGTGAGATTTCAGTTCTAACCTTACAATCTCTCAAGAACCTGAAAAGTAGGCAACTTGTTTACTTTGACCTGTGTCAATGTGTTCATCTCAGAAGATGCTTCTTTTTCTAAAATATTCCTTTTTAGCTTCCCAGCCCGTTCAAAACCTAGATGACAGACCTATTTACCTGTTTAAAGACCTCATCAATCCATTGTTTTTGAATCCTGTTGACTTGATTTACTGTTGAACCTACACTCATAAGGAATATGTTGCACCTAAATTTCACCGGTCCAGTTCCAGGAAAGGGCAGCTTGGGAGTTATTTTTTTCAGTTTTTTATTACCACAAGATATGGTTCCTGATGGGCTCTCCATCTCTTTCCTTATCGCCAACTTGCAATTATGCATGTCAAACTGTAGAAAATTCTCTTCTGTCTTAAGCTTCACAAAAGTCCAAGTTAGCACCCATCACCCTTGCAAGAAAAGCAGCCCAGTTTTAGCCACCCCCTTCCCCACCATATCATTTTCCATACATTTCTTTACAGAATGCTGGAAGTCTCCAAATTTGATTCTCTCATCTTTTCTTTTGTCTGCATGATAAATGAGCTACCACATCACACCAACTAATGTTAAACAATTAACATTAGAGGGATTAATCTAGTACAAAAAATCAGAGTCCAACTTGTCACCTTACCTGACCTACTGTATTTTTCTTTGATTATGCTACCTGAATACCCGACTTTGTTGACATTTGAGACTCCTTTTGTTTCTTCGCTTAAAAAACAGTAAACACCCACTTTCTTGGTTCTTCATGAATCATGATATGATAGGTTTGGTGGGTTTGAACCAATAGGATATAGTATCTGGTTACCCACCACCAGAAACCATGTTTAAGATATTTTCTTGTTGCTCTCATTATAGATGTCCAGAAAACGTGTCTAACATCAATTTGATGCTCTTGAGCGATGATGTATTTAGTGGGGGACTAGTGGTTTGCTTTCAACATCATTGTCCACCTTCCACCCTGGATTTTTAACATTTCCAAATACACCATCCTTGCTTAAATCCCTAATGGCCCCGCTCAGCACACACATATATAGGAAGATAACATTGACAGATAATCTGGTCCCCCCAGAAAACCTTTCCACCATTCGTCCTCTTGAAAAAGCGACTGCTAATCCACCCTACAGCATCTCACTATCCTGGAGCTTTCTCTGAGTTGCTATCATCTATTCATCTCTTTGCTTTCCAGCTGTGTATAAGTTGTGGTCTAGGTATGAAACCTGCTTGGTTCTATGCAATTGCAACTGTGGTGCTAACCGCGTTGGATCCTCATCCAGCTGCATTCCTAGCCGTTGGATTGATGCTATTGTGTTCATTTACAAAAACGATTTCGAATTCGATTTAACGGTTTAGAATGCTCGTGATGATGATCCAACGATGTCAGCGAAGTAGCCATGTTTGTTTTCTGAATGTATCTAGTCTCTAACCTGGGAATTTCTGCTGTTCTTCTCTGTTTTGTATTGCAGGAGGAGGAGAAATTGGGAAATGGAATTATAGGAAGATATGGAATTTTGAGTTGTTGATTTAGTTATAGTTATTGTTTACAGATAGATTAAACATATACCACACCAGATGTACAAAAAAAGCCATAGAAATCAATAAAACTTTAGACACTTCCAGCAGAACCCACTAACATACTTGCTATAGGAATTTTTGGTCTTCCTTCCTTCCTTTTCCACTTCTTAATCATAGTTTTTCTTCTTCTTAGTTTATTTACTTGTAGAAGAGAAAGGTTATGGGAGATTCATTTGAGACCATATGGTTGCGGGAAAAACTGGAAAGTATTGTCCTTTCCTTTCTTTATTTGATTTTGTTGGTCCAATAATGAAGAGATTACATTACTGCAGGCTTTCCATGAAAAGCAGCAGAGATTAGCTTATACAGAACTTCTGATATATTTCTCGGATCTTGGATCTGTGATCTAAATTGAGCGAAATTCTCCGTCAAATACTGGAATCCCCATGTTATATTGTGCACAACAAGGAGAAACCCAACGATCAGCCACTATCGTTGGTCTTGAATCTTGATCACATGGATAATTTTTGTAGACAACTGTTGCTGCGAGGAAAATAAGTGCAACTTAAAATTGAAGCTATATGATTATATATGTTGTGAAGTTTTATGTTGAACTTATATATGATAGGCATTTTCTAAATCACATGTATCATTGATTTAATCTATCATTAATTCTAACGGTCAACGGAAACACGAAGACACAATAAATTTTGATCATCATTCAAATAAAACAGTATTATCATTTCCGAAAAGTTTGTGCTAAAAATGACACTTCTTACAAACTTTGGGTGTTCTAATGATATTTGATTTTCGGGTAAATTGCAAGGTTGGTCACTAAAAGAGCTAAATTATTCATGTTTGGTCACTAAAAGAATTTTATTCCATTTGTAGTCACTAGAAGTGCTTAAAATTTCACGATTGGTCACTCTCCGTTAGTTTCCATCTGTCTCCGTTAACACCGTTAATGTTTGTCTACGTGGCTAACACCAATGTTGATTCACCCAATTTAAACCTGCCATGTCATATAATTCGGTCCGCCACGTAAGAAAATCCCCACACCATCCAACCAAATCACATAACCCGACCCTGCCTCTCCTCTTCTTTTTCTTCCAAGTGAAATCTCCATCTCAGTTTCATATTCTCCTTCTGTTGCCACCTCATCAATCATCACCGTGGGAGTTTCTATTGGATGAGAATCAGACTTGGTCTTAGATAGATTCAACAAATCTCTCTCAACCACAATATGAACAACTAGACCCATCTTGAATTGAGCGGAGAAAACAATTTTTTCCCCTTTTGGCCAAAACCCAGAGCAAGCCAAGATTGGGAGCTCTTGAGGTTTTGCTGACGCAGGAGGAGGAAAGATTCAGGAGCACGGCATACCACGGTTGGGGATCTGGTCTGCGATTAAGGATCCATAGAGGCGATCTTCTAACGATTTACCAATGGTGGTGGAGGATTTTCTTGTAGATCTTCTTCTTGGCCAGCCGTAGCTGCTTTCTTCTCGTCTTTGCCTCTTTTAAATCTTTTGGGAAACCTAGATACTGAAACGTTTGATCTGTGTTTGTGATGATTCGCGACACTCGTCGGGATGGCATAGCAGCTCCCCGTGCTCATGTTCACCCAGTAGAATATAGATCTGTCGACGATGCCTGCGGATGAGATGCAGAGGTGTACTGTGGGTTCAGCAAATTTTGTTAGTGTTGCGATTCGATGACTCTAGTACAAATTCAAGTAGTGCCTGGTGATGATTAATGAATCGCCGAGCTGAGAATGGGAGAAAAGAGAGCTGCAAGTGGATTTAGGGTTTCAAGTGGGGTGGAATAGAGGAAGAAGAAGAGGCGTGATGAAGAAGAACAAGGCTGGTCCTGGACTAATTTTGCAGAAAAGGGTAGAGGAAGAGTCTAGGGAAGAAGAAGATGGATCGAGAAAAGTAGCCCTTTTTTCTTCACTTTTAATTTTATTGGCTTGTTCTTAGGTCAACCCGTATCATGGGTTGGGTTGACGGGTCGAGTCTCCTTTTTTTCGAGTTATATTAGGCTGACTTGGCAACTCTGTTAGCTACCTCAGCAGATAACGGACTCAGTTAGCAGAGATGGATGGAGACTAACGGAGAGTGACGAATCGTGAAACGTTAAGCACTTCCGGTGACCATGAATGGAATAAAATTCTTTTAGTGACCAAACGTGAATATTTTAGCACTTCCAGTGACCAACCTTGCAATTTACCCCTTTGATTTTCTTAACTAACTCTCCTCCGTCGACCGTCCTCCTCCGCATCTTCCCCATCCCAAAGATCGCATCTTTCCCCTTTCTAATCCGCCGCCGCCCACCTCCCAATTGCCGTCGCCGGCTCTCCGCGTACATCCTCCTACCTTATAGTAGCAGCGATACTGTCACCCGCCATAAATTCACAGTAGGTAAGCAAATTTTTTTTTTTGCGTGTATCGCTGCTACTATACGATACAGGAGGTTGTTGGTCCTGATTCCCGACTGAGAGATCCGAAGAATTAGAACGCAAATCAAATCCAGCAAACAGTTCCCGGGAATGGAAGAAAAATTACTGATGTGCCATCGCCAGCAAGAAAAGGCAGCCACCACCACCAAGGCAATCAAGCGCAGCAGCCACAAGGCCAAGGCCGCGACTTCTGCTTCCCGCGGCAAAGCGGCGGCGGCGGAGTACGGCTGTAGCTGCTGTCTGTGCTGCGTGTCGTGCCCGCTCTCCGTGATTTGGTGCTGCTTCAAGTTCCCCTGTGAGGTCGGGATCAAAGCTGCGCGATCTGCGAAGCGGCAGATAATGAGCAGTGGTAGTGGTGGTGGTAGTTGTTGGTCTTGCGGAAAGAAACGTTATCCCTCTGGGCCCTACTATTCTTCCTCCTTCTCCGATATCGATTTTCCCTCGCCGTCGTCATGAAATTGGCCCACGATTTTCCAATAAGTCGAGTTTGTAGATTTGGATTCAAATTTGTCAGTTACGTGTTTTACTGGTTTTGGGCGATCAATCAGTCTGCTCCAGGGAGCTGTCATTGTAGTTCTGCTTGTTCTGTGGCCAAATAATCAATAGGGCTTGTTATAAATGGCTCTATTGGCTCATGCTCGGGGTTCCTTGACATTCTGCATTGTTGTTACAAAGTAGCAGCACTTTGGTAGAGCTCATTGAAATCTAGGGTGTGATGATGTGAGCTCATTGTTTCTTGTTTAAGCTTTTATAGAATCTATTTTTTTGGAGAGAAGACAGGATTGTCATTACCAGACCAATTAAGCCTTCTCCTGACAGATTCTCTCGTGTTCTTACAGCTGATTTGGGCATTGGGGTTGGGAAGGATGAAGCAGAGTGTGTTTGGAACTTTCATTAGGTGGTTTGCAACTAAGCCAAAGCCGAAAATGAAACCTATAGAGCTGAAGGACCCACCCGAGCAAACCCAGACCATAACGAGAGCGATTTTCAACGTCGTGAAGGAACACGGCCCTCTCATTGTTTCAGAAACCTGGGAAAAGATCCAGGTAGGAAAAAACTTGTCTCATTTTCTTTACTTTCCTTGATCAGTTACATTTTCACTCTGCAGACCTTTTAAAGGTTTGTGTTTTATGTGGGTTTTCTTTCATGATCTGTAACCTGAGAGTTCACGAAATTCTGCAGGAAGTTGGTTTAAAAGGGTTGACAGGGAAAAGGCACATGAAGATAGTACTGAGATGGATGCGGGAGAGGCAAAAGATTAGGCTCATGTGCAATCACGTCGGACCTCACAAGCAGTTCCTTTACACAACTTGGTTCACGAAATCTCTCATTAGGCCAGTCAGGCGGCCACCAACCAATCCTTCACAGCCTAAGTTCCCTTGAGAATTTCCACAAGTAATTACAGCCATGGAGGTTTTAGGTCCTCCAGAGCACAGTCTTTCTTTAGGAATTGTCTTGTTGAAGGTTTCTGTAACATTCTTGTTATTCAAGCCAAGCTGTATGTACAGAGAAGAATGTTTGAGCACTAGCTAAGTTCCTTCTCAATTTTACAGGTCCATCTCGTACAAATTGAATAGATAACTACACACTATAGTCTACATATATGCGAAGAAACAAATGAACAAACAAACAAACAAATTGAATTCCGAAACGGGCTGGCAATTCGTCGGTGGAGGTATCAGAATCAATCGTATGCCACTAGGAAGGGTAGGACCGTGGACATGAACTCGTCATAGTTGAAAGTTGCTTGACCTACATAACGCTTATCCTTCTCCTTGAACTTCTCTGTTAATCCCTTCAAAATCAGTCCACATCTGCAAGTTGAACCAGAGGAAGGAAATGAAGAGGAATTAGATCTCTAGTTCCCCAATTCAGGGAAGAAAAATGTTCAAGAACTGGCACTTCGATAAAGAGCAGGGGAACTTACTCGACAAAACTATCGAAACCAAGTTCAATCTTCCTGCCACTTCCATCATCATACTTGGACATGAGTATTTTAAGAACAGAAGGTGGGACTGCATATCCTAGCCCGTAAAGAGCATCCCTCAGTTCGAACAGATCAATCTTCCCACTCCTGTCCCTATCGTATCTATCATATATGGCCTGTAAACAATACGCGAGATTTTAGTTTACAGTGCCAAGAACATCTCAATCCAACTCATTGCAGAAGTTCAGCAGAGACTACGTTGGCTAAATGAAGCTTTGACTTTCAGATAACCAGAGAAGGCAAGAAGAAGAGATCACTTTTTCACAAATCAAGAAGCAAATGCAAGAAAACAGTAAACCAGGAAGAAGAGTACTTACCCGCCATTGGCCGAGACAACTCCAGAGAGCTGCAAATTCTTTAGGCCCTGAATCACAAAAGGAAACCCGTTCAACCAACATTTCCAAAAGTTCGGTCGAAATTGCAGAAAACCGATTGAATATGCTAAAGCAAAACTATGTTGGAAACTAGTAAAGGTTGGAACTTCAGAGAAAAGTAAGTTAATCAGAGAGATTCGAAATACATATGCAGAAAAGGGCTATGTACCAATTCGAAGAGCATCGTGGGGATTCTTGAAGAGAAACATGAGCAACCTAATAGTCCTGAGGTTAAACCTCTGATACCCAGAAGAGAGAGCTCGTTGCAGCTCCTTCTCATCAATATACCCGCTTCGATCAACATCCACCATCTCAAAGCTCCTAATCACATCCGGATGGGTCCCCGGCGGGAAACCCGAGTACCCCGTTGGAGAACTGCTCTGCCCCTGCCCCTGCACATACGCCGGCGGGGGCTGGTGATACTGCTGCTGCTGCTGATGATTCTGGTGAACTCCATATCCACTAGACTGCGGCCGAGAGCTTCCATAGGAACGGCGATCGTCTTCTTGCCGACTGTAGGATTCCGGCAAGGAAGGCGCCGACGGCGCATAGGACTCGGAAGAGTATGATCGGCCGTAAGACGACATTAGGGAAATTGGGTAAGTTGAGGATGGAGGAATCAAAAGAAAGAACGATTTATAGACTTGGGTTTCGGTAAAAAGGCTTGATGGACGAGTGTTCTAGTTTGAGGGAATTGGGGAGAAAAGATGGGACGTGACGATGGCGATTAGGCCATAACTGATAAGGATGGAGAATCGATGGCGAAATGTGCTTAATGTGAGGTTAGTTTGGTTTTGTGGGGCTTTTGACGTGTAGTAATTGCTTGGATAGGAAGAGTAGCGTGGAAGGAACGGTCAAAGGGTCGGCAGGGTTTTATGGCGACGACCGGGGAACGAGAGATGGCGGCGGCCGGAAATCCCTCCTCTGGCAGCTTTTTCTGGGCAGCTTCCAGCTGTTTTCCGATGGAAACCGTATTAAATACGCAATGATCGAGAAAGGGCCCAATCATTTCCCTGGGCCGACAAAAGAGACCCAGTTCTCAGAAAAAAAGCCCAATCCAGCAGATGAACAGAGCCCCCAGAAACCATTTTGACAAATGGCGGGAAATCAACGGCGATCTTACTGCTCTCGCGCCACAACTTAATTTCCAATGCTCCAGCCCTAATTGATTCTCAATCGCGTGTGTTGCCGCAGAAGAAAACCCACTCCGTCCGTCGGCAACAGAGCTCGGCGCCGATTGATCGAAGAAAGGGAGAAAGGCGATTAAGCCGTGGGGGAAATGGAGAAAGTGGTGCCGGAGGTGGAGGAGCTCCCAAAGGCGATGGTCCGGCGAGTTGTGAAGGACGCGCTCTCACAGTGCTCTCCAAACGCCGACTTCAACCTCCATAAGGAATCACTGCTCGCCTTCTCCGAGAGCGCCCGCATCTTCATCCACTACCTTTCCGCTACGTAAGCCCAGCTCCTTGCACAATCTCAGCTTTCATTAACTATTGAGAAATTCAATTTTGCCCCTTTCCCATTTCAGAATCTAGGGTTTCGATCACAGTAAAATAGAGACTAGGGCTTTTGCTTGCTTTAAAATCTCGACTTTGGTAGTAAGGCGGGGGGTTGTTGTGTGTGGATTTTCAGGGCTAATGACATTTGCAAGGAGTCCAAGAGGCAAACTATCAATGCAGAAGATGTCTTGAAAGCGCTAGAGGAAATCGAGTTCTCCGAGTTTGTTTCCCCTCTCAGAGCCTCTCTAGCTGGTTAGTCAAATTACGAGGTTTAGTTCGCTTGCATTGCCTTTCAGTTCGATTTATCGACCTTGTGTCAATTAATCATGGAGGGACGAGATGCTAAGAGAAGTGATTACAAAACCCTTTTCTGGACAAATGATGTATGTTTCTGGGTTTGATCCTTCTTTCCAGAGTTCAAGAAGAAGAGTGCGGGTAAAAGGGCAGCTGCAGCAACAAAGGAAAAGGAAGCAAAGAAGAAGAAGAAAGCGGAGGAAGAAACACCATCAAAGAAAGCTGCAAATCAAGCCGAAGAACAAGGGGAGGAGGAGGTTGCCAATGATGATAATAATGCTTCTGATGGTGATAATGAGTAATTAGGATTAGTGCCAGTTTTACTGCATCATGCTTGGTGTTATCTAGTTTGTAAGCAATCTCAGCAGCTCAAAGATGTCAGTTCATTGATTCTGATAACGAGTTCTAAAGATCAAGCTGTAGTTGCTACTTATTACTTTCAATGAGATGAGAAAGAATCAAGTAAACTTTGTTTTGGTTCCAATGCAAATGCAATAGAACTGATTCAATCCAATTGTAGCATTGCATCATTACATTTGAATTCCAAAAGACCAAGAACAGCTTCTGGGGGGCACTACAAAAGTCAAAAGGAAGTTTCGAATGAACCAAGCAATGGGGCATAAGTTATCGAGCATGTACAAACAACTCAGTAACATAAATAAAACCTGAGCTTTGATTGTGCTTGCCGAAAAATCACAAAGACTAGGGCTCTAACTCTAATTTGACGAGAATAGTAAAACAGAGCAATAGGAGAATGTGATCCAAAGGAAAAACAACACTAAATGTCAGTAAGGTCGGAATCTGCGACTGTAGCTGCTGCCGTCGGTGTTATGCTTACCCCGGCTGGGATTACCACCACCACTTCTGTTCCCCCTGCTGCCGCTGCTGCTGCTACTACTTCTATTATTTGCTGATAGATGTGAAGGCGTCATATGATGAGGCTGTAAGCCCGGCTGTTGCCTATGCAAAGAAGAATTTCAAGTCAGCTCAAGTTGAATTGCAAGGTTATCTAGAAATGATAAAGACCGAAATTATTAAGTGGGATAGTGGATAGAGTGGATGAGGCTTACAGAATGTATCCAATTTGGCCATCAGGTAGAAGCATTGGCATCATCGCCATGCCAGGAGGAGATGGTGCACCGCCATAATACAATGGCTGCATAAAGTACAAACCATCATCATGGGAAGAAAAAACAGAAATGGTTTCTCAAATAGACAATTAATTATAATGCTCAAATCTGTTATTTCTGTTAACTGGAATAATGAATTATACAGGAAGCTGATTCGGGATTCAGTTAAACAATTGTAATAATAGTGACAGCTCAGCCAGCTAAAGGATGATACATTATTGATAGAACACATCAAGGAGAGATTGCAGAAATTCAGACCTGCGCAAATGGGGAAGCACCATATCCTGCAGCAAGAGAGCTATATGCAGCAGCTCCACCCAAACCATAACCAGCAAAGGGTGGGAAACTTGGAAGAATACCAGCATTCTGAATGTTTGAAAGACCAACAGCTTTCTGATCTGCCTGTGGTTTTGCTAGAGAGCACTCCAAAGTTTGGCCTGATGATCATAATTAACATAAGACTATATTTACCACCTTCAATTGCTTTTTTATAACATATCTAGGTAGAGATGATTACCATTTAATTCATATTTTTCAGTGCTATTCAGAGCTTTCATAGCACTGGACCTGTCTGCATAATGAACAAAACCAATTCTATTGTTCTCCTGTCCCAGTTTGGCTGGTGGCAAAACCACCTTTGTGATTTGTCCATGATTGTCAAAAAGGTTCTTCAGCTGATCTTGTGTTACATCTTTTGGTAAATTCTTAACATATAATGCCTTGACCTGGAGAAGAGAACCTGATGTTAGACCAATACTAAGTTCAGGCAGCAAGTTATCTTACAAAACATGGAACTAGTTCTTGAAAATGGAAAAACTTGAGAGTAAAGAACAGTGATTCAGCCAATAATACTGGTTTCATGGTGCAGTTATAATGATTAAGGATGAGCACTGAAATAGACTTGACTACAAGATAACTTTACACTGTATCCTAATAGAGTCGCAAGGGTAAATCATAGTATCATACAATTGAATGCTCTATTACGAAAACCATGCCATTCATAGTCCAACGGTACAAAATGTTCATTCATAACCTGAGTAGCAGCTGCAGAATTGGTGCTCCTAGAATCAGCCCAGCTCACAGTTGGTGTATTATCACCTAGTTTAAACTTTGGATCTGACATCTTTTGCCTTGAATATTCAGCACATGCATTGTTATGGTATTCTAGGAAACCAAAACCTCTGTTGTTGCTGATGTTCTTTGTATCCTGTAACCCAAGATTTACACAAAAGTTAACTTAATAGTAGAGCCACACAGCTACCTACTCCAGCAGAAATCCTGACTGATACTGACCTTCACCAGTTGAATGGCATTAACTCCAGGTCCAACCTCTGTCACAGCCTTCCTTAACTCTTCTTCTCCCCAACTTCTAGGAATATTTCCAAGGAACAATCGGTGCTTAGCTTGAGATGTTGAACACTTAAGTTTCGAACCCTAATTGAGTGAGGGACAAAAAAAGAGCGTAAGCATCAGTTGAAACGATTATCTTCTTATCAGGGTAATCAGAAACGACAAAAAAAAAAAAGTAAGTAAAAGCTTAAAATAAACGGCCCAAACATTAAATACTTAAATCCCATACTTAGAAAACAATCCAGCTATATACGGTGCACAACACCTGGTAACTAAGTTACTTTGCTCATACATTTGCTTCCTTCAGATAAAAATAGCCACATGCACAAATATTCAGATACTAACATCGGTTAGGATCAGTAAGATTAAGAACCTGCACCTTGAATTCAGAATAATTCAGCTCCTTGATGGCTTTTGATGCGAAGTCCACACTTGTAAAGGTCACGAAGGCAAAAATCTTACTGTCGGTTAAATTCTTTCCTTTCATCATACGTACCTGCATAATCACAAAAGGATGGTCAAAAGTCTATTTATCCTCACAAAATGAAGAGAATCGGAAATTTTCAGGCTCACCTCATAAACATCTCCTATAGATTCACAAAAACCTCTTAATTCCTCCTGCGTGGTATCCTGAGGAATGCCACCAATGTACACTTCAGAACCATGAGGTGGGAGGGCAAGAAGTTCAGCATGCTTCTTCTTTTCATCATTGTTTTCACTTCTTGTCCCACCACCATGATTAGCAATATCATTGTTATCATTGTCTGATTCTTCTCCTTCCTCCTCCACCTCTATTTCCTCCTCTACATATTCTTCCACTTCTTCTTCTTCCTCAACTTCCTCATATTCAACCTCTTCATCCATAGCCTCCTCAGGATCATTGTCTTCATTTAGATCAATTCTCTCATCAGAGTCAACGGGTTCTCCTTGGTTGGGAGCTGCTGATGCATTGCCCCCCTCAGTTGGCATCTTATATTTTTAAAATAGGCAAGCTTGGAAGAGAACTGTGAAGATGTACATAGGCGAGAAGAATTCAAGGGAAGAATCATATGCATATTGATAGGAGGAAAGAATATGAAAGGGAAAAAGGTTTTCATAGTGTACGATTTTCAACAGAGCATGAGAGATAAGAATTGGGTTGGTTGCAATGTAAATCAACTCTAGTGAAGGAATCGTGATAACATTACTCATGGTACTTATAGAGATAGGCAAAAGAGATTTCAGAATAATGATTCTAAGGGTTACGAAGGCGGGCAAAGACATCAAGAAAATGTATTTTCTTGAAATCCGAACGTGAACACTGCCCAAAAAGGGAACAAGTTTAATCATTAAACAGGTCTTGTAGACAGAAAACATAACATATAGCAACTCTTAATAAATGACTAAATTACACTTAAACAACATCAACAAAAAAAGGATATAGGCATAATAATAATACAGACACTGGCATATCAAATTTTGAGGGAAGTGTGACCATCTTACTAGTCAATTGCTGAAATAGAAAGGTCTTTCCCACCTGATAGTTACGCGGTTCAAAAACAGCACAATAATTTCTAGCACCCTCAGAAGGTTAAACCATAAGACAAAAGGCCGGATACATGTAACTTAAAGATTATTTGTCATGTTATGTACCACGTGGACTTGGATAACGTTCAGACAACTTCCACCATGGTGAAAATTAACTAACATTCTATAAGATTAAGGAGAGACGTCTAAATATTTGCGGTGTTCAATAACACTATTACTGATGGAACGTGGATCGAACTAATTGTCATCAAAAGTTCAAAACGATAGGCAGGTCAGAACATACATATTATGTAAATCTCTAGGAAAAGAATGATTCTTAGGAGTCAAGAGTTTTGTCGAATGACAATACATCCTCTACGATGCTCATTTTCCTGAACCTGGTTATCTGAGTATTCTAGCTTCATCAAGTAGTTCTGCCACCTTGGATTCGGTTTAGAGCTTCACTTTCCTTTTCTTACTATTTCCAACTTCCAAGAAATAATTACGCTTAACTGTTCAATCATACTGATGAAAAAGTTTTTCCTAATATTACCCTCCAACATACCATCCTAACAAGGTTTACTCAATCAACAAGTATAAACTAGAGACGACTACGTCGTGCTGCCATCAAACTCTAGCATCCTCGCACAAGAAGCCTAACCTCAGCAGGGCCTCTTTTCAGCCTAGATATATTGTTCACTGTATTGTTTCCCAAGGCTCTCCTTATGAACCCCTTCCAAGTAACTGCCAGCCATGAACTAAAGACATTAAACACAGGAACCCATATTCACCTATTACATAAAACAGCTACCTTGCTCACCAAATCACCCAGAAACAGCCCAATTACAGCAACATACAAATAAACACCCAAAATTGACACTGGGTACAAGAACTAAGAAGCAGTGAGCCCTATAAATACTCCACGACAAAGGAAAAACGGGAAGGAACAACGAGCAAACCTTCCATTTTTATGGTCCGGTTAACTCTACTCCATTCATTTGCGGCATTGTGAATTATTAACCATATTTCATTAACAAGTTTACAAGTTACAGTTCTGGTGGAGGGAGGGAGGTCAAAACTAGCGCCTAAGTCCTTTGAAATCTTCCAAGTTTTATTCATGAATTCGCCGCGAGCGGGAACGATTCCATACAAGCACTCAGTTTTGGGTCCATTACTTGATTCTCGAATCACCCAATTGAAACACCCAATTGAACAAGGAAACATAATAAAAAATTTGTACCCGCCGCGCTCAATTAACAGAAGAATGGAGAGGCAGGAAAATATCAAATTGGGCAAATGCTGAAGGAGAGAAATCAGAGAGCGGCAGAGAGAGAGAGAGAGAGAGTACCAGAAGATGAAGAGAAGAAGGTAAAGCTCGGAGCTTTGCAGGACAGCGAAAGGGAAGGGAAGCGAAATTGGAGTGTAATGATTGAAACGAGAGAAGAGAGAGTTCTTCTTCTTCTTCAATTTGAGGAGGATTTCCTGCTCTCGCCCTAATTTTGCGTGAGTTCAGTAAGAATGGATGGAAGTACAGAAAATGTCATTTTTACTTCTGAACCTCATTCAGTTAGCGTGAAAAAAAAAATTTATGTAATTTTCTTCAGTTTTTTTATGGTTTATTTTCATGTTGTTTATCAAAATACTTAATCTGAATCACGCAGATAAAATATTAATATATGATAATTGATTGTCACCAAGCTTCATCACTTGTTATTTTTATTAACAATGTGCAATTTCTCATTAATTACTCTTTGAGAATGTATTAATAAATCCACAATTGCTATATGAGAAGTATGGGTGGCCAATTAGTAGACATATCTTGATCACCCCAATTTGGGTTATGAGAGATAGGTTGTTGGGTTGCGAATATAAACAATCAAAATGAGTTTGGTTTTTCGACTAACCGTGAGAAGTTTTAATATGTTTTTTAGTGATTAAATTCGATAAATTTTTAATTAGTTTTAACACATTAAGATCGAAAATCATTAAGAGACCATCAATAATCTGAAACCCCATACCTAACAAAACAAAAGCATTTGGAGGTTTAAACGATTTTTCACTTTGTTCAAACCAAAAATGGACCACTAGAAATACTCATCGATTTTTTAATGAACTATTGCCCTTATTATTTTGAATCGATTGCAATAGACATGACTTATTGGTTTTTAATATTTGTGGTTAACAGTTCAACTAACCAAATCGAAATTTTGTACCACCCTTAGTTACAATCTCGCTTTCAAAATTGTTGTCAAACCGAGCCAAGGATACGAGCCTCGCCTCCTCTGATTTCCTCACAAAGTAACCCAGTCTCCATTGATGAATCATCTTAATTTCTCCGTTGAGTTTGGAGTTAACACTTCCTTAAGTTTCCACTACTTTGAATGATTGTTTTGTTAGGAATGACAATGTGAAATAAAGGTGTAATTATGGATCTCCTATGTGGCATAACTACTTGTTTAATTTGTGTCTAGGAATCCTATTTTATAGTGTATCAGGTAGTCACCACATCTCATCAACTCACATCATTATTGACATTAAATATGGTGATCGATCTTAGTTTAACTTTAAGCATATATACACTATTGCTCCATGGAAATCTTAAATACATGAAAAAGGCTTTGTTTTCAAGACAATTAAACTTGCAATATCAAAATAACACCATTGACGCTCCATATGTGTGTGATCAGCATTGAAAATTACGATACAACATCTCATTAGTTATTAATTGATTATCAAAATGTGTTGCATTAAATAACTAAAATACGATTTTTTGATGATGAACTAGGTTGTCAATTAGCTAGACTACCTTGCACATAGTCTGGAGTCCATTGGCTCATGCGGATGCAGGACATAGTAGAGCTCTGGGTCTCATTTAAATAAATAAAAAAATATATATACCAATTAACACGGTACCGAAAGAGGCTGCGAAAACTAGAAGCAAAACAAGTCTCGTTTGCTATACTAACTCTGAAACTAGAAAAGAGCCGAGCCATAACCCGAAAGACCAACCCCTAAATTCACCAGAATGATCGAAATCTAATATATAACAATCACTAGACAAAAATTCTCCTTCACCAATGAATTATTTATCAGAAAAATGGTCACTACCTATGTACAATGACTAGAAAAAGACCTATAGTGGGAGAACGTGGAAATGTGAAAAAACTGATGGAACCATGAAAAACAAGAACCGAAGGAAGAAGGGTCGTCACTTTCCACACCACTTCCATTCCCCATCATTCTCATTCTACAACGGGCAGCTGGTGGTAGCTCAATTCCAAATCCCCCCCACCACAATTAAATTTTTTACCTTTCTCCCTCTCTGTGTCTCTGTCCTGTTTCTCCTCTTATCTGTTTCCGGATTGATTAAAGTCCTCTCCTCACACTCAATTATCTGAGTCAATACCTTCCACCCTCTGTCTCGTTCCGTATGTCTGCATCATCCGTCGCTGTCTCTTTCTCCTTCCCCCCCTCCTTCTTCCCTTGTTCTCTCCCTTCTTTACAGATGTAAACACGGATCCATTGCAAGGACCCAAAACCCACCTTTCCTCTTCCTCGACCTCGGTTTGCTTTTTTTGCTCGCTCCCCACATCATAAAATATGACAAAGCACCAACCTTTATAGAAAACTGAGCAAAAGAATGCAGCCTAGTGTTAAGGAGAGGTTGAGGTTAGTCCACCTTTCTGCCTTATTCTTTCCATCCCCTGTTTCACTTCCTCTGTCTCTTTAAGCTGAAACGACTTCTTCCAGTTTCTCGCAGCTTGCTGCTGGGTCTGAGTTCAATTGGGTTTCTATGAAGCGCTTCTCCATTATATAGAGAGATCCGCTGGTTGCTTGTGCAGCACAATTCTGTTTTGGGGTTAGATTAAACAAATGGGGCCTTTTTGGCTCCGGTTTTGTATCTTCTCTTTGTGTCTGTGCTCTGTTTTCCATACCTCTGTTGGTATCTCTCAGCATGTCGGGCGTATATACCCTGGTTTTGAAGCTTCTCAGATGGGTTATGTAGAGAAGAAAGGCATTTTCCTTCTGTCACAAAACTCAACTTTTGGATTTGGCTTCTTCGCTACCTTGGACGACCACCTCTTCGTCCTTGTGGTGCTCCACATCAAGAGTTCCAAAGTTGTTTGGACTGCGAATCGAGGGTTATTAGTCAGCAATTCTGACAAATTTGTGTTCGATAGTAGTGGAAATGCTTCTCTCCATAGAGGGGGAGATGTGGTTTGGACTTCAAATACAGGGAGGGAAAGAGTTGATTCAATGGAATTGATGGAGTCAGGGAACTTGGTGTTGCATGGTGAGAATGAAAGTGTTCTTTGGCAGAGCTTTGGCTACCCAACAGATACCCTTTTACCAGGGCAGGAGTTTGCAGAAGGAATGAACCTCAAGAGCTTTCCCAACAAGAACAATATGTTCAATTTCCTTCAGATTAAATCTGGGGATCTGGTTTTGTATGCTGGGTATACAACTCCTCAGGTGTATTGGTCGCTCAGAAATGACAGCAGGAGAAGTAATAGAACTGTTGCAGGCCAAGTTCATTCTGCTTCTCTGGTTGGAAATTCATGGAATTTCTATGACAACAAGAAGTTATTGCTTTGGCAGATGAAATTCTCCAACAACTCTGATCCAAATGCTAGGTGGGCTGTGATCTTAGCCTCCAATGGAGGCATTGCTTTCTACAACCTTGAAGCTGGAAGGTCAGTTCTCCCTGAAACAACTAAGATCCCTCAGAGCTCGTGCAGTGTTCCTGAGCCTTGTGATCGATACTCTGTCTGTTTCTTCGAAGGCTGGTGTGAATGCCCTGCATCTCTCAACTCTCAATTCGGGTGTAGGCCTCCTATTCCTTCGCCTTGCAATGGTTCATCTCGTGGTGCTGCTGAAAAAGTCGATCTCATCCACATTGGGGAGAAGCTCGAGTATTTTGCACTCGGGTTCTCAGTTCCTATGTTGACTAGATCAAACTTGAGTGTCTGTAGAGAAGCTTGTCTATCTAACTGCTCATGTCTTGTGCTGTTCTTTGATCAAACTAGTGGAAATTGTTTCATGTTTGACCAGCTCGGTAGCTTGAATCGTGCTCTCGATGGTTCTTTGGGCTATACTTCATACATGAAGATCTCAACATCGAGTCTAAGAAGCAACGTTAGTGGTGGAAGTGGGAGGAAAGAAGCTGTAGTGATTGTGATCATAGCAGTTACAACACTCATAATTGTTGCTGGTCTAATCTATTCCGGAATCTGGTACCATTTCAAGAGGAAGAGAATAACTGGGTTGCTGAATGACAGCTCAGAAGGTGATGATGATTTCTTGGACAATTTCGCCACAATGCCTGTTCGATACACCCTCGAAGACCTATCTATAGCGACCAAAAAGTTCACCACCAAGATTGGTCAAGGAGGGTTCGGTTCGGTCTACCTAGGTTTACTACCAGATGGTACTCAACTAGCTGTGAAGAAGCTAGAGAGTGTGGGACAAGGCAAGAAAGAGTTTAAAGCCGAGGTCAGCATCATAGGTAGTGTTCACCATATGAATCTAGTGAAGCTCAAAGGGTTCTGTGCAGAGGGCTTCCACCGCCTTCTTGTCTACGAGTTCATGGCCAATGGATCGCTCGATCGATGGATCTTCAAAAGTCCCAAAGAGGGTCTTTTGTTAGATTGGAATACCCGGTTCAGCATTGCACTAGGAACAGCGAAAGGTCTAGCTTATCTCCATGAGGAATGCGAGGCCAAGATTGTCCACTGTGACATAAAGCCTCAAAATGTGCTTCTAGACGAGAACTTCACTGCTAAAGTCTCGGATTTCGGTTTGGCCAAACTAATGAACCGAGAAGACAGTGGGGTCTACACCATGGTTAGAGGGACAAGAGGGTATTTAGCACCAGAGTGGATCTCCAACCAGCCTATATCAGAGAAGAGCGACGTGTACAGCTACGGGATACTGTTACTCGAGATCATCGGTGGGAGGAGGAACTATGAATCAGAGGAGAGCTCTCATAAGTCTCATTTCCCTTCTTACTCGTTCAAGATGTTCGAGGAAGGAAAGGTTAGAGATATCATCGATCCCAACTTGGAGATCAATGATCACGAAGATGGAAGTGTGGTCGACGCGATCAAGGTTGCTTTGTGGTGTATACAAGATGAAATGCAGGTGAGGCCGTCGATGAGTAGAGTGGTGCAAATGCTTGAAGGGATATCGGATGTTCCGGACCCACCAATGCCATCCGAGTCTTGCCCTCGGCCTTATACCAACTACTTGAGGTGGAGTAGTAGAGAGAGTACGAGTTCTGGGGTTAGCAATCGGAATTACGATAGCAGCACATTCGTGTCTGATAGTCAGTTATCAGGTCCTAGATAACAACAGCAGTCATTGTTAGAGGTGATATAATAGCAATATAGCTTGTGCTTATACTTATTTTGTAAGTTTTCTCGTGAATGGATTCATGAAAGAGTATGGTAGTGGTTTACTTGTCCATGAATGCTAGTTAGTGATGCATTCTGTGTTTAGAAAAGGATATGAACCAGAACTATGACGAAATGAAATCTCACCTAAGCAGGGTGATGGTTTACTCTGTGGAAAAAACAGGTTAGGCAATCCCCATCCCTTGCTGGGAACAGGAATTTGAAAATTGTTGTCATTGCAAAGTTTGTGTCTCCTGTCATAGTTTCCTGAATTTAGTTCTATTTCCACGAGAGCGACCCTTTACCAAAAACGGCGACTAATTGGTTTTCTACTTTAGTTAGTGCATTTCCTCTTTGTGTTTTTCATTTCCGAAAATACACTACAACTACAAGTCAACTAACTACAAGGTGGAGCAAATCAACTTGGATTGAAGAGAAGAACCCGTTTCGCCTTTGCGCACACGCGTAGAACACGCTCCATCATTTCAACTCGAATAAGGTGCAATCGTAATTGTTGGATGTTGAAATAACAAACTCGACCATTTGATGATCAATATTAAGCCTTCATTTGGATCAAACGATGAATAGTATATTTGTGCCTGTATAGGTGATAACGTTCCTGCCTATCGATCGAAGAGGGGAAAATGGACAAATAATATGGAGCAGAGAATGAATGACTCGAATGATATATCATTGTGTTATTTATCATGTTCATTGAATGGAGCGTATCACCATCTTAACCCCGGAACATAGTCAGATTTTCCTTTTCCTATGGCTACAAGGATTGACTGACGCCTTGCTCATATTATGGAATATGGGTTTCAACTTTCAATGGATGGAAACAAACTATAGTTTAAGTTAGTGGCACGTAACTACTACATATGAAAGCTCAAAGTTCAAACAACTTCCAAGAACATGGTGGTGTTGAATGGGGTTAGGAATAAGAGATGCTTTTGTTGTTGTGGATTTGTTTTTTGTTGCACAAAGTCAACAAAGCATAAAAGGTTACAACAAAAGTTTGCTGGACCATAAATACACCATAGAATACAGTCTTTTCCCCCCTTCTGTCATTTGTTTATGATTCCAAATTTGCTTCCAAAATAATGCTTTTGGGTGAACGACTCACCAACCCCTTTGAGTCATTCATCTACGTTAGTTTATTGGTCAATAATGTCCCACTTGCTTGCTATTGCTTCCAATCTATGCACAAAATCGAAATCCCAATGCAAAGTAGAATCCTCCTTTTAGGTGAGTTTGTGAGCCTGCGAGTGTGAAAGGCGGCCAAAAGCAGTGAAAGGCAAATCACCAGGGGGATTCTCTAATTGGTTTCACACTTCATAATCAAGCACTATTTTGACCTACTTGGTTTAGAAAGAACCTTCTCTAGTATTGTTTTGTATTTTGTTGCCCTATCCTTCTTTCTGTATTATATGGTTCAATTTACATTATCAGAGTGAAAACTAACCCTACCCTTACATTACAACATCCTCCATCGGAACTCGTTTGGTTCGAGCAATTGATCTCCCTGTCAAAAATAAACTAAATCTCCGCCATCATGATAGCTGATTCGATCATAATGGCAGGCGATCAAAGACGCATAATCTGAGTTATACAACTTATAATCATAGGTGTTATTCTCTACCATGACGGCGGTGAGATTGAGAAGCTACTAGTAACAGATTCAGTAGAATTAGTAGTCATATGGTCTAACTAGTCAAGTTTGAATATAGAAGCAATTCCCGCCACTACTAGTAGAAAAGGCCGCTACTTTATTCACCACTCACCACCAGACAGCAATTTGACACCTAGACCAGCACAAAACAGTTCTAGTTCTAGCCCCAGAAAAAGGGGACAAAAGTACAGTAAGCCCATTTATCCCATGAATCATATGGGGAAAGAGAAACCATCAAAAGTTTCTGCAGGAGAAAAATGGAGGGGAAAGCTCATCATTTGGTACAAAATTCTGGAGTACAGAGGTTCCTGTAATATCCCCTAATTTACAAAAAGAAGGATACATTCTCTCCGTTGTTCTGCGCTCTCGGTGTATCCCAAGCCTGAACTTCGGGTGCTGCCAGCTGCACTTGTTTCTCCAAGGGCTCGCAATTGTCATTCTCGAGAAGTTCCTTGCACCAACATGTAGCTTCTTTCCTCATGAGATGTGTCCTTCCCGGTTTTCGGGTAATTTCAGGTTGAGGTTCTGATGTTAGGGGCACAGACTCTATTTCATGTATTCCAGCACGCTCTGGGTGACATCTTCGAGGAATGAAAGGAAACCCATGACACTGGTGAAGCCACTGCCATCGACATCCTGCTCCTCGATGAGATAGTTCTCGAAAGCAGAAGCATCCTCCTGCCCTCCTCGAATAAATATCAGTTTCGGAGTGATGCTCCTCTCTTGCTTCAATTTATTTATCGTGCTCCTCAACAAACCTGAAGAAAATAGAATTGGATTTTTGTTTTGGTCGTCAAATGTGGCGAAAGATAATTAACTGGATAAAAGGAAACCAGAAGAACTTCCAATGGTCTTACAATCCTGTGGAGGGGGGAAAGGAAGTGATGGGTCTGCTGTGGAAGAGTAGAAAACGATTAGAGTAGTGAATGCATCTAGGAAGAATATTGGACTGCTGCTAGCGATCAGCGCAGCACGACTCAATGAGTGACGCGGATATGCTTGTTTGTCTGGTGTAGAATATGATGACAACACTGGATAAACGGCTCGGTGAAGGGAACTTGCTTCCAGTGCACTGCAGCATAAAATTTTAAAATGAAACGACATCCAGAACCTCTCCCAACAACAAGAAAATTTTGGGCAAAGAATGTACAATAAACCAAAAACAAGAATCATGACATATCAAGTATGGGATAATGGTTTACCTGAAGAGGCATTGGAGATAAATCCGATAATCAGGGTGGACACCTTCTTCATGGAAAAGGAGAAGAGGATTTCGGAGCAAAGCAAAAACTAAGCGAGGAATGGGCTGCAGTTGTGGGCATTGCGAGAATACAACATCTACCGGAGCACTTACTGCACTTCCGTTCTTATACTGGACAATTTTGTAAGCATCATTGTATTGAGCAGTTAGGATGACAAGCCAATCGTGAAGCAACATCCTGCCCTCTCGAACACCCTGGTCTAGAGATTCTAGTATAACCTACATGGTAAAAAAAATTCCAATTAAAGGTGAAAGCATGTCTTGTTTCGGTATTCAAAGAGAGAAGAGAAGTAAGCCGTAAAGCACCTTGTGAACAAGAACTGATAGGACAGCTTCAGGATCAACACTGTCATATAGTTCATTAACATTTCGAGCGGCTCCAAATTGCAAAGTTCGGATCCTTATTCTCCTTTTAAGAAAATGCTTGCCCCTGTATGAGCATGTAAGTGATAAGTAACGCAACCAGAAGGTGAAGACTAGAAAATAGTAACGTGGCTGAAAGCCTCATCACTCTCAGCTCTCCAGCACATAGAGGACGGCTTAGTAGCAATCTCACTTGCATATACATTAAATCAACACTTCGTTTTGCAAGATTTCGACAGCTCTTACTACATGTTCGCAATCATATTGAGGAATTGACACCAACAGTAATCAGATAGACCATACCTACTTGTGGAACCCACCCCTGAGCTTGCTAGTTCTTCAGAAGGTACCACAACTGTGTACTGGAATGCAATCTGAACAACAGGTTGCTCTGATGCGTATCTGAAAAGAAGAAAAATGCATTACAACCATTGGTGGAAAATGAAAAGAGAAAAAGAAAACATAAACAGATACTGATAGTTAGAAGTCACTAGTCAGTATCAAGGGGTCTATCATTTTCATGCAACAGCAAGTCTTCACAGAGTCTACATAAGCACCTATAATCATTAACAAACCCTACCATGTAGAACTTATCATGGATCCTCTGTGCTCCATTGTATCTATTTCTGAAGAGCCATCATGCAGATTTTCAAGCAAGTTTCCCATCCCTAATCGGATTAATAAATTCTATTGCATGTCGACTTTCTTTTCAGCTCACTATTGAAGTCATTTCACTCTTTAGTTTATTGATTACACCACATTAGGTCTTAATTCGTACTGGCAGAAGCAGTTCACAGCATTATCTCTTTATTGATTTCGTTAGGAGTTTTCTCTGGGATTCTAGTATTAGAATTCATGATTCCTTCAGCATCAGTTTGGAATCAACATGATTAATCCAATACAGTATCATTTCACAAATAGAATATTATACCACACCTGGAAAATCCAACGGCACTTGTAAAATCAAAATCATATGCATAAGTGGCATAAGAATCACAGCATATGATGTGCTGAACATTTTCGTACTGGGGATCTGGGAAGAAATGGCCATACTGCAAATAAATAGAATGTTAATAAGACTATATGACTTACTCACTGAAATCAGTTTTCACATAGGACTAAAAACATCTTACAGAAAGACCAATTATCAAATGGAACTGAAAAGAACTTACAGAATGACCAATTTTGAATTCAGAAGAAGTCCTTAATCTCAGTACACAACCAAATGCATAAGGTCTACTTAGCATACGGTACCTGTCAGTGAAAATCAAAATCAAAAGTGAAATTGTTAGATAGAGAAAGATGGAACACTCTGTTACTCTGGCTAAGCCACTTTGGGACTCACATATCCTGAGGCAACGTTGAGTCATCCGTGCTTGCATACAGGAACAGGGAACCTCCACTTTCAATACTAAGAAACTTAAGGGATGCCAAATCTGTGTACTCATTTGTAATGGCAAATAGATCAACACAAACACCTGATTGAACAGCGACAGCAGCCTGTAAAATTCATGTTAATTATCATATTTCTGACAGATTGCGATGATGGAAGAAGACAGATTCAAGCCAGATTACCAGTTCTTTGTAAAATGGTGTCTGCTCTGGGAGTAATGCCCTGTCCGCATCCTCGCCTTTACTAGCATACTGTTCACCATACCTCCTTGTATCCAATTGCCCAGCTCCATAATCAGGTGGACCAGAGATGAAGGCAAACACTCTAGCTGCATGATTTTTAACCACCTCAACTTTAATGCATGTTGTATAAGGCGATGAAGGAGAAAGCTTTTACAAAAACAGTAGCTGTGTTGCAGACCTAAAGCAAATGTGTTTCCATATTCTGATCCCAGGTACTTAAACAGAGCTTCCATTGCTACACCAAATCCGCGCCCACCCATCAAAACGCCATCTATACCTTGCCCTGCACCTGAGGTTCTCTCCCACGAAGTTGTTGGCCGGAGAGTATCCAGTGCAGCTGTGATACGATCCTTAAATGTATCCACCTAATCATATAAAAAAAAAATGAACTAGATGGTGAGAGTAATGAATACATGAAATCATCGTACCTAGTAAATAAACTAACTATTCTGTGAGCTTTTCTCATTACAACTAGCTTGATTGACAAAAGACTAATCAAAAGTTTCTAAGGAACACAAATAAGGTAAGAAAGAGATAACATACTGGGGCCAAGAATTGTAATAAAGGCATGACATCATCAAGCTCGACTGGCAGAGTGCCCTCTGCATCAGGAGGGACGAAAACATTCTTGACAATGGGGATGGGCCCTTGGACATCATATAACCCAATTTTGTGGCTGAATGTAGCTAGACCAAAAAGTGAACCAGACGGCAAAGCTGCAATAACATTTAAGGGGGGGAAATCACCTTATAGGACATCTCTAAAGCTTGCACGAGCTATTCTTCTCAGGTAGTATGCAGAAATGACTTATGACTATAGCATTTAATATAGGAAACACAAACGGAATGAAGGGTTAACCTTCCAGAGCAGCCTCCAGTGCACTCTTTGTAAGCTCCAAGAACTCTTCTGAAGCTGCAAATGAATTCCGGAGAAACCCAATTAGTAGTGACTATTGACAACTTCCAGAAATGCAACTGTCTGAGAAATATTGTAGACTGTTCAATAGTGTGCTTTGCACTGCAAAATATCCTCCACAAACAAGAGAATAGGCGCACAACTCAAACATGAGAGCTCTTTCCCCTTCTGTTGAATAACTGGACGCCAACATTATCTTTGCATGTCACAGAGGACCGAAAAACTGCCTAAGTCGAGAAGAAGAAGGGTTCTGGATTGAGAGTCTGCTAAACCGAAATAAGTGCAATATAAAATTCACAACTATCCAGAGCATCCAGGTCTTTCATTATTCAGAACTCTTGTGATGCAATTAACAAGACTAGTCAACTAGCGGTTACTCAACCTAGAAGATTAAGGCAAGAAAGCAAAAGAACGACGCAGCTTGTAGAATATATAAAATCTTACATGACAAATCAACAGCAGCAACATAGACCGGACGAGCTTGAGTCATTTCATCTTCTGCGCCCTCAACTGAGACACCACAATGAAAGTTCAGTCAGCCAATTCAACCCATAAGCCAAATGGAGATGGTGCATTGATCAGAAAAGATAGCCAAAGCTACAAAGATCATAAGCATAAATCAGAAATTCCTCAAAGGCTGAAACCATGGACTACACAATTGAAGCATCTCCCAATCCTCCATTGCACATTACAGAGATAATCAAAGTTCTTGATCCAGACGAATACACAGCAATTCATATACCGCATTCCGCAATCAGTGTTTCTCTGCCAACACAGTCTCTCAAAATTCAAACCAAAACAGTACAAAGGAAAGCCTGGCATTCACACTCACCGGGCAATTCGAGATCTACAAACGAGGACATCATCTCTGGACATGACTCCGGAAGCGAGTAACGAGCAATGGCCTCGGTGTGTAGTCCATTGAGCGTCCCGCAGAGCGCGCAGCTCCAGGCCCACTGCTCCAGCTCGCAGTAGGTGTTGAAGTAGGCGTAGCAATTCTCGCATCGCGGCAGCAAATGGCCGTTGGATCCATAAGCCGGCGGCTTGCCGTCCTCGTCCCTGGTGGCGAAGGGAGTGACGGTCAATCCCCAAGGGATCCCCGACGACTCCTGAGCGTCCTGGTCCATCGGGAACCGGTTCACTGTCGCTCGAACCGCCATGTTTTGAATTCCGATTTTCCAGCCGCCGCCTCTTTCTGATTCTACCTTTGGGATTCTCGCGGGACCAACGGCGGTGGGGGGAAAAAACGGGGGCGAAGAGTATGAATGGCGCAGTTTAGCTCGGCGGAGCCGGGAAGGAGGAATTACGTGGGATCAGCCATTCAGTTGACGCCACGTAGGATACTCGGTCTCGCTGGCTTTTAAAACAAAATTATTTTCAGTTTACCGAACACACCCCGTACTTTGCCTCTACTTAGATACACACCAGCCAAATTTGAGATTTTACTAAAGCACTCTCGAACTATTAGAATCTCAACAAATACATCCCTGTGGCTCTAGATTGTTGTCTGTTGAGTGTTGACAGTATATAAACAGCAAACAATGCACGGCGGCTGAACTGTGGCTCCAAGAGTATACAATAAGAACTCTGAGAAGAGGAGGAAAACACGAACCGGCATGCTCGTTCACACCTCTGTATATCTATCTGAGTCGCGATTGAAGATGGGTTGGAGTTCAGTTTGAGCTTAGAAAGAAACCTCCGCCGAAACAGAGTCGAGCAGAGAGCAAGATTGGATTTTTTATTTTTCTGGAAGAAGGTTAAACTGGAACTGGAAAGGGCTTGGAGTCAGGGGCAGGGGGAGATTCGCTGCAGTCAGCAAACCGGCCGAGTAAGAGTAAGACTGCTTATCAACCCCTTTTCCCTTTTGGTTTCGGCGTCAGAATCTCAATTCTATACTGCAGCGGTGGCGAGAGGGAGATCTCTCTTTATCTCCTTCCGCCCCGATTTGGTTTCCTAGTCGGGATAGGAAAATCACGTTCTCCGTTTTCTCCCATATAAATATAAGAAGCATTTAACCCCAAATCTCTCAAACGCGGCCGAGGAAGAATTGTGTCGACATTAGGTTCAGATTGAGGGCACCATGGCTGATGATTTGAAGGATTGGTCCGAATTGGGAGAGGATCTTCTGCTTATGATCGGGCAACGGTTGATCAGTCTAGACGATATCATTAGAACCCGAGTTGTTTGTAATCCATGGAGGCGAGCCCTTCGAGCCGAGCAGCTGCGCAGGTTCTCCCCATCCTCGCATTGGCTCATGCTACCTTATTGCAGCAGCGACAACATGAACATGACTACTCCTATTAGCAGGCGTACTAGTTCCCCAGACGTGGACCTGGCCATTCCCAGCATTGGTTGCAAAGGTTCTGAAACCTGCCGCTGCTTTTTTGACGTCGTGCTGAATCAATTTCACCACATCGAGTTCCCTCGACACCTACTCAACAAAACCTGCCGTGGATCCACAATGGGGTGGCTGTGTATGGTGGGGGATACGCCCGGTATGTCCTTGTTTAACCCAGTTACTAAGACCGAAATCTCTCTTCCACCCATCACGTCTTTTCCTGACGTGTTAGGCTACGACCCTGAAAAACTCCGGCTTGAATACCTGCTTCGAGATTACACTGGCTTCACGACATCACTGGGCAAGAAGTATATGCAGAAGGAATACATAATGAGAGTTGCTATATCAGCCAAACCCACAACAGAGGAATGCATTGTTATGGCCATCCGTGTGAATGCCGATCATCGCTTAGCATTTTGCAGGCCTGCGGAAATTGAAGCGGGGTGGATATTCGTTCCTCGTGTGGAGGAGGATGGAATACCCTCAAGGATTTCTTATGTGGATATGGTTTTCTGGAAGGATCAGTTTTATGCCCTTGACTTTTATGGGAAAGTTCTGGTGTGTGATTTCTCTGCTAACCCACATTATCCAACCCTATCATACTTTATGACTCCCGGTGCTTTTTCTGTGTGCGAGACTCTGTACTTGGTTGTATGTCCCGCTGTTGTTACTGGAGAGGAGGATGAGTTGATGATGGTGACTAGGCATGCGGGTTTCTTTTCCAATCAGGAAACTGAAGTTGATCCAGTTGTTGCTGAGGACATTGATCTTGTCGATGATGATGATGATGATAATGCTGATGATGATGGTCATACGAATGTATTTGATAGTGATTCCGATGATGAACAACTAGGCACTAGGGCACGAGGAGGAAGCTTAGGTGTAGTTGCCACCAAACCTTACTGGACCGAGAAGTTTCAAATTTTCAAGCTCAATAAAGGAGTAGAAGGATGGGATAAAGTGGAGAGCATCGGTGATTTTGCTTTGTTCCTGGGTTTCAACACACCTGGTACTTTTGTCTCCATCAAAGACTATCCTGGATTAATGCCCAATTCCATTTATTTCACCGATGATCTGGTCGAGTTCCATTATCATCCACGATGGAAGAATCAAGGTAACTATGACATGGGTATATATGACATCGCCACTTGTGCTATTCAACCTCTCTATTCTACAACCTCTCTACACAATAATCCTTTATGGATTTCTCCATCACCTATGTGGTTATCCCCATCTGTTATTAGCTCATAGCCCCCATAAGCATAAATCAATTTGTCTGTTGAGTTTCCTTTCTATAGCCCGCCAAGCCTTCATAAAGAATTCCCCTTTGCTCAGGATTACATCCACCTGATCTCTCACTCCTCTTCACCCCTCATCCATTCGGCAAATTGATTGTTGAGCATTGAATTATATACATCATTAAGGTGCACTTGCTCAGCATAGCAGTCAAAATTACTTCCCGATACAGGCGATTCCCAAAGAATCAATAGTTTTTCTGATGCCAAGCTAGCCATTGCTTTTGGTCATATCTAGTGCAAATGCTCTGAAAGTACCAACAATTAGCACAAGGTTGCCTGGGCTTGACCAGTACATCTGTTTCTCGCAATAAGATGCCATATCACAGTAGCAGGTGACACAGCTTCTGATGCTTGAGGGAAACCTGACAAGTGAGCCTTGCAGACAACCTTTGACCACGCTCTCACTCGCTTACCAAAGCCACCAACACTTGCAATAAAAATTCTCACTCGGTTACCAAAGTCTCAAAATATCATGGTGTGTCAAGCGAACTACTATCAGTAGCGGATCTAGGTCTGGGTCACCCCAGATCACGGCTCTGCCCTCCTCTGAATCATAAAATAGTATAATGTCTATAAATTTTTTGATTTTAAGTCGGTCTAGTGCTATTTAAAAGTCGATCGGTGATATTTATAGTAGGATTTTGCATAACTAGGAAAATGGTCTAGATGAACATATACAAACACTACTCTAAATTTATACTAAAAATTCTAGCCCCAATGATTTTATTTGGAAAAAAACATTAAACGTAAAAGCATAACGTATAAAGTTTCACTGAAATACTAAAGGTAAGATAGCCTAACGTTAAGTTGCTGCGGCAGTGAAGGTTTTGGAGTTGCTGGTCCCAGATTCGATCCAAGCGAGGACGTTGGATGATCCCGGAGGTATGAGGTGTGAGGTCGAAGCCCTGTTGACGTCGAATTGCTTGCAGGTGCCCCCCCCCACCCCCAAGTTTAGTATGCCCTCTATCGCAGAATGGCATGTGGGCTGAGGTTCCTCGGTTATCATAATAATAATAATCATAAAGTTTCATTGAAATAAAAAAAAAAACTTCTAAACTAAAGTTGTTCCCACCAAAACTTAGAAAAATTCCCCAATCCCCCCCAAAATTAAACAAGAACAAATCCGAAGTGGATTCCTCCAACAGTCCATCGGGCGCTGACTTTCTTTTCAGTCTTTTGGTTAAGAAAATATTTACAAACTTGCTAAGTCATCATTTAGATTGCTTCAGTTGAGTGGTCTGCTAGATCCTAATTGTTCTTTTCGGTCTTTTGATGAAGACAATATTTACAAACTTGCTCAAGAGTTTAGCCTCGAGACTTTGAAGGCTATGAGATTGAGATGTATTCTTTGGTGAATGAGCTACGATATTATGCCACTCATGTGGGGAAGATGAAGTTTCTTTCCTTGCAAAAATACTGGAGAAGCCGGTGGAAACAAGGATGGACACAGAATATAAATTTAATTTTTCAGTTGATTCGTCTAGTGTTGGCCTTGCCCATGTCGACGGCTACCACAAAGAGAAGATTGTCAGCAATGGAACATGTGAAAACTTATTTGTGCAACAAAATGAGCGATGAATTCTTGTTGATTGCTTTGCTATTTTCTTTGACAGAGAGTATGTTATTGGTATGGATGGAGAATCTATTATTGATGGATTTGCTAAATTAAATATCTTCTTGTACAATTGATATTGTAATGAAAATTATGCAGTTGTTTGGATGAGTTATTGCTATGAGTTATATAGATCCAAATAAGTCGTTTGGCATCATAAAAATCATACTTGGTATTTTAGCATGAGTTAATAACTAAAAAATGAGGTATTTGAAATAACTGGGAGGTGGAGTAGTTATTTGTAGGGGTGAACAAAACAACCCGCAAATCGACCCATCCGTCCAACCCGAAAATGAAAGTCAGAGAATAATGATTTGGATTACATTGAACTCTATCTTATGAATTAATTGATATTTTAGGATAATATGTTTTGAGCCGTATTAAAAATGATTGTCTCTTTGTTTGACTTTATGATATAGTAGGTGCATTTAATGTTATAATTGAAAATTTACATGAAATTTTTTACGTATTATAATATTGGATGTACGGGGCAGGTATTACCCATGGTACCCGAAACCAACGGGTATGCGGATGGGTTTGCAAAACCTTCCCCCGGATGGGTATGGGTTCGAATATTTTGAAAGCGGGTATGGCTTGTTTAGGCAAATTCGTCTCATTGCCCTCCCTAGATACGACCGGGTTTTCTTTTGGCTTCCGAATTTAATTTTGAACATAAGCTTTCCGCTAGCTTGCAGGAATAGCCACATTAAGGGAAGTGGTTATAATTTCAGATAGTTAAGGAAATTCAAGTCCGGATTAATCTAAACAACAATCGGGTTGACTTTGGGACGAAACTACTCTATACATGGACGGAGCCTCCAAAGTCAGCCTGTTTGTTTTTCTATTTTGTATTGTTTCTCGGGATAGTTTGTTAGTTTTGTCCACCATCTTTGTAATGTTTGTATGTCTAAAAAACAACTGGGTTGACTTTGGGACGAAACTCCTCTATATAGAGATGGAGCCTCCAAAGTCAACCTGGTTGTTTTTCATATTGTATGATTTGTATTGTTTGTCAGTCTAGTTTGCATTTTGTACCATTTTATAATGGTTCATCACAATTCTGTAGCGGGCTAATCA